CACATGGAGCACTGGCCGCCCTTGCCCAAGCCTTGCAAACACGTTGAGTCCACGCATGAATGGGCGGGGGCATTGCGTTCTGCGAGCAGTTTCAATTGCTTGAGGCTAAAGTCGATAAATATTACATGGGAGCACGGAAGAAGCATGAATGCGCTCTTCGCTCCTGATTCCAAATAGCTGACTCAAAGAAAGTTCACGCAACCCACACGAAAAGCATATCACCTGGTCACGAATTAAAGGACTAACAAATTGAACAACAATTGGCCTTTGCGTCGGGTGTCCAGAAATACATGCATCTCGGTTGATCCACTAGCGCACTCAAACTATATGATTTTCGAGTCGAGCCAGTCCGATCGCTCTTAAAATTTTGGCAGCTGTCTTAGAGGAAGTAGTGTCCACTTCATGTGGAATAACGCTGAACATGACTTCACACGGGTCATCAGGTTGGCAATGGGACTGTGGCAGGTGCAGTTGAGATGCAAGCTCGTACCTCTTCAATTTCGCTCATAAGCTCTTTACGCATAGAAGCAAGTTCGTCGTTGCAAGTCATCTGGAGTTCCTCTGTCGAAGCTGACTGCTGACTCAAAGCATCCGTGTGTTGTGTCTGAATTCTTTCAAGTAGCGACAAGCGATGAGAAAGCTCCTCAAAACACCTGTCAATAAGTTCGAAAATTCTTTTCTCAAATTTTTCTCGAAAACTCAATAGCCAGCTGGCTGATACATGGGCACGCTCGTCAGAAGTATTCTTGTCCATTTTCGAAGTCACAGGAGAGATGCACACGAGCCGAATGGATGATCGCTGGTCATACAATGGGAGATAGAAAAGACGAGCAATTCTGTGGTGTCTCTGCACTACTGTACGAAGATAGCGGCAACAGTGTTGAAGATGAAGGTAATGACAATGATGAGAGACACGAGTGAGAGGCAAAAGTAGTGGGGGTTGAAACACCACGATTGGACGAGAAACGAGCAGAACCAACGATACAGGGGATACGCCGGTGTAGATCAAGTAGAGAGATGTTGAACTTGTTGTCACAATATTATGATCGGCGCAGAGAACGAAAATCAGGTCCAACGCAGATTAGTCAGGAAAGCAGAGAGGAGGGAGATAGTCCACGAAAGAAATTTTCTTCTGATGTTTCGAGAATTCTAACCTCGACAGAAGTTTTAAAGGCGAAACGAGGTAAACCCTGGATCAAAGGTTGAGTTCAAGCCGAAGAACTCACTTAAAGCAGGAGCCTCTGGGTGCCTCGTCCGCCTGAAATATCAAAAACACTCGAAGAAGTAGAAAAAAACAATTAAAACCAGCACTATAAACGGAGCACCACAAAAACACGTCTGCTCGTACTTACAGAGAGAGATAGATAGATCGACAGATAGATAGATAGATGCTTTATTGGGCTTAGGGCGAACCCTGTGTGCACTTTTGAAATACAATTGTCTTAAATAATTATTTACAAATATTAAAAACATTTTTGATATAAAATTGGAATGTCAATGTGCAATATTAGATTTAATAATTGAAACGCATTTGACATACAAATTTAATCGACGCAATAGTAGCATATATGGTAGCATAATTGGTAGTATACAAAACGGTAGTAGATTCAATTCTATCTGAACTGATATGGAGCAGTTGATGGTGTTGTGAGCAAATGAAAAGCTGAGTTGGATGGAAAGGCGAATGAGATGTGCAAGGGTGAATTAAATTTGAATTTGTGAATTATCGATGTCGATGGCGAGCAGTTTAGAAAATATGGTCTGTTTAGTTCGTGAAATGAGGCGAGGGTCGAAAAGGATGGTTTCAGGAAAGAGATCATTTAATAGGTCCGTAGCTGTGTAGGTAAATGAATTTTGAAGTGCAGCAGTATCCACAGGCGGATAGTAAAGCGTTCGTCGGGGTAGACGAGGAGAGAATCGCTCAATTCCGCTGTTCACAGCCAGTTTGAAGTTCTTCACCAGGTACGGTCTCGCGCATGTGCACGATGAGATTTCGGATAATAGGTCTTGCAAATCCGATTCCGTGCGCAGCAGTATTGGCTCTAGAGAGAAGTGAGTCGACCTCACGTGGCCAGAGCGCGCGCAGGAAAAGTCGGTGATCCCCGCCACTACCAAAGATGGTCTCAGTATGGATGGAGGCCAACTTAGGTGCGCTCATAATGATGAAGTCGCAATTCGAAGGTGACGAACATCTGAACACTATCACCTTGAAATCCTCAGTTGCTTCGGGACCCCGCTTCTTTGGCGACCAATCGCACGAGCTCACGATAAATCTTTCGAAGTCATCGAGACCTATAGCAGAAACAAGTTTCTTCAAAACAACATTCTTAGGCAGATCAACGCTCGCCGGTATGCCCGTGAGCAGAACCTCGCAAGAGTCAGCGAGGTGAGGATTTGAGTACGGCAGAACAGTGGAGTTCCTCAAGGCCTCAGTAGTTGCTTTAACGCTCTCATCCTCTTTCCGTATGATGTCAATGTTTGCGGCATTCGTCGATGTTTTGAGCTCTTGAGCTTCCAAGCGGGAGTTTAGCTGCATAATTGACCCATCTATGTGGGTCAGCTGCGACTGGACGTCGTCGAATCTAGCGTTTAGATTATTCGTGTAAGCCACAAACCAAGGGGGCGGAGTTAGGTCTGACGCGTCGGTGTAACTCGCCATGGCGTGTAATGACTCGAGTGGCGGGTCGTTGAAAATCTCCGGGTCAATACCGCGAGCCTTGTCTAGGTGAGCCTTACGAGATACTGCGCTGGCAGATTTAGTAGCGATGCTCGCTTTGGAGGACTCGATCACAGCCTCAACAGAATCCAAGCAGTCGTCGGTCGGTGCAAACGCTCTCAAGCAGCAAGTATTGATTCCTTTTTTGCGTAGGTACGGAGCAGCACAGCCCGGGTGTACGCACGTGTGACAGGCGTTGCACTCGCAGTACTCATGCGCGATGTTGTGATGGCATCTTGCGCACTCTGGCATCACCTATAGATCGAGGCATCGTAAAACGGTTGAAATTCAATCAGACGAATAGGCTCGGGGTGATAAATTGATTTGAGAGTGATGAGAGGCAGCGCAGAATGTTGGGAAATGCGTGAGCGAGATGAGGTGAAATGATGCACAAGTGAACGAATTGAGAGTCACCAGTCACGGTCCCGCACATACCAGTACCAAAAGTTGAACTATTTTCACTGCACGGATACACACAGAGTAAGCGCCAGTCCAGGAACACAGCTCCACACACAAGAAGTAGCTGTTGTAGAGTCACGATGAAGAGAGAGCGACCGCTCGTGATGTGCGTGGCACTTTGAAGCGGCAATAATGATGACCAGTATAGCGCAAGAACGACGAGTCTCACTCAAAAATGTCAACAAACACTGGTCTCACCACACAAGCAGTCGACAGCACAACAACAGCTGACACATCAAACAGCGGGTGACGCGAAACCAGCAGACAGCGCGACGCACAAGACAATAGCAACAGCGCTCCTGCGCAGTAGAAGTTGATGGTCACGCAGGGATATTCCTTTTCAATAACCCAGAAACTCCTGTATCCGGACCCTCACTGGGCTCCTCGTTCACCCCGAATTTCGGCTCCCCGCTCGCACAACACTCTCGCACCTCGCTGGGCTCCTCGACTCCACTGAACACGATCCGACGAAAAACGCAATGAACGATGAGAGGGAGATACGCAGAATCGGCGCAGTTGATCACAGGTGAAGAGCTAACCTCGCAAATGCCGTCCAGAGTAGATGCACAAAGATTGTAGTTATTTAGTCGCAGCGTCCAGATAGATGGAATGCAAGCACCTAGTTAGAATGCTTGCAATTTTTAGCGTGCAAGATCTGCAATCAAAGACGCCCGGAGGCAGTGCAACAGCAGTAAAAAAGCTCAAAACGGGGAGCAGAGTTTACACACGTCTTCACTGTTCTCACCAGAGAGAGAGAGAGAGAGATAGATAGATTCTTTATTGGGCTCAGGGCGAACCTTGTGTGCATTTTAGAGATACTTATGTTTGAAAAAGATTATTTACAAATTTAATCGAAGCAGCAGTAGCATATGTAGATTCAATACAATGTAAAAAATACAATGATGTGCAGAAATAAGCATTAATGTAGCAGCATGGCACATATTCCATTATCTTGGAATATTTCTCAGTCAACAAAAATGAAATTAATCTCTGGAAATTATCTGAAGACTCCTGGAAAAATATCCATATCTTTTTTCAAAATAGAAACTTTTCACTGTAAAGTTTTTGAAAAGTTTCTGATACTTAACTTGAAATGTTTTTTGGTCAACAAAAATGAAAATATGATTCCGAAAAATTGAGGGTTCGATGTATATTCGCAAGTTGACGTCTTGCTTTGAGTGGTCAGTTACAAGAACACTGTGAGCCCGCGAGTAGAGGGTAAACAAGCCAACCCAAAGCACCAAAAGTTAAAGTGGGGTTCGTGGGTTTTATATAACTTCCGCCTTTATATTATTGTATTAGGCGTCGTGGTGCGGCACGAAAGGTTTTGCCTTTACAGCTAGACGTCCGAATTCGATCCCATCATCAAGGATAACTTTTTTTTGCGATCTTGTTGTCTTGATATGTACGATTTTCTTTCTCTTATTTCTAGGTATCAGACGTGTATTTTAATAAGGTCAATGTCGGGTGTTTTTATTCACAAATATGTTGTGATTAATGTGTCTTTATTAAAATACGCTAGTCTGCGCATAATGATATTTGATATTTGGGAACTTTGAACGCGCTTCACGCAAGATTCTGTTTTTCGGCACCTTGTGAACTATTGAAAAATCCCTCATCGTTTTTCTCAAAATTTTTCCCGAATATAAATATAACTTTGGCGAATATAAAACGTTTTTAACGAAGTTTATAACGTCGAAAAGAATATGTGAGATTTCGTCGGTTTGGCCTAAAACGGGTTTAAAAATCATTATGAAGGGCAGAATCAACTTGTAAAAAAGTAGAAAAAAATATCAACAATAAAACTTCTATTTTTAATACTCACTTTTAAGTTCTAAAATAGCTTTTGGTCGTAAAAGTCCAGGGTATACATTGGGATGATTATATAAATTAGTGTAAGATACATCATTACTGAATCGAGGTAACAGAACATTGAAAAGTTTATAAATAATCTGATTTTCTAAAATCCAGAAATTGGCCATATCAATTGACTTTTGATTTTGGCTTCCCTGTTTAGCAATTTGCGACATAAACTGCAACATTATATTCATTATTAATTGTAAAATATAAAAATTGTGAGAGTATTTCATATATATACGTATTTAAAATATAAAATATCTTTTTTTATTTTTGAACGTAAAGAATTTTATATTCCATTAGTATGTAAAAATGTAGGCTTGTTCCATTTCTCAGGTATACCGGACGTAAATTTTTCGCTCTTTTCAAATCTGCAATAAAAGATGGGGGTCATCATGTAAAAAATCGAGCTTTCAGGAATTACCGGTTATTTTCCTGAATTCTTTTGAGGTTATTTTTAAGGTCAAGTTCAAGGTCACCGATGGATTTCTCTTAGAAAAATACGACGGTTATGGGGTTAATTTTATTTTAAGATTACTCCAAAAAATTTTCAAGAATTTCCAACTTTTTACGTGATTTTCTATGATAAAACGTCATTATTTCATATAAGACGCACAAGTGTGTACGTACACAAACACTATACAAATTTGCCATATTCACATAATTTTTTGTTTCTAGGACCCCAAGGAACGCTTGACTCTTACATACTGTCACGTGGATGCGCCGAGCATCAGGTAACGCTGACTCAGCTCTTCCCCGTGACTGCAAGCGTTCTACGCTGCAGCCGCTCGTCCGGGCCGGCGACGATGATGCACCTGACGATGCGTCACCGCGGGCCCCCCTTCTTAATTGCAATGTCTCAATCATAATGAGCGGCAGTCCTAATCAAGTCGCAGTTGACTACGGTTCGCTTTCATTTCACTCTTCTCGATCTCTCTTCAAGTTTTTATCGCTGCATTAACTCCTATGCGTATTCTTATTTATTATTTCCCCAATCCTCCAACGATTCCCCACGTATCAATTGGTGCTAGGTGCGGCGTTTTTTTTTTTTTTTTGGAGGCTCCCTTGGGGTTCTTTTTTTTAAAAAGAAGTTTTTTTTTTATGTAACGCATAAACAATTTTTTTTCTGAAACGCGATTTACGGTAGAGTGAACGAACAATAGTGAATTGATAAGTGAAGTTTCCTGCCAGAGGCGCCAATTCAATACCAGCAAAAAAGTGATAACCGAGCGCCAGCCAGAAGCTCAACAGCAATTAGACACGAATTTAGAATGCCATCAATATTTCTCATCTTGTGGTAAGTTTACTTTTCCATCAATAATTTATAGCATACATATTTAGTAACGCCCTTGAGAGCATTAAACGTTATATAAGGACTCAAAATACTTCGCGAATATTATATCTAAATTTTTTTTTTTATTTGCTGTTGGCCCTCTTACATTTTTTTTCTAAATTTTTTTTATATATTTTTAACAATAATGGAGAAATTTTTGATGTTGATTTGGGCCTTTGAAATGGAAAAAAAATATAGATTTTCTCAGTTAGTCCTGATTGAAAATTACTTTCAAGTCTAAAATTTCTATAAGTATTGATGCAAAGGATGGAAAAAAATTGTTCTGGTAATATGGCACTCAAAACGTGGAAATCACTTCAATTGAGTGTCAGAAATAAGTGGAAAAGAAGCAACAGTGAGTTTAATAATATAGCAATTTTTTTCTATGTTTTATATCAGTATTTATGGTAATGTACAATATTTTAAGCTCAAATTGGTTCGCTCTTTAAGACTATAACAGAAAACCAATTAGGCTAAAGTGTTTGTTTTTGAAAAAGTATTCAAGATATAAAAAGGTTAAAGTACCAATCCTTGTCTGTCAATTGGACTTGATTGTTTTAGCTTGATACCATGTAACGCTATTATATGGTATTTGTTAATTTGTTAATGTTAAATCATAGTTAAATGTTCATCACGCTTAAAAGTGTTGTTTATAGTTTCATTGAATCAAAATAACTATAGGCGGCTTCATCACTGGGTACCAGGTGACCATAAAAAAATTTTTAGGACATTTGATCACCCGGACATTAAGGGCTCTCCTTGTTAGTACAAGAATGTAAATATCGCGATGCACTAAATAAAACTAATGCTTGGGCCCACGAAAAAAGCCTCATCGTTAAGCCAAATCGAAATACTGTTGTTACAGCTAAAATTTTTTGTAATAGTGACTTTTTAAGAAATACTTAAACATGGGTGGCTTGTACACATAGGCGTTCACGTGTTTTGCAAGTCGGTCGCGCTTCTCACCACGTAGCGAGAGGCCCGTACCGGTGGTAAATGAAAAAGCGTAATATGCATTTATCACAGCTGAAACCTAGAAATTCGCACTAACGATGCTCTCGGCAAGAAAAAACTTCAGATGAGCGATCTGGTCTAGCACTGTAAAAAATAAAAATTTCTGTCTATAATAACCAAATAACACCTGCGTCTTTCGTTGCAGATTTCGAAACAGGGCGTACAAAGTGAATAAAAATATATGAAGTGGTACGTACAATGGTGAAAGGTCATAAAAGAACATAATAATAGACCTGTATAATTCAACAAAAAAATTCCTTCTCGAGAATCAGTAAATTAACGTCATTTCAAAGAAGTGCATTAACTGTATACATAAGAATGCATTTTTTGCATACAAAAAAATAATCAGTAACAAGTATAGTCACCAAGATTATACTCTTAAAATTTCAAACCTGTGGTATAGTCACAAGAGCGCGCACGTATGCGCACTCACATGTTGTACGTAAACCGTGCTCCGAACTAAGTCAGTCTTGTACCGGCACGGGCGCACTCGAGAGCTCTCGCTATGTATACCACATTCCTATGTAATTCCTAAATAAAGTATTAAGTAATTAAAAGTAGAGCAATTGTTGTTTAATCAATATATTACAAAACCGATCATATAAAAAGGTTCCCAGTTGTCGTAGGATAGCGTAACATTTTAAAAAGCCATATACCACGACTTCGCTGCACTTAGCTTATTTAGTTTTTATTAATGTGAGCAATTTCATTTTGTCACTTTTTGAAATAATTTCGGTGTGAAATTTCAAGTAAAATTGATTTATCTAGTTAAAATTTCTCCGATATGTTAAATATTCACCGAAATATTAGTAAAGTGAGCCGTATCATTTTTCAATTATATCTTGACAAACATGCAAAATTTCAAAATAATAATATTCCAAATGAAAACCATTTTTAATCTCATGGAATCCGTGGAGTTACGATATTGGAGATATTTTTTAGAAATGGTCAATAATAAGAACTTTTGATGTACCTCGTTGAATCATCATTTTTAATAAAATTAATGATGCTAAAATAATTTTTCAACTTTTTTAATTGATTGAACGTGTAATGAGCTATGCGATGAACTACAGGCTAACCTCGTTATACGCGGGGGTTACGTTCCGGAAAAGTTCCGCGTATAGCGAAATCCGCGTATTACGAGGCAAAAAGCGAATCTTTAATAATCTGTTTCTTATAGTTCGAATAGTCGACTCATTGACCTCAAAGCGCCTAGCAATAGCAGCAATACACTCCCTTTCTCTGATTAAATTAAGAATTTTCAATTTTTCAGCCAAAATCATAACTTTTTTTTTTATTGGAGTTTTAGACATTTTCGGAGTATTTGGAGCCATTGTCAAATCAAAAGGTTATAAAAAAAATATTCGACCGTCTTGAACCTCTTATAACGTGAACTTATCCGCGTATAACGAGACATCGTCGCATTTGGCAATCCGCGTATAAGGGTAATCGAGGAGCGCGTGTCGCGCTCCACCTGGCAAGTATGACAGGAACTAAGTGACGACACGCCGCTAATCATATACAGCGCATAACTTCCCGCCAACTTTCTTTTCGCTCTCATTTGAATTTGATAAGAGTTATCGAAAATCTGATAAGCCCATCAGATTATTCGGAAAAAATCCCATCAACATGAACTATTTAGACTTTCCAACGGTCCACTATTTCCTACAGAAACGAAAGTGAATATATGAGTCGCATGAAAAGTGTCCTCACGCTAAAAATGTTATCACGCTAGTGTATAAAAGTGTCCTCACGCTAAAAATGTTATCACGCTAGTGTATAAAAGTGTTCTCACGCAGAGTATAGTGTACGTGTTCTCGCGCAACATACATATACGTATAGTTTATGTATGTGTATGTATATGTAGACGCTACACGATGTACATGTATCGGATTGAACAAGTAAAGACCCGCTCGTCCAACTAGATCGAAGTCCAGGTTCGACGATGACTTTACTTCCAGAAGTCGCGATGTCCCCGCACGGGAATACATCCGTACTAACCTGCTCGTTACATACACATAGAATTGAGGATTCTCCTCTTGTCGAAAATTACCCGGTAGCCCACTCGAGGCTCTATGAGTGATGTTTTCGCTATACTTTGTTCACCCGGGTGGCCTAGTCGGTGCACTAGGTATAAATACAACCTCGGCGACGACTTTCTCCGAGTCGAGTCGAGATGTTTTCGCTACTTTGAGCACCAGGGTGGCTTTTTCAGTGCACTAGGTACAAATACAGCCATGGCGATGACTTTCCCCGAGGAAGTCGAGATGTTTTCGCTACTTTGTGCACTAGGGTGGCTTATTCGGTGCACTAGGTACAAATACAGTCATGGCGACGACTTTCCCCGAGGAAGTCGAGATTTTTTCGCTACTTTGTACACCAGGGTGGCTTATTCAGTGCACTAGGTACAAATACAGTCATGGCGACGACTTTCCCCGAGGAAGTCGAGATGTTTTCGCTACTTTGTACACCAGGGTGGCTTATTCAGTGCACTAGGTAAAAATACAGCCCCGGCGACGACTTTCTCCGAGAAAGTCGAGATGTTTTCGCTACTTTGTACACCAGGGTGGCTTATTCAGTGCATTAGATATAAATACAGACCCAGCGACGACTTTCCACGAGGAAGTCAAGATGTTGAATATATTCCTGGCGACAACTTTTCTCTATAAACTCGAGGTTTTTTATTCATACTTAAATTTTATTATAATAGACTTAAAATTCCGATTATGAAATTTGAAAATGGAAAATCTCATTTTCACCATTACAACAAGAACTTACAACTTCTTCTTGATACATGATACGTTTTTGTTGCAGAGATTTGAAAATTTACTAGCTTGTGTAAAGTTTTTTGTTGAACTTCATGCTACAATTTTATGATAATAGTGACAATCCTGGTTTTACTTTGAAATTGGAAAATTTGATTTTTTATCTCTACGAGAAGAATTTGTACTTTTTGTAGAAAAATAAAATTTTGTCATCGTAAGCGTCTGAAATTTTCATAAGCTTGTGTAGAGTGGTTTTTTGGAATTCATGCTAACATTTCATCATTATGGATTAAAAATTTTGGATTTCTTATAAAATAATCCAAAATCGTGGTAATTCTTTCATCAAAAGATTATGAAGCAGCAAGTATGACAGTCTTGTCCTTAAAAATTGAGTCTGACTCCACAATTATTTATTTTGATCATTTTTAAATCTGGTAATTGATCGAGACGGCCGGGCAAGTAGTCATAAGAACGGTTTTTTTTACATACCACATTCAATAATATCATAGCAACGTGATTGATTATTGAATTAATGTTAACAATCATATAATTAATTATTAAATTATTTTATCACAAACTTTGTATTATGGTTATGGTTTAAGGGAAACAAATTTTAGTTAGCTTGAATGCTTGTCGGAAAGTATTGGATTTCATTACTATCATAGCTAAGTAATTGATCATTGACTATTTGAAATTAAAAGTTTTATAAATGAGAGAGAATTTTAATGTTAGAGCAAAATTATACAGACTGTCATACTTGCCCCTATTTAATCTTTTGAAAAAAGTATTAAGACAGTTTTGAATTATTTTATTGTCAATATTTGAGTGATCGCGTATACAGAATCCGCGTATAAGGAGGTATACCTGTATTTAGTTTTCTTCTAGTCGCAATCATTAAATTTTCCTAGATATTCAAATGTTGAAAAACAACAATTCGGTCACTAAATGGACGGTTTATCCTACATTTTCTTTCGCGGGAGCATTAATGTAGCTGACTTGATTTGAAAAAAATATGTTAAAAAAACTGAAAACCGGACTCTAATTTTTTCGTTTTTGGTAATGAAAAAAATTAAGTTATTGTCAAAATTGCAACGAAACTCACCCACATGTTCCTACAGACACCCTCTACAGCGAGGTGTAGGTCGCTTGCTGCTATTAATTTTTGACAGAAAATATCTATTTGCACTAGACTAAAAGTACAGGCACACCAATGCTTTCAGGGGAAAATATCTTCTGAGATATCAATTGAAATTTCAATTGAGATCTTATTTGAGATTTTATATTTAATGGTCATCATATGAAAACATATGAGATAACCTGGGAGAAAAATTAGATTTTTTGTGAAATCATAAAACCAAGTTGTAAACATTCAAATCTTAAAATTATAAGGATTTCAATGATGAGAGAGACTTAGAATTTCAAAATTTTATGTGATTATTTCAACTCTAGAGAAATCATATCACCCACAGAAAAGTGGCGTAAAAGGTATCATATTTCATTGATTGATCATTCTCATCAGTTAAATGTTGATCAGTATGTGTGCTAATATATTGGCTTTCAGGCCCTCAAAAGGTTAATACTACAAACATTTAAATTTTAAATTAATGATAGGTTCATTCCTAAGAATTATAAATCATTTACTGAATCCTTCGTTAGAATAAGTACCAATGAGTGTAATTAGTTCACCAAAAATTTAAAAGTTGATTACATTAGCTGTAATAACACAAACTGTTTCTAACAAATCTTTATTTTATCATAATCTTTAATTTGGATCATCAAAAGTTTGTAATATATATTATAATCAGTTATAATTATGAACTAATGAAGTTATAGTCCAATCTGGTATAATTTATCGACACAAATAAGAATGAATATGTTGATAGTTATAGATAATAGCTCGTACTAAGTGCTCATAGTTATGAAGTTCATGTTAATAATCAATTTTTAAGTTTATATAATTTATAGTATTTTGTAACGTACGCACATTGAGAAAGTTTACCTATAAGGGGTTACATAGCTTTGTAATTTTTGAAAAATCAAATTTTGTTTTATTGTTCTAAAGTAAGTGAAGAAATGTCATAAATATAAATTTAAATTCTAAGAGTCAGGTATTAACCAACTTATCCTATGATATTTCTAAGTTTTATGTTTTTTGGATAGAATACCATTTAAAGATGAGTTGCTAAATAGGATGGAAAATAATGAGCTATTTGATAAATTTTATAGCATATATTACCATAGTAAAATTTATAGCAAATATATGAAATTTTATCACTTTATTAATATTCTTTTATGTGAGCTAATGGTCATCCTATTCTATCTAAGTATGAAAACATATATTCAAATTCAAATCAAAAAAACAATTTAGTAATATTTGAGAATATTTTCTTCTTTTTAGTTATCTTCAGACAAGATATAGAAAAATTTTAAAATTTTATTGTTTTGAAAATAAAATGTTTGTTCATTCAATCTTTAATTTTATAGTGAGACACTAGAAATAGTCAGCGTGCAACATTATTGATAGTATTATAATAGAATTTTTCAAAGACATTATTCAATGGCATAATTCAATTCAAAGTTTGAAATAATAAAACTCTTAACTACACTTGTTTCTAATTAAGTCCATATAATACTTATAATATAATAATTTTGAATAAGTAACTTATTCAACGTTTCTTTTCTTCTCTTATGCTTCAGAGAAGGCTTAATTAATTTTGGTAGGAAAAGATAACACATTACCATGTATCAAAAAGAATAATGGAGATATTTAAAATTATGATTACTTACTATTTCAACATATGCTCTTGTTTCATCTGCTCGATTAAAGTTTAATTCAATTCTTTCATATTTTAATAATGCAGTTAAACTTTTTTGTAGCATTACTATTCTTCCTTCAGGGCCTCGATAATTTTTCAGTTTTCGTGGTTTGATATTGTTAGTATGTTTTAATTTTGCAACAAGATTCAAGATTTTGGCTTGATTCATTTTTACATAAATAAAATCTTGGAACTAAAATGCAAACTTTATCTAATTTAATAAATTCAATTGATTTAATTAATAAATGATCTAAAAATGATAAGATGTTATTCTAACCACAATACTCTGCACTCGCAGTTATAATACTTATAATAAGGCACTATTATGACCCAGACACAAGAATGAAAACATTATAGCGAAAATACCGGGACACCTAATCTGGATTCGGATCACCTAAATAACGTGCTAATGATTTCATTTTTAGTTTAATTATAAAGAAATTGATCAATATTAAAATAAAGATGGAAAGAATATTTTCTTATTTAATTTACCATTTAACGATTACTATTAATCAAGTAAATTAAAACTAATTTCACGTTCGTCTACTCAACAGAATATTTCAGATCCGGGCCACCACAGGCGCCACGGTATTTTTCTTCGTGGACTATGAGCGTAGAGCTATAAACGATATCCTTAAAAAAATGTTCTACAGGATCCAGCGAAATTTTTTCATGAAGAATGCTAGAATGAAAATTTAAATTCATATTAATTTTATGTAGATCGTTCAAGACAATTCTACACGAAAATTTTGACGAGATTTTAAGCATTTTGGGTGATTTTTCGACGTTTTTTACACGATTTTCGATGCGATGCGATATTTATACAGTTCAAATCTCTTTACAAAAATTTACCAGAGAGTAGTTGACATCTTACATAAGCTATTTAAATAGTTTTGGAATTGAAAGTTCTTATCGAACCTGATTATATTTCGAGATCTGTTTTTTTTTTGTAAAAGTAAACAGAAACTCAAATCATTTTGAAATATATTTTTTGTAATGATAATTTTTAACAAATAAGCTCTCTTGAATTATTTCCTTGGAGTTTGAAGTCCTTTATACTGAGCTAGAAAATTTTATATTTACGACATATATTTAATGAATTTCTGAAAAATACTAAAAACACCACCTTTGGGTCTCTATAGCACTGCGTGGCATAAATTCACATTTATGGCACGCTTTTCTTTAAGTCGCACATTCTGGCACCGGTGCGTCCGCATTACACTCGCATATACGCTCGTACATACCTTAACCTACTTCGCGCTACTAAAAAGTGCGACTAATGGTTCGGAAAAAGGGGCACAGTGCTATAAAATAATGTTCGGCCCAGCTATTAGGACCCTCGCTGCGCTTGGGCCCTAAACTACACCGTGCCAAAAAGTGTTACTTATGGCCTTGCAACGTAAAAAACTATTAAAATAGGGTCCTAGAAGGAACAACATTTTTTAAATTTTGTTAAAACTTTTCTATTCAATGAGAATTATCTCCTAAGTGAAAATATCACTCGAGATCTGATTCAAAATCTAACTCAAGATGTGGCGCCAAATTTAGGGCCGGTGCAAAAACTTTTTGTTGGTCTTACACTTAATAATCGACATGAAAAATAATTGTGCCAGATCTGGTATCAGATTTGAGGTCTGAGATGAGGTAAGCTGAGAATCGGCTATATTATGTAATGAAAGTTTGTAACGTTCTTAGTACACTAGATGTAAAAAGATTTGTTTCCTAACAGAAAACGTTAATACAGGGCCGCCAGTGTGTATAACTAATAATAATCTGTAATAGCGCGCTTCACGCGCTCTAAACTCATCTTTGTTTTTATAACTCGCTCACGCCTTCTATGAAAAATTAATCAAAACGCTCAACTTACTGCCAAAGTGTCAATACTCAATAAACAACAAACTGATACCTTCTGCAGCCCCATTCTCTCAACCTATCAGAGCGCGCTTAATAAAATGCAATCGATACTAATTTTAGCTCGATTATCTAATGCTTTTTCTAAAAAAAGATAATATTATGCAGGCTAGCTAAGGGATCGAGAGTTCCTAATTCACTTTGTGTATAGGTTTTCTGTTGGGAAACAAAATTTTTTACCTTAATGCAATTAAACGCCCAACTGTCCATTTTTAAAAAAATGGAAATTGGCTGAAATTTCCAGCTAAAAATTGATGCGATTTTTTCAACCTTTTTTTTGAAAAACAAAACAATTCAGAAATTGAAAAACTTTTATAAATCGTATCTTGTAGAATTTTATAAAAACGTACGTTTAAGTAATACTTTCATAAAGAAACTCAATTTTTGTGCGCGCAGTAACCTAAGTTTTTTATGTGATAAAACGGCAATTTCTCTGGACAGCAGTCTTAGCTTTTATTCCCATAGTGAATTAATTTTTTAAGGCCATTTAACAAATTTATTTAGTATAATTTTGGATATTATAAGCACATAGAAAAATATTAATTTTGATATTTCAAAACTAATTAATATTGTTTATAATCAGATTATATAGATGGCGCTATACTAATGCGAGGAGCTATCTTTATTTCACACTACATTCAATTTACAAGGTCTTTAAGTGTGTTTACCTATAATAATTTATAGGTCTAAAAATTTATTTGTAGAATGTCGATGATGCCCTCGAAATCATTATGCTGCTCAGCTGCAGTTGAAAATATTTTGTAAATCACTATACAAACCTTCTCATGAAAAAATATTCGGATTGAATTGTTATTTTATAAACGTAAACAACTCATATTACGTAACCTCAACTTCGATAATCTCATCTGTTCTATCCGTGAATAAAATCAACAACTAAATTTGCTAACTATGATAATATGATAATATATTATAAACTTTAACAATCAAAATTTTGTGATTTGATAAAAACAGTGGTTTATAATTCATTCATCGAAATTCTTTTAATATCCTAAATGATATATATTGCAATGATAGTGATTGTGGATATGCCTCGAACAATTTAAACACACAGAATGTATTAAAATTTTAAATTTTAAGTTGAAAAGATACATATCTATATAGTTTTATATAGAGCTGTAACCACATCCAATGCATCAATACCTATGTATGAAACAACAGCATAGTTATGACAGCAGGTTAGTTGTGACTATAGTTGCTCATATTTTATTTAAATTAAAAAAGAATTAAATTTATCAGTAAAACTATTCAAATGATCTTTTATTTTTATTGCAACTAGTGCTGAGTTTAATTAACTATTATATTTAATTTATATCACTTACTCTAGTGTGGACAAATAACAATATAACTAATGGATACAATAGTATCATTAAAGTGTAATGATACTTTCCATTGACTTGTTGATTATGAAAACTCACTCAAATATCATTGCAAAAATGAAATACAAATAAGAGTAATATTTACACCCATTGACACATAATCTTTATCATGGTTTGATTACCAGTCCTTTTACTTCTAGTATCAATGTTGTAGCATTTTTTTACCAAATTCTTTCGTGGTTATCGTGAAAATAGGCAGATCATATGATATTCTTGTTCGCTATATGATTCACTTAAAATTAATTTTTGCAAACTTAGTCATAGAATTTATATAATGATATCGTAAACGATTTAATTCTGTATTACATTTTTAAAAAAAAATGTAGATTTTGAAATCAATCTACTTTTTGTTTATTTTAATTTCAGGATCACATAATGATTTAAACTGATCTAAATAAACAATATAATGTAGGCAAATAAGTATAGCATTTATGTAAAATTAGAAATTGACAAAGTTAATAAAAATTATATTTCAATAATTAGAATTTATACAAGGATTAAATAACTAATTTTTTACGACATATAGTAGGCCAATTTATTTTTATGCTGACATATTACATATACTTTTAAAAAAATGAATAAATCACTAAAGTTGAAACAAAAGTATTTTTCAAGTCATAGAAACTTTGGGGGTAAAGATTTAGGTATTGCTTCGATTAAATTACTCTATCTTAGTTTTAATTATCTTAGCATAAGCAAAATCAGACTGATGAGAACATTTATGTGAGTATCTTATATCATTATTAATAAATTGAATTAAATCAAATGCTTTCTAAAACTAGGTCAAAATAATCTTGAAATAAGTTTCTAAGTAGAAGGTAGGATCATTTTAACATGTGATTATATACAGAAGTTATAACAATCTTAATCAAGATATATGATATATTTTGGATATTGAATATTGCAAATCTGAAATATTTTTAAAAACTGTTTTTCAGATTTATTTTCACATATTTTTTGATAAATATCAAGAGGATTAATGATAGTTTTTATATAGGCCTAAAAGTTTATTTGCCCCTCCTACACATTTTGATTATAAATGATGAATTACATTAAAACATCTAAAGTTGTAATTTAATGTCCCCACCTAATTTTATAATAACTTTTATATTTAATTTAACTCTTGGTATTTAGTAAAAAATTATTTTATCTTCATTTTTGTCAATGGATAACGAATCAATGATCTTCAAACTTTGTGAATACATTCAGGAGATGGATACGATTATGCCTGTTCTCTTGTTTATATATACAGTGGAAACTGTTTAATTCGAACCTATTTATTTCGAAAGCCCGGTTAACTCGAAGAAAGGTGCCGGTCCCGGCCAGCTTCCATTTAAAACAATGTTAAAACAACCTTTTTATTTCGAATAAAACCCTGCTTATTTCGAAAAAAATTTTCTGAATTTTTTTGAATTTTGCAGGTTTTTAATACAATTTTTCGAAATAAAAATATTATATTCTTGAAATCATTCATTGCGAAAGTGATTCTATCGACCAGACAATAGTTTTCAATTGGAAAAAAATACTCGGTGAAAAGGACGTATTCAATGTTGACGAAGCCGGGCTGTTTTACCAGTGTTTACCAAATAAAACTGTAAGTTTGAAAGGTGAGACCTGTAATGGCGGAAAATTGAGTAAACAGCGCGTGACACTTCTCATTGGAGTTAATATGGAGCAGGACAAAGATTAATGCAAATTTCTGAAGACGGTTTCTGGAGACATTAAGAAACGATAAAACTATTTTGATGCTCTAGATCGAGCTAGCAGGCTTCAATCGCAATTCTGAAACGGTCAAAATTTATTAAAATTTGTCAAGGAATTTAAAAAAAATATTTTCAAATTTTTTTACCGGAACCATCGGGTTCTAGGAACCTTTTTTTGTTAAAAATAGCATTTTTCGGCCCTAGAAGCTATCGCCTTCAATTAAAAAATCGGAAAAAATTTGAGTTTATGTATTTTAATGAAAGAAACAAGAAAAAATTTTTTTCAGATTTTTCAAGGCTCCGTACTGTCCTAAAAAAATTATTATCGTTTAAAAAAGCGGTTTTTGGCTTCAAAAGGTGTGTTAGGTAATCTGAAAAAATCTGAAAAAAATTGAGGTTATGTTTTTTAATGCAAAAAAACTGAAATAATTTCCGAGTACTACATCGGCTCATACCGCCGTATCTCGAATTTTAGAATTTTTAATGATTTTATCTGAAGGCCTGAAGCACTCCAAAAATTTGAAAAAATTCAAGGTTGTTTGGATTGTTGAAAAGTATTTTAATGAATTTTTTCAGATTTTTTAATGACTTCATGTCCGCAGAAAAAATATAGATCGAAAATGGACGTTTACACCGGAAGTGGGGGGTAGGAGGGGGGAGGGGGTCTAAAATTTTTTTTTGGGACCTTTTTACCATGCACTATAACATACCAAAAGCGCGTCAAGATCGGTGACATACGTGCGCACGGTTTTGTAAAAAAGTAGTATTTTGACCCAGATGTATCTATTTTATTAAAAATATTAGACCTTTTTTAATTCGAAATTCCGAGACTTTTTATTACAAGCCCTTTTTATTTCGTAAACTTTTGAATTACCTGGTTATTTCGAAATGACAGCCTGGTCCCCTGAGTTTCGAATTAAACAGGTTCTACTGTAATTGTCTTATAAGCTTACTTAAATGAACTTTTTTAGAATATCTTGTTTAAAGATCCAATAAATTCAATTTACTAAAAATTCTGGATAATCAAGTATAAGCAAAAGATCAAGCTTAATCGTATTAATCTCCTGATAAGAACCTTCGAGCCGCCCGAAAATTGTTTTAGTCGAGTTTCGGGCGGCTCGAAGGTTCTTAAGGGACGGCCACATTGAATTTACAGAGGGCACTGATTATCGTTTAATCTCCAATACCATTGGATTTTTTTTGCAAAATATTACAAAAATGAACCTGTGGCATAAATTTAAAGCTTACACCTCAAAAAAATAAATTATCCGAAACTAATACTCCGAAGTTATTTTTTACAAGTATAAACAATTCCAATTGTAGTGACGTCGATTTTTTAAAATTATTTTCAGTTTTGAATAAATGGTGTCAACTTGAAGTCAAAAATTAGCACATAAATTAGTGTCGGTTTTAAAAGGCTGTTCCCAAAAGAAACCACAAGGCCGAGCCAATAATTAAAAAATTATGTAGTCAAAATTAACAGCAAGATTTCACACTTATGACCCGTATCGTCACCGTTCACGTTTATTTTATAAAATTGAAAAATATATACATAAACTATATCACGTCAACTGTCCCCCCTCTTCGATCAGAGTTGTAATTTGATTTTTCATATTTTATTCTGCTTCCCACGGGTGAATATGAAAAAATTTTTGAAACAATTTTGTGTGAAATATAACCATACAGTGTACCACACAGGTATGTCTGAACGACGTGTCCGTGTGCACTCAATCATTAATCGTCAATCATTAATGGCACGGTCGATTTTCCTAATCTTTTGCCTTAGCCCGTCTAATACCAAAAGACCCTATTTTTGACTTATTTCTCCACGCGTTATTTTTCCATGAAAACATAGTCAAATTAATGTGAAAATACCATATTTTATGAGATTTTTATTGCTCTTTTTAAATCTGGCGTCAGATTTACGATATATGCAACCGTTTTAGAAATACAATTGTTTAAACAAAAAAAATTTGAATTAAACTTGAATTCGTTTTGAAACGGAACTAATATAAGTAGAGGCCGCGCAAGCGGCCTCGGCACTCATTAAACGAAATCACAATTAATCGGAAAGTATTGACTACAGAATAAATCGAAAAATCAGTTTTATTAAAAATTGATTAAAATTACATAGAAAACAAAATCAGCTGTATAAGAACAGCCGTAAGATGTGTAACGTCTTTATGAACATTAAAAATAGAATTTAACATTAAACAATTCAAGTAAATCTATCTAAAATTCGAGTAATTAAATGAAAACAAAATTCGAGTAATTAATTCAAAACAAAATTCGAGTAATTCGATTTAAAAAATTCAAGTAAATTAATTTACAATAGAAAAAAAAGAAGCGCTGCAAGATGTGTAACTGAAGTCACATTTAAAGGAACAAAATTAAAAAAATAAACAAATAAAATGAACCAAATAAAACGAGAGGGTATTTGACGTTGCACTTCTGGTGATTTTTGTATAATATGCTCGGACACCGGAAGTGCAACGTAAAATACTTTTTCGTTTTATTTGGTTTATTTTATTTGTTTATTTTTTTTATTTTTCACCTTTAAATGTGACTTCAGTTACACATCTTGCAGCGCTTCTTTTTTTTTCTATTGTAAATTGATTTACTTGAATTTTTTAAATCGAATTACTCGAATTTTGTTTTGATTTAATTACTCGAATTTTAGATAGATTTACTTGAATTGTTTAATGTTAAATTCTATTTTTAATGTTCATAAAGACGTTACACATCTTACGGCTGTTCTTATACAGCTGATTTTGTTTTCTATGTAATTTTAATCAATTTTTAATAAAACTGATTTTTCGATTTATTCTGTAGTCAATACTTTCCGATTAATTGTGATTTCGTTTAATGAGTGCTACTTATATTAGTTCCGTTTCAAAACGAATTCAAGTTTAATTCAAATTTTCGATTTAGTTTTGATAATTTTGAGCTTAAGGTTTGGTTGTAGTTGCCGAGGCCGCTCCGCGGCCTAGACATATTACCATCCTTCACCAAAATTTATATAAATTAGTCTACCAGAACACTACGATTTATTATGTACGATTGTAGACATGTGCGCGAAGCTATACAATAAAATAACTCGAGTTACTATTTGACCGATCCACACGCATGAAAACGCAACGCGCGAGTGAGAGACAAAGACGCAGAGATACACAACGCTACATTGTACGTTTCATAGACATGAGCGCTGACTGCCGAGTACTGCTCGCCCGTGCTGTGCGTGTCACAGCAGAAGCGCGCAAGCAGTCACTCGACACTGCCTAGCGTAGACCAATCACAGCCCGAGAAGCAAACAGACGCTACTGGGACTAAAAACCTATGATTATCGAGCTCGCTCGCTCGTTTTTCACGGATTCACTAGCCTACCCAACGAGGCATAAGACGTTACACATCAAAAACGTGGTTTTTGAACATTTTTTCTCAAATGATCGTTTTTTTCACCACGATTACGCATTCGGATCGGTTTGAAACTCTGGATCTGGTGGAATACAGGCCTAAACTGAAAGTTAGCGGCGTTGGTTCATCCAGATTCAAGAGCACCACCAAAACAGCTGATTGTAGCCGAAAATGTAAAAAAAGCTTTGGTATTTTTTTATTCGATAAGAATAGACTCTACGAAAAAATTTTATAGGACAAAAAGTGCTTCGAAGTGATCAAAAAATTTACACGTGTTCTTTGATCAATTCTAAGCACTTTTTGTTCTATAACATTTTTTCGTACAGTCCATTTTTATCCAGTAAAAAAGTATACACTGCAGGACGCTACTGTACAAGTTATAACGCTTTGGCGTTTTTTTACTCAGTAAGAATGGACTGTACGAAAAAATGTTATAGAACAAAAAGTGCTTAGAATTGATCAAAGAACACGTGTAAACTTTTTCAGAATTTTTCGCATGATTTTGGAAATTTTTATAAAATAACCCCTGCTGAAAAAAATCATGGGAAAAATCATATGATGTTTTGGCATGATTAATCATACGATTTTTTATATGATTTATCATATGATTTTTCCCAGCAAGTGAAGCAAACCCTTATTTTAATATGAAATCTATTGAAGAGGAAGTGCCAAAATAAAATTTAAAGTCTGAATTTATTAATGTCATTGAAAATGAAGAAACTACTTTTGAAAATAGCTAAAGAAATGTACATTTAGAGCACAACAATTTGAATTATTTAAGAGTTTGAAGTGAATTATAAAACTGCCGAACTATCGAATCATCAAACTGCCTTAAATTGTACCGTTTTGTAAAAGATTAGCATCGATATTTCCTTGATGATACGATAGCATAGTTATATCTGAATTTTCATGCCTACTTATTCTATAATTCACTTCAAACTCTTTTACATTATTAAAATTGTTGTGCTCTAAATGTACATTTTTTAAGCTATTTTCAAAAGTAGTTTCTTCATTTTCAATGACATTAATTAATTCAGACTTTAAATTTTATTCTGGCACTTCCTCTTCAATAGATTTCATATTAAAATGAGGGTTTGCTTCACTTGCTGGGAAAAATCATATGATAAATCATATAAAAAATCATATGATTAATCATGCCAAAACATCATATGATTTTTTCCATACATACTCAACATAATTATCTCAACCAAAAATTTCATTGAAATTTGGTAAATTTTCAAATGCTTCGATCTTAGTCTAAATTCATTTTATTGACATGAATCTTGTTTTTAAATTTTTCGGAAATTTTACCCTCTTTAATCCACGTATACCATGTATGGGTTTAAAAGTCAATATCGAGTAACCAGTAGTATTTGAACGCAACGATGATAGTTAATCAAAAAAATTGATTGTTCAAACGTTTCCGTGGACTACAGTAGTTTGTTTATAAAAATCTAACATACATCGTCGCAAAGTACTTTTCTCAAAGAGTAGTTAAAAAAAATAGAGCTCTCTACGATTATTTTTGCGGCCCGTAGGTTGTTTTGAAGGTACCATTCAAAGTACGTCAAATCCCTCGTTTAGCTGAAATCGGCTCGATTTTTTGCCATTTTGCATACATAAATGATACCTTCAAAACGACTTACAGGGTGCAAAAATAATTGTAATAGTTATTTATGTAACAAGTGCCCAAAAGGCGTTTTTGGGCACGAGTGTGCGGAAAAAGACACGAGTGCCGGCTATGCCGGCACGAGTGGGTGTTTTTTCCGCACACTGTGCGCAAAAAGCTGGGCACGTGTTGCATACAAAATTTTATGCAATAGTAGGCGAAAAATACGTTCATTTAAATGAGGCGTTTTACCGCACACCCGTGTCCAAAATGAGGCATTTTACCGCACACAAGTGTCCAAAAACGCTTTTTGCGCACTAAAAACTGTGCGAAAAAATACATTTTTCGTCATACTATTCCATAAAGAGCTTTTTTTTTTAAATTACTCTTCTAATTTTTTTTATAAACTTTTATTGTTGCATTCAAATACTACTGGTAAGTCGATATTTATTCATAACCATACATAATGTATATAAATTAAAAGAGCACAAAATTTCCAAGAAATCAAAAAAAAATCGTCTCGATACAATGAAGTCAGACCAAGATAGAATCATTTGAAAATGGACCAAATTTCGATGAAATTTTTTGTTGCGGTAATTTTGTTGAGTAGTTACATTAAAGATTCTAGAGATAATTTTCTGATTAAAAAAACATAATGACAAAAAATTTCATTATCAACATATTATTTTCATGTTTTTCAATTTGTGGGATGATACAGAATTCAATGCAGGTGTGCTCCCTTCACACATAATTACTGTTGGGCCACGCTCTCACTCTGAATTAAAATTAATAAATGAATATTCATTTGTCCTTCGTAACGAATTATATTACAAACGTAAGTTTCAGCATTATTTACGGCGTCATAGTATCTATAGTGACTGCAGGTTCAAACTAGTCAATTAAATTATCAAATGATTATTAAATTATCAAATGATTATTAAATCATCAAATGATCTCATTTTTTCATGAAATTTTAATTGAATGTAGAATTCTTGTTGTGATAGCCATTTTGAAGACCCCACATATTGCATTTTTATCACCCGTGTGGCTTAGCGTAAGCAAATATGACCCTAATTACAGCATAATCATCGTGTTCATGGTGAAAATCTTTATAAAATATAATAAGTATTGATTCAGATTGGTACTAAAATTGATACTATAATGTCCCAAATTATTATGATTTTTTCATACCCTCTAAACATTTAATATTTTATATTCAATTCAAAGTATACTTATAATATATGATACTTAAGTGTTCATAAAAATACTTATTTTCAGAAAGAAAAGACTGTAAATTGAAAAACTCCCTCATTATTGAAAACAGCAATTTCAGAAATTTTGTTTCGAGTAGATGCTCCAAAAAATATCCATCTACTTACAATCATTCTCCATTCGGTAATTCTAATGATGACCAAAGTAATAGAATTGGATCTTTTCTACAAAATGAGAATCATCCCTTGAGTAAAATTAATGATGACGAACGATTGATGGAAAAAGTAGACGATTCAAAAAAAAATATTAAATATCAACATAAAAAATTCAAAAAAATGGCATCGAGCGAAGAGAATAAAACAAATAGTGAAATTCCTTGTGAATTTTTAAGCTACATTCGTAAAGAAAATGAAAATGAAAATATTAGTATCGATCAATGTCGCAGTAATAATGTAATCGGTGCATATTATTTCCGTTTTAACTCTAAATGCTCATGCTACGATTGTAGCCATTCATCAAAATTCTCTCATATTTTTGGTAAAAAAAAATATACATGCCTTTTATGTGGATTGATCTTTTCATCAGATATAAATTTAAAAAAACATCACAAGTACAGAAAACATAAACCATCTGCTCAGAAGTCTTTTCGGCCGAAGGTAAAGTTATTCAAACTAAATTTACTTTTATGGCACTTTTTTTACTTCATTACTATTAAAACACTTTTAACGTTTTTTATTTTCTATAAAAACATGTAAGGATTTCGTTGATTTTAAACACACGCTTTCAAAGTCTACCTTGGGAGTATTATGACTGTAATACCGAGCTTAGCATACACCCTTTGTGTTATTTTTATAAAATTGATTTACACCGTGTGACGGAGTATATTCGGGATGCGTATACAACGCTCGGCGAGACATCCATGTAGACCTGTTACGGGGAGAGAAGAAAAGGTGTGCCGAAATGAATCTATGAAATCGTCAATTAACAATAACAATAAGGATTGATTTATTCGAGGGCGCCAGTCACTACCGTGACGCCTAAAGAATTAATTAATACAGAAAGACATAGGTTACAAATAATGTTCGGTACTTTACGATTCAACACGTGAATATTCACCCGGTACAATCAATACATGGCATCGGGCCATCGCGGTTATTTCGGTAGGTAACGACGGTCGTAGGTACAGGATATGCGGGGACCAAGTCGAGAGAGATCGAACGGTATGCAAGGTATATGATATGGCGCAACATATAAGAGAGATATTCGAGCGACTTACATTTGTTGACTAAACTTTATTGGTGGATGATTGGGCCAGACGAAGACTGAAAAAAGAGCGAGGGTAGATGAGAAGGCAGCCAGGTGTTCATGCTTCCCGAGACAGCGGGCTCACTCACACACACGGACAGTTGTAGGTTATACACACACTAGAGCTAAGTAGCAACGCAGTGCTTCGCGCGCGGTCTAACAACAGAGTGTTAGCTTTGTCGTGTTCTCGCCGACTCGTCATTCAGCATGTGCCCCTTCTATCTTGACAGGTTTTCGTCTGCTCATAAGCAGCACGCGCTGGACCCATCTACGCACGCAGCATGGGTCGCGGCTCTCTCTCTCTCTCTCGAATTCGGCGCTTATCGACACACGGCGCGATCCGCATTATTATTATTGGGCTCATTATTTCGCGTATCTCTCTCTCGACGGAAGGATATTTCAGATCAGGATAAGAAAGGAGTACCGCCGGATTCAGTGCTGGACGACTACTTCCTCACAACCGATACTACCGGATTTTTAATTTTTTTTTTACTAATAAAAAAAAATTAAAAAAAAATTTAAAAAAATCGATAAATCAGCGCCATACACCCCCCCCCCCCCCCCNCCCCCCCCCCCCCCTCCCTCCCTTAAGGAGCGAGAGTTCCACCTGCAGCTGCGAAGAGGTGCGGGTTCGGGCAACCTGGTGACACGTATTTCAAACAAAAGCGCCTAGCGGTCGCTGTGCGTGTATAGCTTGTTCACCTGCCATGATGTTGCTCGGCGAACAAGTGTGTCACTAATATAGGTGACATCCATGACGAATTGTCATTGTGCACCGGCAAAGGTTCGCGTGTCTCCTGTGTTTAGAAGTACCACATCGAGTGGGGTCAGTGAGTCCATGAGTGTAGTGCCACGCGCACGAGTCTCCCTGCATCCTCACTCCGCCGACCAGGCGTTGAAGTCGCCCGCAACAACAAGTGGTCTTTTGCCCTGAGCTTCCTCCGTGATGTTAGTGATAAAGGCCGAAAACTCGCCGTAGTAAGTCTTGGTGGCGTATAGACGCTGAAGAAATAAATGTCGGTTATGCGGCCGCAGGTAGAGAATGGGCTTGCTCGCGACGTTCGCTCCTGTATGAGGCGAGTCGAGGTTCCTACATTGGTCACGTACAATGGCCACGTCGATCCTCCGCTTACGAATGGTCTGGCGCTGGAGGTCCTAGGATGTCTTTTTAGCACGTAGGCAGCTCGGGCTGGTGGACACGTGATCTTCCGCACCCTGGCCTCTGCCGAAGACGCAAGACGGCCGATTTTTGCATTCGTTGGCATGATAGGCCGAGCTTTATGCGCGGTAATCGAGAATCGCAACGACCGCCGTCAAAATTCCCGCGTAAGCCTTGCAAAGCGATTTGAAGACGTTGATCTAGAGGCTGCTCAGCTGCATCACCAGTGCTCCGGATTCACTATGCTTGATGCTTTCTACTGTCTTGCCCACTGTGTCCGGTAGTTTTGGCTGCACGTAGAGTTTACACCGGATATGCGCATCCGACGCAGTTCCACCGATGATCGCTCTGACAACGGTTGCATCGGGACGTGCCTTATGTCGCACTTCGTGTGAAGTTCGTGTGTTCAACAGCCTGTAGTCGCCTGTTATTCACCACGCTAATTTGCAAGGGTCAACTACACCTGGACCACTATCACGCCTGTTACCTTTGCTTTGACTAAAGTTACTTTTTATACTCTACACCGGCATTAGAGATTAGTTTTTGGCATCGTGCACCTGAAGTCATGCGCACGGAGGCAGCTCGTCGGCGCCCAGGATCTGTCTGCTGGACCATTCTTCAGGGTTAAGAAAAAGCCTAGCAAGGAGGCAAGGAAACTCTCTACTTCAACCTTTACTTGCCACACTTCTCTGGTATAGCGTTCTTGACACACTGGGGTTTTCTGCACCCCATCTGAAAAATCGTTATAAAAAGTAATCTATTGAATATTTCAGACTGAAAATTTTTTTATAAGCTTCTGATATGTTGATTTTGAAAACTGTATACTTTTGGTATTGAAATATCGACATTAAATATGTTTAAAAATTCAAAATATCTAAAAAGGACGAAAAAACGACCAAAATCGATTAAAAATTCATAAATTTTTTAATTTTTGATAAAAATGGCTAAAAATTCAGAGTTGTCTGGAGATGTACCCCTTTAAGAAATAGGTGAATATGTTTAACGAGGTACGTATACAAACCCTCTTAGCACTCGACTTTGGTTACCTTTTTATTGACGCCATCGTTCTTCAATTTGCACGCGAGTAAAATCCTTGCATTGACAATAGCTCGATCCAACATTCCATAAATTTATCGCATAGGCCACCTATTTATCCTTCCAGCCGTAGCGTATGAATGATGAATGATAAAGTTTGTCAAAGGTATCGGTACCTCCTTCATTTTCATTGTAATATCTCACTATATCTGGTTTTTCATCTGTTATATTCATTGTATTCAAGTGCGATAATACAATGAGGATCATTTTTTTAGCTACAGCTTCAGCTGGAATCTCTCGTTTATTTTTTCTCACTGTTCCAGTTATTTTCAGGTGATAAGGGTCCTTTAGCATTCGCAATCACAAAGGTGTCGAAGTATAACAATTATCGCAAGTAACGCAACGATTGCTGTTGAATATAGATTGACAAAATGAACGAAAATAATACTTCAGGATTGCTTCATCCTTTTGAGTTATTTCGGTATTTTTACCTAAATATGGAACTGCATTTATCATATATGCAATTTTGGAATCATTCGGACTAATAATTTTGAGTCCATATTGATCCGGCTTATCTTTCATATACACTCTAAAAAGACAACGTCCTCGAAAATTCAACAACTGCTTACCAACAGTAGACTGGCTGTTTGGTAGAGTGTCCCTTATTTCCAAACTCTTTTAAATCCCATTCTCAACCCTTAGATGAACTTGTTTTACCAAAAAACTGAAAAAACCATCGTTAGATCTCCGGAAAACAACTTTTAAGGCTGCCCAAAATTATAAAAACGACTTTTTCTTAAAATAATTGATATAAATATAGTGGCAAAAGTACGAAAACCATTAGAAGTATCGCAAAGTAGGCTTGAAAAAAGTTCACAAACCCTCTACCCAACGTATTTTTTGACGAGGAATCCAATGGTGACCTTGAATTTGACCTTGAACATAACCTCGAAGCTACAGCGACCGAAAAATCGATTTTTTAAATGAGAACCCTCATTTTTTATTGCAAATCTGAAAAGAGCGGAAAATTTTACGTTAGAACATGTACTCTTTTATATTTTTTCAAGGTCATTTTCTGAGGCACAGCACTCAAAAAAAAAAAAACTGGTCTCGTCTGCTGGTCTTGTCTACTGGCCTTGAAAAGGTTCTTCGGTGTGCAGGTATTCAGTGTTTATACAGGAGGATGAGAATTGAACCTCGAACTCTTAAGTACAGAGCGAAGCCTCAATGATGGAAAATTTTCTCCTCTTTCGATCTAGACTTTTTAAAAAAATCTTTAAAATGAAGTTTTTGAATTAATCGACTTTAAAGTTTTCCTGGCGATGTTTTCGGAGAAAATAGAAAAATTCAAAAAATGCCGCGCAGTGTGGCACTGGGAGAGTTGATGTGAAATGCCACGTATGTTTGAGCTACGCAATATAACGTCAATAACGTATTTATCGCAAATTTTTCTAAATAAGTAGGTTAACATAGTCTTGTATCAATTGAATACAACACACATAAACGTGTGTATAATGCATGTCTTACACTTGATCATGTTCTAGTAACTTTTTCCCTTGTTTAACTTGCGCAATATTTTAGGTAAAAGTTATATATTAAACTAATTTATTATTAGGTAGTTACTTGGCAATAAATTGGTCGTGATTTTAAAATTTTATAATTTATCCATGTATCTTTTAGGTCATTTATAAAATTCACAATAATATATCATATATCATTTTGCAACTTTTAAATATTTATAACAGAATACATTTTTCAGGTCGAAAATGAATTTTCGGTAGCATCAGAGGATTCAAATTCCAATTCATCCAGTTCTTCAAATTTCTTTAAAGATTCATGTGAAAACAACTCAGATTCTTGTTCAAAATCTTTAAATTCGTGCAAAAAAATCTATAAACCAAAATTTCACTCATCGACGGAGACATTTAGTAAAAACATTAAATGTTCAGAATCAATAGCACAACAAATTCTTCCAAATAATCGATCATGCGAAAATGATGATAAAGCAATTCCAATCAATTCCGAACAAAAGGACTCTTATCTACACAATACATTTTCATTTGCACACAATTCAAATCATGGTTATAATCGAGAATATGTCAATGCAAATTACAGTCGTAAACAAAAATATTTACTGCATTCATTTTTACCCGATCAGACGAAACAAGTTAAAGTTATTGATAAAGTCAATAATTCGATTGTTATCAGTAGAACTGATTTAGTGAATGACGCAAGTAAATTCTCAATAATAATAAGTCCGCAAAACGCAAACACTTATAATTTTAAAAATGCTCAAGAAAATTGGGCAAAAGAAAATATAGTTATAAGAGAAAACAATAAGCAAAACAAAACTTTTAAAAATAAAAATGAAAAAAATTATGTTTCGGGCTCACTGGTTACAAGAGACATCTCGCACCCGAATGGACCAACAATCAATTCAACAGTTATGGTACCTGAAATTTCTCTCGTTGAAAAACACATTCCAGACAGCAAAAATTGTAATAAGTCCTTTATTCCCGAAATTGCTTCACGCCCGTCAACACTTTCACTTGACAAATTTATCATTAATTCTAAAGTATCTGACGTTTCACATGTGCCTCATACTTCAACTTTAAGTAGTCCAGAAACTCCTCGTCCCAACAAATCGTATGGACAAATGTTTCATAATGGTCATGCTTACACTTATCTCGGGCTCAAGTGCTCTACTCGAATGTTTTATTGTACTCTAAACAGAACTCAACCTATGTATGTTCAACATCAGCATGGGATTTCCATGTATTGCAATTGGAAAATATGCGAAGAAATATCGACTACCTCCAAATATGAGCTCAGTAATTATGACTCAAGAAATCGATCTTCTAATTACACTATGGCTGGAGATAATTATGAAGGAATTATTACTCATTCATTACATCGACCAGAAAAGTTAAATAAAAAATGCAAAAGTCTAATTCTCAAGAATAACGATGAAAAAAACTACTACATAAAAGATGATTCTGATATCAGTGTAGATGATGAGAAAGACTACTTATATGTTCGAGGACGAGGTAAGTTTGAAATATCCAATTAAAATAAAAATAGTATTTTTGAAGATGATAGAAATGAAGTAGCCTGTATGCCTTCATTGTAACTTAACTTCATTGTAAATTAACTTTTATTCTATACACACTGGCATACCCAATCCACACGGAAAAGTGATTAATTCATGAAACATTAAACAGAAAAATATTGCACTACGAAAGAGCGTGTAGCTTCGTCAATTGCGAAGACTGCTTATCGTTTTCGAGTGCATGATTGCGTGACATTTGTTGAAGCATTTTAATTTAGGAAAAATTCTGTTAATACATTAATACCAAGATACACATGAAATGTATATTCGTACACTAGTGGTATACACTTATAAACTGTTATGGCTAAGTTTTTCTCATATCCATGTGTTGGGCATCTTTCGTCACCACTGTTGCGCGCGATTTGCGCTCAACATGGGACTGAACCCCCACCATCAATACTTGGCACACTGCAGCCAAGTCAATATACCGGCGGCGTCGGCCACCGCCGACCAACATTTCGCGCTCATAAAACTTGGCCAAAATCGAATATCATTTCATACCAACATGAACTGAAATTCTGTTCACAAAATTTCGGTCGAGATTTCAAACCAAATGTCGTTTTCATTTATGAGCAGAATTTTTTCAGTGTGGATGATTGAAAAAAAACTGTTGCCCAAGCTCTGGAATCCCGATTGCATTACTTTTTTTATCATACTAAATATTGTGATTGGATTGACTGGCCATGCGATTGTGACTTTATTAATGTTGATCTCAGGGGCTCAAAATCTTCAAAAAGTACCCTTTTACACTTGAGTGGAGCAGAGTTTAGAAGAATTGTGTACAATTTGATGTTCACGTCAAAGTATGACAAATTTTAAGAAAATCAATATCTTATCATCGCTAAATGCTGTATTTAAGCTCTTGGAAGAGTAGCAAAAAATTTGTTCAGAAATCTGCGCCACTAGGTGAATGATCTTTTGAAGATTTCGAGAACCTACAGATAAATATACTGATATAGTATTCAAACATTAATAGATTGATATAGGATCGTGTGACCAGTCAACCAGAATATGTAGTATTATAAAAAAGTAATGTGATTAAGCTTTCAAAGCATGGTCAGAAGTTTTTTGGTCAATTAGGCGTATTATGAACATATGGGGCATTCCACGGTTTCTGGGGCCACTTTTCAGTCCAACCCTCTTGGATCTTTGCCAAATTTAACCACATTAAGTAGTAGTAAAAAAAGATAGTTCACCAATTTTCAGCCCTCAAGAGTCCACATATTGCTCTCAGCGCACCTTCAAAGATTGTGAATTTCAAAATTTGACATTTGTATATCGTTGTTTTGAACCCTGTAAAAGACGTAGAAAAAATTCGTTCAACATGTTTTTCGACGTAAAATTTGATGTAGATTTCGAAAAAAATACCAGTTTTACCATTCAAGATCATTTACGCCCTTAAAAATCAAAATTAAGTTTAAAGTCGATACTCAGGGTCGAATCCCACCTTTTTTTGCTTTTTTGATTTTTTTATTCGAATAAACATGACATTTCACATAAAAATAGTTACTTAAAAAAATACCTCAGTTCGATTCTTTTTATTTTTTTTATAAAAGAAGAAAAAAGCGTGATTTTCGCATATTTTTATAATCATTAATGCTCATCATTTCAGGCTATTTCACATAAATAAAATATGCTACAAGGTTTTAGAGGTTAAATTTTGTGAAAGTTTTGAAATATTAATTGTTTTATTGATAGGAAATCATGTAATACTGTAAAATTTCCAATTAAATAGAATAACTGTTTTAAAAATCGTTTTCGACGCTGTATTTGATTTTTTTTTGTATTTTCTGCAGTGAATTTAATATAACAATTTTGTTATAAAAATTTATTACGTGAAATTTATTTCAAATTTTAATAATGATATTGATAGTGATATGTTTTGTATAAAAAAACGCAGTGCCTCTTAATATTACATTTTTATTTACAGAGATCCGAGCAATATTTACATGACTTATAAATTTGGCGAAATTCATGAGATAGTTGATAAGAAATACAGAAGAATCTTATCAAAAATTCATAAAGATTGGAGTAGTCTAACTGTATTTTTAGTGGAATTTTACTTTGTCATTTCAGCGCGCTCAAATGCTAAAAAAAAACTTAAATCGCGTTTTTCTCAAAACAAGGTCTTTCAACGGGACGTTGACGCAATTTCAAGAAGTAATGAACCGATCCTCATGAAATTTTCACCAGACATTCTTGACAACTTAGCTATTGTATGAATTGGGCGTTTTTCAAAGTTTTGATTTTTTTTTATACATTTCAAGAGTATGTTTGTTAAGTGTAACACTTATATCAATATTTATAATATAAACAATAGAAAAAATTTTTTTAAAAACCTCCATTTTTCAGCGTTCTTAAGGTAGTAGATCCCTTAATCAACTGCTCAAATTTTCTGGTAGATTACTCTATATCATATATTGTTAAAGGCGTATCATATATGAACCCATTGACGCTGGGAGGACACGATTTTGACATTTATCTTTGCGTCCTTACCATGTCCCAATGCACATGAGAAAAATTATGAAAACCACTCTATATTATGATTTAGAGGGTGTTCTTTCTAATAGTGGGATTTAAAAATACGTAAATTAAAAATTTATAATAGATTGCAAATTCACATTATAAAAACGTGTTTTTAAGGTCAACTTTTTTTTCATTTCTCTGAAATTTCTCTTCAATCTGAACAACCTTAAATTTTATCAGATTTTTTGAGTGCTCCAGGCCTTCAGATAAAATCATTAAAAATTCTGAAAATCGAGATACGGCGATATGAGCCAATGTGGAACTCGGAAATTTTTTCAGTTTTTTTCGCATTGAAAAACGTAACCTCAATTTTTTTTCAGATTTTTTCAGATTGCCTAACACACTAACGAAACGGTCAAAATTTATTAAAATTTGACAAGGAATTCAAAAAATATAGTTTAAAAGTTTTTTATCGGAACCATCGGGTTCCAGGAACCTTTTTTTTGTTAAAAAAAGCATTTTTCGGCTTTAGGAGATCTCGCTTGCAATTAAAAAATCTGAAAAAAATTCGAGGTTATGTATTTTGATGAAAAAAAAAAGAAAAAAATTTTTCCAGTCTTTTCGAGGCTCTGTATCGTCCTAAAAAAATTATTTCCGTTGAAAAAAGTGGTTTTTTGCTCAGGTAATCAGAAAAAATCTGAAAAAATTTCCGAGTTCTACATTGGCTCATATCGCCGTGCCTCGATTTCCAGAATTTTTAATGATTTTATCTGAGAGCCTGAAGCACTCAAAAAATCAAGGTTGTCACTCAAAAAAATTTAAGGTTGTCCAGATTATTGAAAAATATTTTTATGAATTTTTTCAGATTTTTTAATTATTTCAGGGCTTCAGAATAAATATAAATAGAAAATAAACGTTTATACCGGAAGTTAGGGATAGGAGGGGAAGGAGGTCAAAAATTTTGTTTTTGGGACCTTTTTACCATGTACTATAACATACCAAAAGTGGGTCAAAATCGGTGACATAAGTGCTCACGGTTTTGTAAAAAAGTATTATTTTGACCCATATATTACTTTAAAGTATTAATGATTTTCACATTTACTCAATTTTATAACATAAAATATCCGCTTATTCGTGGTGATGTCATAATATTCGGTAGAAACGATTTTTTACTAATTCGCTATTTGCTGTGTTTTACTTCCTCTTACCTTTAAAAGAAGCTTTAAGATAAGTTCAAAGGCGAGTTTTAAACCAGGAATTCTATTATCATATTTTTAGAAGAAAGCTTATTACATATTGATAGCCCGCAGTTTTTTTCATTATTCTCAAGGTAGAAAATCTGAAAGAATGAAATAATGATTTTTCAGAAATTTTTTTATCGATCTTCATCATTCCGTTTTAAATCTCTGCTAAAATCTATCTCGAAAAAGAGACAATTTTACGAAGAAACACGAAGAACAAACAGTATATTAGTTTATTGTATGTTCGAGATTTATATCAAATTTACCTTGATTTTCTCACTTAAGACATTCATAAAAACTTAAGAAATATTATTGAAAAAATTAGTCGGAGAAAATAAAAAGTTCTTATAAATATGATTCCAGGTGAAGGCAAATTAAAATGTGAAAAATGTGGAATTCGTTGTAAGAAACCCTCTATGATGAAAAAACATTTGAAGACTCATACAAATTTAAGGCCATTTTCATGCAAGCAATGTTGCTTTAGGTAAATATCCTTACATATTTTACCGTACTTACTACAATTAAGAGGACACTACGACGGTGTTTTGAATAAAAAAATACTTTATATTTTTCTTAGAGAGAGGCATATACTCATAGTGCCTCCCTTTAAGGTCATCAGGATTCTTAAAGTTCAATTCTTTAAAAAAAGAAAGCCAGTTTTAAAATCTCTGAAAAGTGGTCAAAGAGGTTTCGTAAAGAAATAACAAAATAATTGAATGAATTAAAAAGTTTTGAATTGGTTTTTGGCATTAAATTTTACTCTAAAGAATTGGGGAACGATAATCAGAGCCCTTTGTAAATTCAATGCGGCCGTCCCATAAGAACCTTCCAGACGCCCGAAATACGACTAAAACATGTTTTCGGGTGACTCGAAGGTTCTTATGAGACGGCCGCATTGAATTTACAGAGGGCTCTGATTATCGTTTAATCCCCAATACGTTCTGAATGTTACAATCGGGAGTTTTCTCTCATAAACATCTCATTTAATAAATTTTTACTTGACTTCGTCGAAAAAATAAAAAATTTGCTTTTTTATGAATGCAAACAAATTTGAATGACATAGCTAGTAGTGTTTTCCATTGAATTGTGCGTAATAAATCCTAACTTTAGACAATATAAATTTAACTTCAAATTTTTCTGACTATTTATAATATCTATCAACACGATTTTCTGTTAGTTACACACAAAAAATCGAAAGTATCCATTATTTTTTCGATGAAAACAAAGTCGTAAAGCTAAAATAACTACTGCATTCGATTTGTAAGACAAAAAAATACGGCAGAAAATTTATTTTTAAAATTATTTTTACTTTCAGGACAAAGTTTGGAATCGGTTTTAAGGTTCACCTAATTTGCTTGTTTTTAGGACCATGTTTTTAAATTACATGCGCTATCGACACCAGTTTTCGCAACTTTTCAAAGATTTGAAACCCGTCTTTCTTTTTGTATAGTTATGAACTTTAAGAATCCCCACGAATTTAACAGGATATTGAAAATGTTTGAAAAAATGAATTACTCTCATGTACACCTTTAACTCGACAATTTTCTTTCGCACTTTTGAGAAGAATATTTCCTCTCCTCTTCAATGATATTTTTATAATTATGAAATTTTGACTTGTAGTGTTCATACAATTATGTCCTTGAACTTATTTTATATGATTCTCATATTAAATTTTGTCTTGCGTTTCGTGGTAAATCATATTTTCTAAAAATGCATTAACGTATTCTTAATATGGCTTAAACGAGCTGTTAAAGCCATATTTCCCAGAAGGTGTACATTTCTTCAGAACATGAACGATTATGGTCACTACTTCAGATGAAATGATAAAACCCATAGAAAGTCACATGATAGCGGTAAAAAAAAAATTTTTTTACGGAAAATGGATTATAGTTCAGGAGCGGCCTACCTTCCCGTAGGAAACTATAGGCGGATGGTTAGAATAAAGTGTTTCCGATGGATTTTAACCCGCTGCATACGAATTTGGTGGTTAATTTTGACTTCGAGTGGTACCATAAGGTTAACCCATTAACGACCAAACTGCTTGATTTTTTTGTTGGTTTTCGCAGCGATTTTTTTTGTAGTTTGAGGCCTTCAAAATGTTTTCTATGGACCTATTTCGATGTAAAATTTAATGCCCTTTCAGAAACTGAGCTCAAAATTTCGATTCTTTGCGTAATAAAAAAGTTATGGCTACTTATACGAAAAAAACGTAAAAGTTTTTGCAAAAAATCAAGTTTCTGATTTTTTTTCACCATGTTACCGTTAGGAAATCACGATATAAATATGATCAGGGGTGATCACGACTATCAAGATATCTCAGGGAATTTTTATGGAATTTTTGAACCACTACTTCAAACAAAAAATAACTTATATTCATATAAAACATAACTCATTTTTACTCGAAAACTACTGAATTTAGAGAAAAAGTGCAAAAAACAAAAGTTTGAAAAGAAGTTCAAAAATTCCATAAAAATTCTCTGAGATACTTTCATAGTCGTGATCACCCCTGATCATATTTATATCGTGATTTCCTAACGGTAACATGGTGAAAAAAAATCAGAAACTTGATTTTTTGCAAAAAATTTTACGTTTTTTTTTCTTATAAGTAGCCATAACTTTTTTATTTTGGTCGTTAATGGGTTAAAAACCCATTTTTTCAAACAAATTACCAAAATGGTCAATATGGATTTTTAAACATCATATTCGTGTTCTACGGAATATTTAAAAGAAAAATGTTTTGTGTAATTTGTCTCTGAAATGCATATGTATCGAGTTATAAGCGATTGAAAATAAAAAAAATCGATAATTTCGTGATTTTCAACCGCGTGTAATATAATAACATGAAAAAATAATAGTTTCAATGTTGTCAGCGCTTTTTATTATTCTTCAGACATCCCTCTATGAAGTCTCACAGTTTTTTTCAAGATTTCTAAAAATTAACTAACGATATTACACAATTTTGAGCCTTCGTATATGATATAGCATTGTCATGGCATGGGAGCGCAGGAGACGACGCGCGTCCACTGTACAAATTTCATACAAAATCGCAATAAATTAATCGCGTAATATCGTTAGTGAATTCTAAAAACTATGAGACTTTATGGAGGGATGTCTGAAGAATACTAAAAAGCGCTGACAACATCGAAACTATTGATTTTTCATGTTATTACACGCAGTCGAAAATAACGAAATTAGCGTTTTTTTTAATTTTCAATCGCTTATTAGTCGATAAATATGCATTGTAGAGAAAAATTACTAGAATATGTTGTTTAAATATCCATTTTCGACCATTTTGGTAATTTGTTTGAACGCATGGGCTTTTAACCATATGGTACAACTCGAAGTCAAAATTAACCACTCAATTCGTGTTCAGTGGGTCAAAATACATCGAAAACACCTTATTCTAACCATCCACCTATAGTTTCTAATGGGAAGGTGCCCGCTCCCGGACTATTGTCTTTGAATGTTTATGCAAGCCAAGCTATGGGTTCGATCGTCTTGTCAAAAGTTGAGACTTGATGAAGTAGCTCTTTATAAAAAATTTAATCTGGAGAAGAAGAAAAATAACTCAAAAATAGAATAAAAATCCGACTTCTAATTATACGTGTCCTCTTAATGTTATCAAAGAGAATCTTTAATCTTTATTAAATGAAAAATTGAATTTTTTCAGTTTTTTGAAAACTTAGGATATCTCTGAGTACAATTAATAAATAAACTATTCTAATATTTTCATATCTTACGATAAGAGTATCAACATTTCATTTTCAGCTTCAAAACTAAAGGAAATTTGACAAAACACGAAAAATCAAAAACTCATTTTGAACATCGAGCTGATTCCAATGATAAATTTATCCGTCCAGATTCTTTCGTCTTTAATAAAGAATTTGTGAGTTCTGAAGATAGTTCTTCTAAAGATGGTGATTTTACTGCTGAAAGTACTTGTAAAAAACCTTATAATGACTGCATGAAAATTCAAGAAGCAGCTAAAAGTTTATTATGTCTCGCTGACACAACAATGGATCATGCAAGGAAACCTACTATCAGGCCATTAACTTATCCTTACGATTCTAACATAAAAAATGAAAGCATTTCTAATGATCATTTACACTCATTAAACGAAAGTTTTATTGAAAAAAATGTAAATTCACCAATAGATTTGAGAATAAAGCAAAAGATGGAAGTGAACCTTAATCATAAATCCGAACCTGCAAAAGTGCATAACAACGAATCTTTTAATCAAAAAATGATACAAGCTTACGTTACAGAACGTCACTTACTTAATGATAAATTAAAAGGCCACTGCAAAACAATATCAGTCATATCAGAAAATTTTCAACCTGATAATATTGATCTACATGAAACTCAGGAACTTACAAATTATAATACTTTTTATCAGCATGATAATATTACAGATTTTGTTGAAAACCACACATCACATCAACCCCTTCAAGAAAAGCCAGATTTACGTAATTCAGTCATTATCAGATCCAATGAAAGTGATGAAATGTTAATGAAAGATGATCCTTCCGCCGTTATCAGTGACCCTATAGAAGCTGATAATCCTGAAATATTATATTATAATAAAAACGAAAACGTGAATGTTAATGAACCGTCTAAGAGTGAAAATTTAATACATAAATTAAATAATTTAACAACTAACCCGAGTTTGTTAAAATCTTCATCGATACAAACAAAATCCCACTTTCTCAAGTATGTACATTTTTTACATTTTAAATCAATTTTCAATATCTCAAATTATTTTTATGTTACACCTTTTATTTACTATTTTCTTTTAATTTTTCAGTAGTGTAATTGTTATTTTGCACACTCTTTCTAATGCATTCTCCCAATGTTATTTCGACCTATTTCACATTAAAAAAGATTCCAATACTTAATATGGCTTAAAACAATCACTGTCCATTTCCTCAAAGACCTTGAACTTCCCAATCGAATTCGGAATTTAAATTCCCAAATAATATGAGAAAAAATCGTCTTTTAGCAAATTGAATCAAATGTCGTAGGAAATCCATTGCCGGATTCAACATGCGACGGTATGTCGCAGGGATATGGTAGACTCGAGTAGTGTACTGGGGCTAGTGTACTGTTATTAAGTGGGCTGATGTGTGCCTTTCTACTAATACCGACTAAAACCAATCCTCTCTTCGCTTGCCCCTGTACAGGCTCTTTTAGATTTTCATTCCTCGTGTTTCGTTTTCTTCGCACTGCATTGTCTGGTCATCTTCTTCTGGTCCTCTCTTCGTTTCTTAGTCTTGTCATGACTATGCTGGTGATGGAGGACATTGCTTGGCGCTCAGCGGCAAGCATGAACCCAACTACCGTCTCGGGCTCCAAGGACCGATTAGTGAGGTGGTGGAGTTGCTTTCTTTCCACAGTAAATCGAAGGCAATGGAAGAAGACGTGCTCGACGTCCTCCACTGCGGCAGAACGGGCAAGAATTTCCCGTGTCGTTTTTCATACGCCATAGATATGACTTAATGAAATCGTAGCCGGACAGGAGTTGGGCGAGGTGGCAGTTTACTTCTCCATGTCTTCTCTCGATCCACGGGGTGACGTTTGGTGAGTCCACCGACCCTTCCTTGAGCGTAGTCATTGAGCCTGCAATTTCTCCAGAGTTCTGGCATGTTTTTCCCTCGCAGCATCCTCGCAATGATGCTTATAAAGCCTTAAGCGCTTGTAAATCAGCGAAAGAACGGGGAGCAGGGTTTAGACTACCGTTCAATCACTTTTGCCATACCTAAGTAAAAACTGAGTAAACTTTAAAGTGTCATAGCTCAGTCAATAAAGGTCGTATCAAGATTTTATAAGTGCTATTTGAAAGGTCTTTACAAGCATTTTACAGTTATATAAATTATGATAGGATCCAATCATTAATTCACTAATTAATTTCAACAAATGAGGGATCGAAAAAATCAGTTTTTCTTGTAGTTGCTCTAACTTCTTACTTTAGTACAAGGTCATGGAGAAACATTCTGAGCCCATCAATTTGTAGGTTTTGACAAGACCTTTAAATCCGTTTAGCTTTAATTACCCTACGTGCATTTCTCGCAAAAATACGGTGGTTTAGCTGGAGAGAAATAATTGATATCATTTTTCGATTCATTTTTCATTCATACGTGCACAGCGTTGTAAATAATATAGGAAAAAATCTTATGTACAAAAAATTTTTGTTTTTGTATGTAGAATATCAAGTAATATTTATGGATCAGATTTTTAGAATATTCATAGTTTTGACTTATCAAAATTTTAGAATTTTAAAAAATATCAGGATCCAGTAAACGGCAGTAACTTCGTGAAAAATGCAAGTAGGACAATTAAAGTTGAATGGATTTAAAGGTCTTGTCAAAACCTACAAATTGATGGGCTCAGAATGTTTCTACATGACCTTGTACTAAAGTGAGAAGTGAAATAGCAAATACAAAAAAAACTGATTTTTTCGATCCCTTATTTGTTGAAATTAACGCTTTAAGGGTCCACTATACACGATGTGAAATGCCCAGTCGGCAACACCAGCTACCTAGTTATATTTATGTTCAGTCTGAAAAATTGGAAATGTTATTCGCAAATAATTTAATTGACGCACATTTCAAATACACTCATTAACATTGTGGTCGAGTTTTATCCAATTCCATGGATTATTCAAAGAGAAAAACGAAAACTACGAATAATCATGATCAATGTTATTTAATAGGTTATGATTATTCGTAGTTTTCGTTTTTCTCCTTGAATAATGCATGGAATTGGATAAAACTCGACCACAATGTTAATGAGTGTATTTGAAATGTGCGTCAATTCGATTATTTGCGAATAACATTTCCAATTTTTCAGACTGAACATAAATATCACTAGGTAGCTGGTGTTACCGACTGAGCATTTCACATCGTGTATAGAGGACCCTTAACTCCCAAAATTGCAATTTTGCGCATAAATGTTTGATCTATTGAAATCCATAGATAAAGTTTAGGGCTGTGCGAGTACTCAAAAAAACTCGACTCGTCGAGTTCGAGTTTTTTCCTCGAGTTCGAGTCGAGTACTCGATTTTTCGAGTACTCGAGTTTTTTCGGGTACTCGCGTTTTTTTCGAGTACTCGAATTTTTTCGAATAATCGAGTTTTTCCAGTACTCGCAATATGTTTAGGTTTTTAGTAAATAAAGGATAAATTAATATTCTCTAGACTACCTCTCTTTGTGTGTACATGCTTATAAGTGTTATATTCGCAGTGGATTGGATTGGAATAAGAAAATAATTTAATAGTACCGGACTTCATCACACTTATAAGCACGTACACACAAAAGGAGGGGTCTAAAGACTGTTAATTCATCATTTACTTACTTAAAACTTAAATATATTACGAGTACTCAAAAAACTCGATTACTCGAAAAAATTTGAGTACTCAAAAAAACTCAAGTACTCGAAAAATAAATCGAGTATTCAAAAAACTCGAGTACTCTAATTTTCCCGACGAGTTCGAGTCGAGTAAAACTCGAAAACTCGGGTACTTGCACAGCCCCAATAAAGTTGATGTTTTTTCTCTAAAACCCTTACTCTGGGGTTTTTGCGTGTGCTCTTTCAGAATGCAAAATATTAACAAAATCATTGTTTATTATGCAAATGAAAAAAAAACGCGATTTTTCGACTTGAAAATATTTTTAAAAGTCGATTTTCGACCTCTTCCTGCTATTGGAGGGCTCTGGAAACCCCAAAAGCCTTGCAATTTTGCTATAAACCTTCGAGAAAAACATTATCGGGATTTTCATCTAGCCCCTTTGCTTCTAAAATGGCGGATTTAGACCATGCAGCTGTATCAAACTTCGACAATTTTTTACTTGGCGGGGGCACGTCTTGGGTATTTTCCACAAGTCGCAGATCTACCAACTTATTTCGTCACTTGTTGACTCATTTTGCACAAGACCAGGATGTGCCCAATAGTTATCTGGGGTCACAGGTCAAACTTTTGGTGATATGGGACTTGCGAGTACTCGTGCGAGCTTGTTTTGCCCCTTTGTACCATTTCAAATTATTCCATGAGTTTCGTCTCACGTGTGTGTGTTGCGCCTTCTCTGTGCTCGACTTGCACACACACGCGAGTACACATACACGGAATATATACGCGTGCGGGGCTTGATCTAGTGCGTCGGTAATGTTGCTCGCGCACGTCCGTACATACCTTCTGCCTTTGCCTTGCTCTGTGTTCGGCTGATACACATATGCGCGCGGGTTCGATCTAATGCGCCGATGTGTGTTGGCCGCTTACATTCACACACACATTCATGCGACAGCGCTTGCCTGTCTCTGTGTTCATCTTACACACATGCCTCTTTACCCGCGAGATCAGGCGTCACACGTGTTAATTTGACGGTCTTATTTTAATTATTATATTTAAATTTTACTATACTTAACGCTAGGTTATTAGTATATAACAGCATCTATATGGTTGGTTGATATTATAAGACTCCTTTTTGGATAGGAGTATTATTTCGTTTATTTAATTGCTAATACTATCTAAGCAGCTTTCTTATCGAGACTGCAGTTAGACAGGTTTCATTTTTGCAAATAATAACCGCACTTGAAGAAACCCTTTTCTCAAATAACTTCACTCAACCTTATTCCATATTGGGGAGATCTGCCGGTTTCAATCGGCTCAGGCAAATTGACTAAATTTCGGATTATTTGTCGCGACAATAATCTGCTCAGAAATTTGTGGTTCTCTAAGGAGAGTAATATCGCAAGTTCAGCTCGCAATAAGGGTTAAATTCAAACCTTTATGACCTCTTGAACAGTTGCCAATTTGCTTACTTCGGCAAATTTAGCACTTGAAAACTCGCTGGAGCGGCTTTAAGGCAGCTACAATTTTATCAGTAGATAAAAAAAAAATTTATAAAAGAAAATACGGGATATAACAATAGTCAATGAATCGTTACAATGGATTTCTTATTCCCATATGCTAAGGATTTAATAATTTTTAAATAACTTTGATACTCCCACAATTTTAGAAAATTGACCCTTTTCCCTATAAGCAGGGAATTCAATGATTTGTTAAGAATGTAGAGGACATTTGAGTCAAGTTGGGCCACGAAGCTGAAATTTCGGAATTTGATAGTTAAAAACACTCATAAGGTTTTTCTGAAATTTCAGCTGCGTTCGTCGAGTAAATTTTTGTATTTTATAATTTCAATATAGTAGTTTTCGATACAAAGGCCATAAGTAACACTTTTTAGCACGGCGTAGTTTAGGGCCCGAGCGCAGCGAGGGTCCTAATAGCAGGGCCCAAAAGTGTCCCCTATGGCCCGAGTATCGAACAACATTTTATAGTACTGTGCAAAGTTCACATTTATGCTCCCTTTTCCGAGTCATGAGTCGCACTTTTGGTAGCGCGAAGTGAGGTTAGCGCACGAGCGCATGCGAGTGTGATGCGAACGCAGCAGTGCCAGAATGTGCGACTTATACCACAGAAAAGCGTGCCATAAATGTGAACTTATGCCATACAGTGCTATAAAAACACTTTTTAACGCAGTTACCATAGGAAAGCGCAAAATTTCTTTAACACTTTTTTGTATATCTTGAGATCAAGATGAGAAATCGTGATCAAATTTCGCATAATTATAGATGAAATTATTACCTTTCAGACGGTATTAGTCATATTGTCGATTCACGAGCATATACTTTGAAGTAATTTAATAAAAAAAAATAAATTCGCATTTGTTTTGTATGTAAACACGACGCTAGAGGTTAGTAGTAGACGAAAATAAATGTGGCCGCACGCGTGTACCACCTATTCATCTAGTCAAAGCAAGTACCTACCTTTCGTTGTTTCTTGAAAGTTACTGATATAACCCATTAAGTCCGGGACGGACACATTTCGGATACTTTTTCAACCGTCGTACTATCGCTGAAAATGTGGTCTGGAGAACTTGCGAGTATGTATATTTTACGCGAAATTTACCGACCATTTCGGATCTGGTGTCAGATTTTCGATATAACAAACAGGTCAAAAGTTATGTGTTGATTTAATAAAAAAAAACGTTATTTTAAAAAAAAATTTTTTCTTCTATTCGAATTTTTACCTGAAAATCTTTTAAATCCTGGCGTCTTCGGTCTTTCTCTTAAAGTTATAACGATTTCAATTAGTGAAATATGATTTGAAGTACAAAAAATGGCGAGTAGAAAACGAAAATATATAAGGAAATTTTTAGAATTTTTAACTCAAAAACGATGGATTTGAGGAAAAATTTTTACTGATGAATGAGTTCGTTGATAAATACTAAGAATCCATCGTTCTTGAGTTAAAAACCCCAAAAATTTCCTAATATATTTTCGTTTTTCAGTTGCCATTTTTTGTACTTAAAATCATAATTCACTAATTAAAACCTTCATAAAGTTAAGAAAACGACCCATGGACGTTTTATTTGTAACAGAGACGACAGAATTTAAAAGATTTTCATGTAAAAATTTGAAAAGAAGAAATAAATTTTTTTTTTAAATCACGTTTTTTTTGATAAAATCATCCATAATTTTTTACCTGTTTGTTATGTCGAAAATCTGACACCATATTCGGAAAGTTCATTAAATTTAGCGTATAACATGCTTACTCGCAAGTTCTCCAGACCCCATTTTTAGCAAAATTATGACGGCTGAAAAAAGCATCCAAAATGTTTACGTTCCGGACTTTATGGGTTAAATTTGGTTACGTCCCCAACGTCCTTGAAGAGCAGTTTTTTTACTCTTCGGTGCGTCGAGGTTTTTACTTTTCCGCAAATTGAGCATGTTATTTGAGTTAGCAAAAATAGTCTCTAGTTAAAATATCAGCTTTCGGGGCTCTAGGGCTTGAAATTGGGCCTCTCAAAAGTCTAAAAGTAGCCGTTTTTACAAAATTTTGCGTATTTTTCAAATCATCATATCTCAGTCAGTTTAAACAGTGATTTCAATAGTTTAATACAATATATCTCCTAATCTTACTTATCATGCATTGATTGAGACAATCTTTTAAAAGAAGTTGCCTATTCCAAAATTTTGGCTAATTTTTCCAATCGTACTCATTCAGCAGAAAATGAAACTATTTTTTGTAAAATTCTTGTCTTTCCCTAGTTTCTGAAAAGATTCCCAATCTATTTAGTATTTAACAGTCGTTTAATAACTTTTCTGCTTAAGGGTCGATAATACCCACCAAGTCGGTATTTAGTTTAACAATAAATCAATCATCTTTAAACTTTGTTATTCAGTTTAGGAGGTCAATACTATTGTGCCTGTAGTCTTGTTTTTACGGAATTTTCTTATGAGCTAAATTAACTTTTTTGGAATATTTTGTTTATAAAGGTTATGAACCCAAAATACAACCATAAATTCAATTTACTCGCAATTCTGGACAATTACGTAAAAACGATAGAGCAGGCATAATCGTACAAAATTTCAAGATAATAGATTCATTATTCATTGAAAAAAATGAGGACAAAATAATTCGGAACCGAATATTGATTGAGTGGACATGTCTGGCCCTAACACAATCTTGGCTACATTTTTCTTTCACGGAGTGTAAGTAGTGAATTCAATAGTTGATTGCAATATATTTTCCGATCTCATTGATGAAGCATTGAACTCGAAAAATTTTTGAAAAAAGTTGATATAGACAGAATTTTGGAACATGTCCTTATTTATACTGATTAAGCGAGTGAATGCCATAATTTATTGCAATGAATTTTTCCACTCTACTTATGAAGCATTGAATCTATTATCAATTTTTCGAAAATAATTGAATTTTTATTATATTTGTATATCCTATAATACCAATCGAATAATTGATAATTAATAATTCGTTGTAATAAATTACCCCATTTTATTAATCAAGCGTTGACTTTCACAAGTTTTCAAAAAAACATTGTGTTAAAAAAAAGCAGTTAACAATAAATTTCCGTATCTAGTTTATCAGGCATGAAGATTCATTTGTAACATATAGATGTGAAATTTGATGTTTAAAGTATAACAAGCTATCTATGTTCATAGAATGGCCCAATAAAGAATTTATATTGCCCAATAAAGATTTTATTTGGTTTTTATTTCCAAAAGCGTTTCAATCTTTTTCCCAGGGGCTGTTTTGGTCCTTAGTGTCTGAAAATAATTCTGTACTCCGATTGACAATTTTATAATAAAACGAAAAATATTGAAAGTCTTTGACAAATTTATTTTTCTATTAATAACTTTTTTTATCGACAGCATAACAGAAAAAACACGAAGCATGTGCAATATATGTAATAAGATTTTCAATAAACCAAGTCAACTCAGATTACACATAAATATACATTATTTTGAAAGACCATTTAAATGCGAAAGTTGTGGAACATCATTTCGAACTAAAGGTCACCTTACGAAACATGAAAGATCTACTCTTCATCACAATAAGGTTGGTAAAACTAATTTCTAGTTCAACTGAATAAATTACATTTGATTATAACGAAAAAAATCAATTGTTTAATATAAAGTTAATATTAACAAGGAGATTACCTAAAGTGCGGGTGATCAATCCTTACCAAAACTTTTTTGTGTCGTCCTGGTACCCAATCCTGAAGCCTAGTATGCTGAATTTGATCCCATGGAGCCTTCAAGTCATTTTTATTATCATTTAAATATAATTATAAGCGTTAAATGAGGAATAAAAGATTAATTTGGCTTCTCTCATCTATTTTACTTATAGAACCTTTTGCCCATCACGATAACTATAATCATATGTTCCTCATCCTTAATATCAATCATATATACCATTAAAAGTTTATACAGTATAATGCATTATCAACAATCTAATTTTAACGCGCATTGACAATGATCTCGATGATGAAATTGACTCGATTTGACGCATCTTTCATACTGCAAATGGTATACATTTGCAAATGTATTCAAAACGACCTAAAGGGCCCAAAGAAATCGTAAATAACTCTTGTTTTGAATTACTTTTTAAAAAAGAGTACTTTGTGATCTTATAAGCTTGATTAAGATACACGAATGACTGTAGTCCAAGTATACATTTAAACAATAGATGTTTTTCTGTCATTTCAGGAGTTACGTTTAAGAGGAGTTATACACCCATTTTTCCCTTATATTATTTTTATAATATAACGTGCGGTTTCTAGACAATCTACCGTTATTACATAAAACTACACTTCTGAGCTCTCCAAAATGTGAAAAAAATATACATGATACGCTTGTGCCTCTAAAAAATAACTTATTTTTGCTATCTGTGCATTTCTGCACTGTGCGCAAAGTGCAGACCAGACTTTTTATGGTAGAGAACTCTAGGTCAAACCAAAATCTTCAGAAAGATGCTCTCCGTGGATCGAGTTTTGTGGAATTTTGATTTAGACCTTTATTTCATTTCTATCATTCCATATTGTTATGTAATTAAACAAGACACGACCACTGTTAATAATAAAGTGTTTATTGAGTATAATATATAAGTATGATTTGAGGTACAACGTCGTCGGCTTTACACGTTTACAGTCGGTACGCGCCACGTGTGCTTGCGTCCGTAGTCGTATACAGTCTGGCGAGGTGTTCACACATTAGCTTGCTATCGGAGCTCGCTGTGTATCTCCTTTGGAAAAGCCAATACATTACAATTTTCTCCCTCTTTATGAGACATGCCTCATGTCTGCGCGCTTTTCCGCCAGTCGTAACGACCTTCTAGTAATTGCTTCTTTGGGTCGAGTTTTCTCTGGTTTGGGCTTTTCAGTGTCTATATTATCGTTTTCCGTGTATTTCAATATTTGATCGACATGCCCTTTCCAGAATTTCCCAGGAGAAACCTCGACCCTGAAGTTTACTGGGGATAACTGCGCCGTGATCGTACCAGGCGTTCTTTTGGTTTTACTGGTCGACAGGTCATCGACCCATACTCTCTCCCCTATAGAAAATGTCACGTTTCGCGAACCTCCCTGATGTAAGACTTGTTGCAGTTGCGCATTTTCTATGTTATCCGACACGTTGGGTTTTAAACAATCCAATTTTGTGTGCATTTCGCGTTTGAACATCATCCATGCCGGCGACCGCCCCGTAGAGCAATGCTCTGTACATCTATAGTCGAACAGGAATTTGCTTACGGCATCGGGTAACTTTTTGCCCGATTTTATCATTTTGGTAACCTTATTTTTAAATGTTCTGACAAAATTTTCTGCTGCGCTATTTGAGGCTGGATGCCCGGGCGCTGTAAATGTGTGTTTTACATTATTTTCTTTAGCGAATAATTTAAAGCTTTCGCTTGTATATTGCGGCCCGTTGTCCGTTACTAAATGATTCGGCAATCCGTATCTAGCGAACAGCGTTTTGAATATTTCTATTGTTTTGTTGGCCTGTGTATTCGACTTTATGTCTATTACTTCAGGCCACTTACTGTATGCGTCAATTACGATTATGAACATATGGCCTTCCAGTGGTCCCAAGAAATCACTGTGTATCCTGTTCCAGCACTTCGTCGGAGCCGGCCACGGATTTAAAGGAGTTTTTGGTGGCGCTGTACGTTCCCGCATACAAACTTTACATGCCGCCACCAATTCCTCTAGGTCCGTGTCGATTTTGGGCCACCACACACATGACCTCGCACACATTTTCATTTTTACACTACCAAAATGAGATTCATGTAACTCCGACAGAACTTTTTTTCTCAAGTTTTCGGGAATTATCACGCGTTGACCCCAAAGCAAGCAATCTTTTTCGATGAATAATTGTTCTCTTTTATTAAAATAGTTAAATTCGTTTGCGGTTAAATTTTCTTTTATGGGCCATTCATTTCTTACGTAACCAAGTATTTTATGTAATGTTTTGTCTTTTTTTGAATTTACCGCGATATCATTAGCAGTTAATATTTGTAGCTCATGTTGGATAAGATTAATTGCTCTGAATTCTTTTTCAAATATTTTTGTCTTATCGCTAATTGGCAGTCTCGACAACGCGTCGCAGTTGCCATTATTTTTCGTGTTTATATACTCTATGTCGTAAGTGAAGTGTGACATGAAGTAAGCCCATCGTTGCAGCCGGCTCGCTATTGTTAATGGGATTTCTTGATTCGGTCCGAAAATGTATTGTTTGAGAATTATTTAAACAAATAATAAAAAAGGATGGGTGCATGATTAGGTCTAAACAAAAAGTAACACTGCATTGATGACATAAAATTTCTTTTCACTATTTTCTTTATTTTCACTCAACACTATTAATTAAACAAAAAAACTGAGTCTATGTTTCAAAAGTTAATGACAATAGCAATAAAGTTGTGTACACTGACAATGATTTTAATACACAATGAGTCTTCAGTTATGTGAGTAGTAACATGAGCAGTCGACTTGAAGCGAGATTACATTAATTCACACTTCCTTTCTGTGAGCTGTTGCACTTGAGACGTGCAGCACTTCTCTTGAGCTTACAGCGAGCTGAACTTGACTTATGAGCGACCGGAGCACAACGAAGAGGTTAAACTAATCCTCTCGTTGCATGTGCGAGCAGCCGGATGAGTTGACCAAGATCACGTGAGATTGCACATGGCAACGTGTAACCTCACTTTCTCCTGTCGTGTGCTCGTGCGACTGAGAAGCTCCAAAATAATCCCGAGAGTTGCGTAGATGATAAAAAGATCCCACCAGGCCTGTAGTAGACATTATTGGTCTTCATTTGCGGCCTGGATGGTGTCTTTACCTGGTCGCAATCGATGAGTTGCCTCCGATTCGCAGACGAGATGATGAGTTGAGCCTTGATGAGTGTGCCGATGATAGAAGCTTGATAAGTCCTGGTCGAACTGCTTGGCGCTTGTCGAACGAATTGGAGCTTGTCAAGTTGGTGAGATGTCTTAGAAGATGATGATGATGCTCGAAGTAGCTTGATGACGTCGGGAATATTTTCACAGTTGAAATCGTAGTCGCACGAGACACACACGAGATGTGGATTCGCCGAGTGCAGAGACGAGAAGACCGGGTACGCGAGCAATGCGCAGTAAGCAGAGATGCCGTCGGCACGTGCCGCGGCGCGACGCCATCTCTCGCTTCACAGTGAGAGTTACGCGCACGTCTGCACACACGTGAACGTGTGTGAGTACAGACATGCGTGTGTTCTGCCTTGTTCGAATATTCTCGAACATGTATACTAACGGTTTATGATCTGTTTTCAGAATTACTCTTCAACCGTATATGTAATCATAAAATTTTTTGAACCCGAAAACAATAGCTCCGGCTTCCTTATCGATAATAGCTCTGTTGAGCTCTTTTTCTGGTATTATTTTTGATGCAAACGCAATCGGTCTTTCGTCACCGTTCGGGTAACGGTGTGACAATATAGCGGAGAGGCCGTATTGCGATGCATCACACGCTAATACAAGTTCCAGTTTTGGATCGTAATTTACCAATACATTGGCCGACGCTATTTTTTGTTTTAGCCACTTATACGCATTATCGCATTCATCACTCCATGCATACTCGGTATTTTTCGTTAATTCGTACAATGGTTTGAGCCGGGATGCTCGATCAGGCAAGAATCGCTCGTAATACGTCACAAGTCCTAAAAATGACAGTAGCTGTTTTTTATGTTTCGGTATTGGTGCATTTACGATAGCTTCGACTTTTTTTTTCGACGTACATAATTCTCCTTTACGGATAACAAAACCTAAAATTTCTAATTCTTCTTTCATGAAATCGCATTTATTAACGTTTACTTGAAACCCGTAATCTTCTAATCGCCTCAATACCGAATACAATGTATCTATGTGCTCTTTTTCATTGTTACCCGTGACGTATATATTGTCTAAATAAACAGCTATTTGCCCTTTAATGTCGCGTAAACAATCTTCCATTATACGTTGGAATTCGCCCGGGCCCGACGTGACTCCTTCCGTTAATTTTGTGTATCTGAATAATCCAACTTGCGTAATAATTGTTAGCATATCTCGCGAATCGGGGTGGATCGGTATTTGCATATATGCGTGTGTTAAGTCGATTTGCGTTACTTTTTCACCGCCTTGCAATTTTCCGAAAATTTCGTTAATCGTAGGTAACGGGTGTTTATTAATAATTAAGCACGGATTTACCGTTAATTTGAAATTACCGCATATTCGTATTTTCTTATCGCTCTTAATGATGGGCACGATAGGTGTTGCCCACTCGCTCGTTCTTACTCGTTCAATGTGTCCTAATTGTTCAAGTCGCTTTAATTCTAGCTCGACTTTTTCCCGTAGTGCGAAGGGAACGTGTCTTGGTTTGCAGGCTTTTGGTATTGCATTTTCTTTTAAAGTCAATTTGATCGCGCCTTGATTGAAACACCCGGTTCCCGGACCGAATAGTTTAGGAAATGCAGTTGTCAATTTTGCTGTTAATGGATCAATGTTAGTTTTTATATTGTGCGTAGTGAATAGCGGCCACAGCCCAAAAGCGTGCAGCCAAGACCGACCTGCCAGCGTCGCGCCTTTCCCTGGCAACACTATAATGTCTATCTTATACGATTTATTTTTGTACTGTACAGTCAGTTCACGCATTATACCTATTGGCTCAACGTTGAGGTTGTACGCATTTAAAGAGAATGACAATGTACAAATGTTTACTTGCGGAAATAATTTTTTTCGCGTGTCATCTGAGATGATGCTCCAAAATGACCCCGAGTCAATTTCCATATCAATAGTAATCGCGTTTACGCTTATATGTAAGTACATCGGTTTTCGAGCGGCTTCTGCGCCGTCGATGTTATTGATACTTACAAGGAGAGCTCTCCAAGTCCGGGTCACCGATTGCCCTGAAAATTTTTTTGTGATCTCCTAGTACATGATGATGATCCCCCATATAGTTAGTTTGATCCAATGGGCCCTATAACAATACTTTTACGCATGGTCAAGATTTGAATATTATTTAACGATAATAAATACCATATAATAGCCTATCATGGTATCAGGCTTAAAACAGTGTAACCTTTCACCCTCGGGACGCGAGCAAATGGTTTGGCGAGATCTTCATGTGCTGTAAACGAAGGAGGAAAGTCTGGGTGTCGAAAGAATCTACTCGATCATGTATAAAAGTAACAATAATAATGAGGCTGCATTTATTGTAGGAAAGGGCGCCAGTCACGAATGTGACGCCTGAATATATTGTACATTAAATGAATCGACGAATTACAAGTAAGGGTTTCGAACACGTGTTTGACATAGAATATCCTTTCGATACAATACGCACACGAGATGAGGCCACCGCGGCTAGACACGGCAGATACGGCGGTCGTGAGTTTAAGCTAAGCGATGACGATATCGAGAGAAATCTAGCTTACACAATTATAGGATATATGGCGCATGCACGCGAGAGAGTTGTAGGCGACTTACATTTGCTGACGCTGATTATCGGGCAGATGATGCAGGCCAAATTGATTGCAGAAGAAGCGAGGGCAGACGAGAGGAAAGCCAGGCGACGATGGATTCGCAACAGGTAGCTCGTACGCACACACACAACCGAACTCGACGCAGAACCACAGTAGTAGCGTCGCTGAGCGCGGACCAGCACAGAGTGCTCGCACAGTCTCTCAATCGTTGGGCCGTCAGTCAATCAGGCCTCCCTTCTGTGACAGCTTTTTGTCTGCTTTCCTCAGCAGGCGCGCAGATCTTACACACGGGTCGCGTCTCTCGCTACGGATTCGGCGCTCTTGTAAACGGCGCCGATCCAAGTCTGATATCGGGCTCGCGATACTCGGATCTCTCTCTCTCGACACGGGTCTAGGACAAGGTTGAAAGGAAGGAGTACCGCTGGACTCTGTACTGGCTGTCTACTTCCTTACAACAGTCAATTCCAACTGACTGAACAGCATTGTTACTTTGTGTTTTTCAAGTTTTTAAAAACTTATCCAAAAAATAAACACTGTAGCTCAATTGGTATACCATGCAAGTCTCAAAGAGCGAACCAATTTGAGCTAAAATTAAAGTACTTTACTATAAGTATTGATGCAAAAGATTGAAATAAAACTTTTATATTATTAAACTCACTGTTCCTTCTTTTTATCCATTTTTGACACTTCATTGATAATATTTTAAGTTATTGGGGAAAAGAAAAAGATAACTGATAACTGATAACTGATAGTATCATCGCCAAATCACATTATTTATTTATCTTTATCATTGGTGACTTCCAGCATCATTGATGAGGTAATCTGGCACTTAAAATATAATCAATAAAGTGTCAAAAATGGATGAAAAAGAAGGAACAGTGAGTTTAATAATGTAAAAGTTTCTTTTGCATCAATACTTATAGTAAAGTACTTTAATTTTAGCTCAAATTGGTCCGCTCTTTGAGACTTGCATAGTATACTAATTGAGCTACAGTGTTTATTTTTTGGATAAGTGTTTAAAAACTTTAAAAAGACAAAGTAACAATGCTGTTCAGTCAGTTGGAATTGACTGTTTTAAGCCTGATACCATGATAGGCTATTATATGGTATTTATTATCGTTAAATAATATTCAAATCTTGACCATGCGTAAAAGTATTGTTATAGGGATCAAACTTACTATATGGGGGATCATCATCATGTACTAAGAGATCACAAAAAAATTTTCAGGGCATTCGGTGACCCGGACTTGGAGAGCTCTCCTTGTTAGTGTATGTCCTGCTGGCGAGATGTTGTAGAAATTCGGGCTGCTGTCACCGCTTTCCGCTTCGCTAGAGCTGCTATCGTCTTGTTCGGTCTTGGATGCTGCCGCACGCTCGGTGATGTTTTGGAGTTTGTGGCCTTGAGATCGGCATGCTGCGGCTATGTGCCCACGTCGATTACAATGCGTACACGTCTTCTTACGATGTACACAGTCTCTTTGCAAAGTGTCCTCGTTCCGCGCAACAGTAGCAGATTATCGCATTCCTCGCGTTCTTATCGCTTGCTGACTTGGACGTCTTTGCTCCACCGCTTTGGCCACTGTTTCCTGGGCGAATTTTCTCGACTTTCCTTTGATATTTGAGCACATGAACATCTTTTTGATCCTGTGTTTTCTCCGTTGCATTGGCGTCTGTTTCGGCTTTTTCGCGTGCTAGTGCAATTTTATGTGCACTTTCATACGTCAATTTTGGTTCTTTGAACAGCTGTATTTTTGTCGTATGATCTCGTATACCGCATACTAGCTGATCACGTAATGCCGTTTCTATTTCTGTGAAGTTACAATGTAAAGACAATTCTTTTAAGCGTGTAACGAAATCCGCTATCGACTCCGAGACCGCTTGCTTTGCCGAGTAGCAATTTATACCTCTCCATCGTTTCTGACGGTTTTGGACACAAATGATCAGTAATCAGTTTGACTACCTCCTCGTATTTTTTATCCTTCAATTTTTCTGGGTGGCACAAATTTCTTGCTAGTCTGTAGGTGTCTGCGCTTACTTTTGTCAACAGTATGGCTGCTTTTTTCTTATCGTCCGATACGCTGTTGACTGTGAAAAATAACTCCAGTCTCTCGATAAATGTCTCCCAGTCGTCCTTGCCTAGATCGAATTCGAGTCTAATTTTTGACTCCATTGTCACTTCTATCGCTGGTACACTAGATTAAACTTCATTTTCTAGCTTTTTAATTTCACTTAACTTATGCAGAAGTTTTCGTTCAAGCCTTGCTGTCGAATCTTTCGAGTCAACGACTACGTCTAGCGTTTTTAACTGTTCAATTAAGTCTTCACGTGAGAGGTTTAACACTGAAATAAACTCTTCTTCTGAATCATTCGACATTGATTTGCACACACCTGAATCCGTATTCCTCGTCGCCAATTGTTATGTAATTAAACAAGACACGACCACTGTTAATAATAAAGTGTTAATTGAGTATAATATATAAGTATGATTTGAGGTGTCGTCGGCTTTACACGTTTACAGTCGGTACGCGCCACGTGTGCTCGCGTCCGTAGTCGTATACAGTCTGGCGAGGTGTTCGCACATCAGCTTGCTATCGGAGCTCGCTGTGTATCTCCTTTGGCAAAGCCAATACATTACACATATGTGCTCAGAAACATCAATAAATTGTCTCATTTTTTGCTTTTGATCACATTAGTTAGCTCACAAGCTTTTTAATAGCTCTAATCGAAATTCCACGAAACTCAAACCATGACGAGTATCTTTCTAAAGATTTTGGTTTGACATAGAGTTGTCTACCATAAAAATAACTCTGATCTGAACCTTGCACATCGTGCAAAAATGCTAAAATAGTAAAAATAAGCTATTTCTAGATGCGGAGGTGTGTCCTGCATATTTTTTTCCCATTTTGGAGAGCTTAAAAGTGTACTTTTTATTTAAAAAAAATAAATTGTCTCAAATCTGCTCGTTATATTATAAAAATAGGATAAGTGAAAAAATTGGTGTATAACTCCCCCCTGAAGAGCTTATATATACCTTAAACTTCAAATTTTTTTAATCAATTTTTGAGCATGATTTTCCTCTCCTATTCATTGCATTTTTCGAAATTCTAAAATTTTAATTTTGCACTGAGACGCAGCTGTTTCCGTGAGCTTTTTTCGTTTACTTTACGTGTCAACATTTTTTTTCTTTTGCGTTTTCTGACGAGTAGTGTTTTTGGCCACCTGTTGTAACTATCAGGGGATACTGATTGAGTTTTAGCACCATGGTTGCCATTTTTAAAAAATATTAGGGAGTTACAAACATAGTATGTAATTACATTATCGTATGTTTATACATTGTGTGTCATGTACCAGACCTTTAACACAAGAATTACTTTTTTCATTTCAAAGTCATTTAAAAGTTTCAATTCTTAAAATGTTGATAAAAATGTTGTTTACAGGTTAGCATGACTTCAACATTTGGCACAGCTACCGCGTCGAATCCTCGTCCATTCAAATGCATTGATTGTAAATCAGCATTCCGAATCCACGGTCATTTAGCTAAGCATTTGAGAAGTAAAATGCACATAATGAAATTAGAATGTTTACGAAAATTGCCTTTCGGAACTTATGCAGAAATTGAGCGATTGGGTATCAATTTGAATGAAATGGATACTACAGACTGTAATACTAGTCTAAAAAATCTTCAAGTAAGTTTGAACCCTTATAAAAATTAAAACTGAAAATGAAAATATTTCACTTGTTGCCTAATCGAAGGATACGAACACATTTATTTTTGGACGTTTATGTTATTTTTGATTTCTTAAGGGTGTTTAGGTTCTAAAAATAATTTTTGACAATAAATCTGAATTCCTCCACCAATTTTACATCAAAAATCATGTTTTTACAATTTTTTTATATTCACCATTAGAAAGCAGAAAAAATTTAAAAAAATGAAATTCAAACTTTGAGCCACTGTAGGTTCGTGTGGCGGGGACCTAGAGGGCTGTAATTTTCAGGATTTTCATTTTTCAATAAATTCTTAGAAAGTACATACTTACAACTTCATTACATACTTAATTTACTTCATTTTTTCAAAGGGGGGCTGCTGACGCGATATAGATACACTACATGCATGCGAAGCATAGAAAATAGAAAGTAAGGCAACATAAAGCCAGTAGCAGCAACAGTATAGCTGGCACGAAAAGCGCGCATAGCTGAAACATGATAATACATACAACGAAAGCTGAATGCACCGAAAAAGCTTTGTTGATATGTGCCTATGCACTGTAGGGTGGTTGAAATTGAAACATTTTCTTATTTTCGCTAGCCTAGCCTTTAGCTGGCTTAACATTAAGTAAAAAGAGGAATTTTCACATCTTTTCAGCCCTTAGCATTGATGTTTAGAGAACGTTCAACAATCAAATTGCATAATAAACATGAAAACATGACACTCATACATCGTAAAGCTGCATTTTTTCAGCGATGGCGTTACTGTCACGCTATAGCCATATGAATAATATAATTTTTGGTATGTACACTCCAACCGATTCATAAAAGAAGGCCTGTATGAAATATAAGTCGTTTTATTCATTTTTCATAATACTATCATTCAAGTATTGGTCCTAAATCAGCTGAATCTTACGATAAAGTCAGAATTTGAAAATTTTGAAAAGAAAAAACGGCCTTAAAAAGCTAAAAAAAATCTTATCAATAAAACAAAAATCATTGGTTTTCTGAAGTGATTTTTGGTATATTTCTTTCTTTAAGATTTTATTTGATTCCATAGCGCCTTTAGGATAATTTTTTAAAAAATCAAAAATTCATAATCAAAATGCCAATTCAAATTTTTTTTTTATATCTAAATTAACAGTTAGGGATATAGTAGACTAACTAATTATTTCCTATTTGAAAAATCGATTGTTAGTTCGCTGCAGCTTGGCGGTCATGTTCAAGGGTTGGGGTACATTTTTTATAAAAATTTTTAAAAAAATTTTTTTTTTATAATCACGTTTTTTATAATCTCTTTTTTTATCATCCATTTTTGATATACCTAAATTTTATAATCTTATAATGTTACCAATATTTTTATATAGCAAATCATAATGCACAAATGATTGTAATTAAATAAGATTATTAAAGTTACTCGAACGGATATCTTTAAGCTCAGTACGTAATACTTGTGCCGGCGGTGCTTCGGGATGAGCTCCCACTTTCCTTTTAATGCCGGACACTACCTTGATTGCTTCAGCTGCGTCAACATCAGGAATACACATGTGGTCACTTGCTGCACCTTTCACTACCTGTAAATCGGGCACAACACTGAGGGGTCTTATGACAAAGCCAGTACGCTCGTTTTCCTATAATTCCGCTATTTTTATAATACCGAAAACCTTCTAAGGATAGATTCTAAGGATAGGACTGGAACCTCGAGATTTTATTAACTCCGCCATGTTATTTATTAAAACTGTTACTTTGTTGCCTTTTGAAGACGTTATGATGTATAGTTATTAAATTCTGTTCTCAAATCTGATCAGATCAGCTCTGCTGTATATGAGCAAATCCAGAATTTTTCTTCCATTTCACAGGCCAAAATCGGCACCAAAAATTTTTTCGTGGTACGCGAGTAAGGGTCACGGGAAAGCGTTCTTTGGGGTCCTAGAAGCATAAAAAAATGCGTGAACACGAAAAATTTTGATAGTGAATTTTTCTATATGCATTTTAGTGCACCGCATATGAAAAATCACGATATAGCATGGTGAAAGTATAAAAACACTTGTGAGTATCGCAAAATAAGCGTAAAAAAAAGTTCAAAAACCCCATACCCAATGTATTTTTCTACGAGGAATCCCACGGTGACCTTGAATTTGACCTTCAACGTAACCTTCAAGCTCCAGCGATCCAAATATCGGGTTTTCACCTCGGAAAATGCAAGTAAACGTTCAAACTTGAATATCTCAAAAAGAGTCTTTTTTGCGTTTTTTAATTGTTTCAATGGAAAGCTGAGTTCATTTTACATAAACAACGACTGTTTTCAAAGTGTAATATTCATAATTTCTATGAGAGATACGAGCAAACATAGTCGGCGCTCGGCCGTCGAGCCGCCCGATCGCGCGACTCGTGGCTCGCTGTAATCGCAACTCGCACAAATGACAATGTAATTAAACTAAAAAAATAAATAAAAATATGGTTTTTATGCGTTTTTTTTCAGCTTTCTTGTGGTGCAGTCGTTTTTTTCGATAATTTACACGTTCACGAAAAATAGGAAATAAAAGTTTAAGTCCATTTTTCCGAAATATCTATCTCTTGAATATATCTACCTCTTGAATGTTGTTATCACAAGTTAAACTCAACGCTACATTTTTAATGGCGAAAAAAAATGGCGTAGAATAAAACTTGAATTAACATTATTCATAGGTGGTGTGGAAACGATATAAAATCCCTAACAATATTAACTCTAAGGTAATAATTATTACACTAAAGTGCATTGATTCGAATGCAATTATTACCTCTTGCATATTGTTATAACAAGTTAAACTCAACGCTACATTTTTATGGCGAAAACAAATAGCGTAGAGTAAAACTTGAATTAACATTATGCATATGTCAAACAATATGAAATCCCTAATAATATTACCTTTAAGGTGGTGTGGAACCGATATTATTATTACCCTAAAGTGCATTGATACGAATGCAATTATTACAGATTTAACCTTTAAATTTAACAAAAATTGAGGAGAAATTGAGGAGTAAATGAGGTATAGGAGGAGTGAAGGAGGAGGAATAATGAGGAACGAGAGGAGGAACAAAAGAGGTACGGGAGGAGGATCAGTTGAGGAGCAATTATGAGGTTCAAAAAACACGTAAAAACAACACTTTAGAGGCCAAAAAACACGGGAAAATGCTACTTTTCAAAAATGAGGATCATTGAGGAGGTTGAGGAGGTATACCAACAATTGCGAAAAAAAATTTTTTCCTTAGCATAATATATATAGAGGGGAAGGGGGGGGGGTTATACACCTTCAGCCTTTAGGCCTGGAAAGTACCATCCGTACTGGAGACCTATTCCTTTATTTTTCAATTATTCATCCCGTTTTTACCTATCCATTTTTTCCTTGATCTTTTTCCCTTCCGTCTTACCCTAACCTATTTACGTACCTTTTCCTACCCTTCCATCCATCTCCACATTTGCCCGGGGTTATGCCCGTGATATAGGGAACAACTCAGTGAGAAAACCCCATACTGGAGTTGGTCGGTGCCTTTATGGAACCTCCCGCTAGCACACGATGACGCTGGCAAACACTGCTGAGCGATGCGTGAAGGCGCTATGCGCTTGACAGAATGAGTTCCCTGACGGTCACCCATTCACGTACTTACCGCGACTTATTATACTTTATTTTGCACAACGCCCGAGCTGCGAGTACCTCGCCCCAACACCAACTTCGGTCACTTGGGAATATATAACAATGGTCGTGATAAAGCCCTAAATTGAGAGTAAAAAAGAACACATATCTATATGAAGAACTTTTCAGAAAATTGAGTCTAGTTTACTTGGATCTCATTTATAATTTACTAAAGTATCCCACAGCATGTGAAAAACATCTTTTCTAGCTCATGATAGAGCTGTCTCTACAAGCAATATATTTCTTACAACTATTTAATCAATATAATCTCTCATTTATGCCTTCTTCTTTTCATGAAATTATTGTGTTCTTATAGATTATAGCACGAGGATTTGTGGAAAAAGATGGTTTAACAATAACCCAAGAAAAAAAGAAACAGTCAAGCCAAGATGAAAGATCTACACTACATCAGGCTCCATTATCAATTTCAACTAGTTTGTACGATGTTGAATCTACTGTTGAGTCAAAAAAGATGACAAACCCAAATGCTGATAGAACAACCGATTTATTTCAAGAAAATGATTCGACTTATTCATCTTATAAAGTTGATGACCTATGCCTTAACAAAGCGCAAGAAATACGAAATGACGAGTGAAAAAAGATTTTTAACTGTTAATGTAATAATAAGAGCTATGATTATTTAATATCTTCGTATAACTACATTTTTGCAATCATTGTTGTATGTCGTTTAAAATTTGAGCCTAGTCAATATAATGTTTCACGATAAATGGTGTCAGGGTTAAAAGTTTAATTGCATTAATGATGTACATATGCCTGATCTTATGTTCATTGAATATATGAAATATAATAACATTTTTCGAAACTTTTATATTATATCTTGTAAAATCTACGTTGATTTTATAGTAGATTTTAAGGTGCCTTATTCTATTTTATAAAACTTTTACGAAGGTGGAAACTTGTTTATACTTTCTTGAAAATAAGATTTTTATAAAAAAACAATCACTTTTTCGTGATTTGAAGAAAGGTGTAATTTTTAGATTTAAATAAGAGCTTTCATTATTGTTTCAAAATGTTTTCAATACAATATTGATCATTATTCTACTTCACAAGTACATATTCTTAAATTTGAATATTGAAAATATTATATTCATTGATTTATTACGGAACATTATTTTGTTTTCTGTTATGTTTTTGTGTTCAGAATAATTTAAATTGATTTATTCAATAACTTATTTTTTCAAATATTTTATTTAAGCATGATAAAAGCGATTCATAAACGATACATGTAATGAATTCATTTTTGTTTTATTTTTTATAAATTACTCAAATTTATTAATTTTATATTTATATTTTCATGATATAAATTTAAATTAGAAATACAGGAATACTCAAGATCACCATTGATGATTTTTATGAAGTACTGAGTAGCAATATTTTCATATAAAAAAAATAAATAATTATTATTTGATGACTAAAAAATATTCATTTTCACATATTCATGTGTTAATTAAATTTTATTGGAGGTAACGACCAATCAAAACTGAGTCAAATCTCTTTCTCTCTCTCTCTCTCTCTCTCTCTCTCTCTCTCTCTCTCTCTCTCTCTGAGTACGCCAACATGCACATCTTTTCGCTCCTTTTTTTTTTGCTTTTTGTACTATTGCCACCGGCCTTCGGGTGTTTATTTTACAGTTTCTTGCTCGCTGATATTGTAAGAGTTAACTGCAGCAAGCTACTAGTATTGCTGTTTCCCTTGAATTACAAAGAAGCCATGAAAATTATCTACATCGGGATATAAAAGGTTAATTTCCGACATCGTGCACCCGAAGTCATGGGAATAAATACAGCTCGCCATCGCGTAGTATCTGCTAGGCCAATCTGCAGGAAAAAGGAAAAGCCAAAAACCAAGAAAACTCTCTACTTCAATGAACAGGTGCTGATCGTCGTCGATCGGTTTAAGATTTCGTCTGCAAGTGTGACGCTGATTACCTGTGTTTGTACGAGTGTTTGTGGTAGCTTGTTTGAACTAGACTTCGTGAATCGATACATCGGTTTAAGCCACAGAAAAGCGTGCTATAAGTCGCACATTCTGGCATCGCTGCATTCGCATTACACTCGCGTACGCTCGTGCGCTAACCTCACTTCGCGTTATCAGAAAGTGCGACTCATGGCTTGGAAAAGGGGGCATAAATGTGAACTTAGCACAGTGCTATAAAATGTTGTACGATACTTTATTTTTTTTAAATTCATAACTGAAGTTAACAATTTTTTGTTTTCGACCGAATTACTTGAATTGTTTAATATTTAATTACATTTGTACATGTATATATTATAAACGTTATACATCTTGCAGCCATTCTTACACCTTCGGGTTCCAGGAACCTTACCCTTGTAAAAATTGGCGTTTTTCGACTCTAGACGTTATCGCCTTCAATTAAAAAACCTGAAAAATTCAAGGAATCGTTTTTTAGTGTCAGAATTCAGAAAAAAACACTCCTGTTTGATATATCGAATCATTTCATCAAAAATAAAATATTTTAAATTTTCAAAGACTTTTTCTGAAGGCCTGAAGCACTCAAAAAATCTGAAAAAATTCACAATGGTTTGAATTGTAGAAAAGTATCTTAATGAATATTTTCAGATTTTGTAATTGCTTTCAGGGCTTCAGAATAGATAGAAATGAAAATTGACGTTTATAGTGGGGGTGGGGGATAGGAGAGGGAAGAGGGTCTAAAATTTTGGAACCCTTTTCCAATGTAATATAAGATATCAAAATTTCAGATACCTCCGTAGACATCGTCTGGAAATTTATTCAAAAAATTCTGTATCTGACCTATATATAGCAAGGTTGCCAGACCGAGCGGATTTCTCGAGCGTGCGCAGTAGCGCCGACGTGTCATTGCTGAGCGAGGTTTGAACGCTGGGCCGTGTGGCGTAGCAGGCGTGAGTGGAAGAAGCGGTGTCTGTAACCTAAAGCGGGGGGCTGGGCACCGCTTTGATATAACTTTGATATTTGGTCTTCCAAATGAAAGCGCGGCGCAGTCACTCATACGCGCTGTGATTGGCTGCCGCGCTCGCTACCTAAAACTGCTTTCTGCTGCTGCCCGCTGCCGAGACTCGACGTGCGTATCTCTTTCTCTCTCGCTCTCGCACGCGCGTATGACTGTGTTTACGTATACACACGAGGCAACGAAACAACATAAGCAACAGCAGTCGGCTTAGCTCACGGGATTGACTGCGTTGCGATATCTTTCTCTCTCTTACTTATGCATATACAATAGTTTTCAAATCTCATATTAATCAATGCATACGTATGTATACGTGTCTATAAGTGTGTGTCTTCTTAAGGGAAGTCGAAATTTTTATCATGTTATATTTTTTATAACTTGTAATGTATTTGATAGGTCCATTGACTCGATATTATAGGAAGTTTTTTGAAGTACTTAATTGAATAAGACTAAAAAAATTCCACGAAGAAATGTTAGACAAGTTAGAACTTTAAACTGATTCAAATATTGAACAGACAATGTTTGTATAAGTTGTGACGTGCGAGGTTTTGGGCACTAACCCATGCTCGGCCTGCCGTCTAATTATTTCTTACTGAGGCTCCGGTTAGCCTATCGTTGAGTCTTACCTCAGAAGGGGTCGAGCCGCCACCAAGTGCGCCGCCAGCGTCGGCAGTCCAAGCTGAAAATAAGTGAGAGAGGGTCGCGAAAAGACTACGAACAAAAATGTACTTTTGCACACAAATAATCGTTCTTTATTTAACTTCGACTTTCAACTATCATTCATACAATCATCACTGCAATTCATGCCTCGGACGTAACTGATTATACGCGAGTCCAAGGGGAAAACGCGCGGATTACAACGTTAGTCCGACGCGAGTCCCATTCGAGTGCCGCGTAATTGCACTGCGCGCAATCGGCTCGTTTCTCCGAAATACCTGTCGACGCCTTCGCTCTGCTCGCGCTAGCAGACGCGCGGTTTGGTCACGCACGACCAAGACGAAACGCGCTATCTCGCTTGCCCTCACAGGAGCGTCCAAGGCGGAAGTACCGCTTCGCAAAAATGGCCACGCGCCGGCCTGACGCGACACGTGGACTCGAACCACGTCTTGAATCCAAGGTACTCGCTACAATTACTCCGATTTCCACTACTCGTACTACAACGATTCTACAGCGAACATCTTATTTTCTCTTCTACATTCACACCACGCAATCATACAACACTCTCACACATCCGCGCGACCGACCAAGCTTAATCCAATTTACAACCTTCTTCGTCGCTCCGTTGCCTCGGCCTTTATTCTCGATGTTGACTCCCGCTGTCCCCCAGCTGCTCCGTCCTCGTGGTCTGCCCGGTCCAAGGGCTCTTGCCTCGCCTCGGAGATGCCTCGGACGATTGATCAGAAAAGTCGCTGTACAGCGAATCGCGCGGCTCGCTGCCTTCCGAGCCTCACGATCGCCTCGTCACCTCGCAACTCTTCTCTCGTCGCACTGCACTCCAGGCTTCAGCTCAACCTCTCCACGAACACAACACACGAACTTCCGCTGCACGCACAGCTTGTTCACGATCTGACTCAACTGCTGCCACACAGCTTTTCACGAACAACTCAACTCAATAACCGCTGCCACACAGCTTCTTCACGACAAATTCTACCGCTGCCACACAGCTTCACACCCAAATTCCACCGCTGCCACACAGCTTCACTCTGCAATTCTACCGCTGCCACACAGCTTCACACTCCGACTTCTCACTCCTCGACACGTCCGTTCTACCTCGCGGTCTAATTGCGAATCTCCTTGTGCACTGTCGCGCAGATCGACGACGCATCAAGCGCGAAGCGCTCGATTCGCACGGCTCGATCTGCTCTTCAGTGCACGTGGTCCGAGAGCCGCGTCCGAGGTTAACTTGGCTCCTCCTTTGCCCTGAAACCCCGAACGCGTGCTCGAGCGATATCCAACTTTCCTACTTTATCATCCTCTCGGTCGCGCATCTCACTCGCACATTCACACATTACAGCTTGCGTCATTTTCGCGATTTACCGCTCAGTGACATCGTCACAAAGTCATTACAGATGAGTCGATAATTTAATTGTAAACAATAATATCATAAACGATTTCAACATCGTCCCTCGGCACCCTGATCATATAGCAAAAACAAATTAGTCTGAATGTTGTCTTTTCCGGTGAGACAAGCCTTAGATACATTTTACTAAATGCAAAGATCTATCTATTACTCGAGATATCAAAATGGATGAGTATAAGAAGAAATCGGTGGAATTAGTTTCGGAAGATAACTCACGTGAACGCGACATTATGATTTCGAACGACAAAAAATACGTTTGTGATATTTGTCAGGAGACATTCATATTAGAATCAAGTTTGATAACACACATCGAGACACAATTCATAATAAACAAAAAAAGTACACTTGTGACAAGTGCGAAAAAAAATTCGAGTTCCGCAGTCATTTGAGTAGACACAAAATATCGGAACACAAAAGCTACAATGATTTTTCATGCGACAAATGCGACAAAAAATTTGTGAAAAAATCAAGTTTATCTACGCATCAAAAATTAGTACACAAAGATCGTGAAGGTTTAACTTGAAACAAGTGTGAGAAAAAATTTGAAAATAAATCAACTTTACTTAAGCACAACAAAATATTCCATGAAATTTTCAAAGATTATTTATGTGAAATGTGCGCCAAGAGATTTGCAAGTAAGCAGAGTTTGCTTATTTACCTAAAGACAGTCCATGTGGGTCGCAAAAATTCTGCTCTAGGTAACAAGCGCGGGAAAAAATCAAATAAAAAAAAGTCAAAGACAAATAATTAAAATCACTGCTCAATCTAAACAAAACCAATTAAAAACAAATTAAAAATTGAAAAAGATCAAGAAAAAAATAAATTTAAAAAAGAAAGATAGAAATCTAGAGTCAAATAAGTAAAAACTAGAAAAGTAAAAAAAACCAAATTAAAAACAAATTAAAAATTGAAAAAATTAAAAAAAATCAGCTGTTTATGAACAGCTGTAAGATGTGAAACATCTGTATCCATTAATAAAAGAAAATTCAAGAATTAAAAAGTAAAATTAAAATTAATTACAGAAAATTAAAAAATTAAAAAGTAAAATAAAAAAAAAAACTAGAAAATCAAGAAAAAATAAAATTTGAATAAAAAAAATCTAAAATCAAACAAGTGAAAAGGAAAAAAACAAAAAAACCAAAAACACGAATCAAACAAGTAAAAGTTGAAACAAAAAAAAAACTAGAAACTAGAACATCAAGAAAAATCAAAAAACAGAAAAGTCAGAAAATCCCAACAAAAGCATCGATGTTTCACATCTGGTGCATAATCAATGCATGCTTACTCTTAAAATCGTTCCCTCTCTTTGAGTTAATTTTCGTATATGCGATGAAATGAAAAACAAATGAATTAAGCTCCAACTATCTTAAGTCACACTATATACCGTGATTTGAAAGTAGTTTAACACCCGAAACAGGCCTGTAGTCGGTGAATTAAGGCACCGAAGAAAATTTTCAAAAAAATTCTAGGAGCAATATTAAGCGAGAAAAATATTAATTAAAAATGCCTGTTTTATTGCTTCAAAAGGATTATTCTAATCTTGCTTGTCATGAAGGCGATCGGCTGCCACATGCGATCGATCGATAAATAAACAAACAGCCGAGCCACGTGCTTGGCTATAGAAATCGACAGGCCGAGGTTATAACAGCAACGAAAATTGGCTGAAATTATAATCATACAAAGTATGAATAAAAATGAACAATTAGCCTGCCACTTTGAAGAAAAGTGATAGCCTAAGTTTGGGTTTTTTCAGTGCTACACAGCGCTACTCAGTTACTCGTGTCGGCTGGCTCGGGGCAGCCGATGGAAAGAGCTACAGCGGCGCTGACGAGGATTTTTTATTATCTAGGCCGAGGTTAGAAACCTAAAAACGATGATGGATGAAGGCAAAAAACTCATCCTTGATGAAAGCGGTCGAGTCGATCTCGTTCTGCTTTCATGTTTTTCGAAAAATTAGGTAAACTTTCATAGATTGCGAGTCGAGAGCCTACCGCTGAGCATAACACGAATCGAGCTGATTAATGATTTAAGATCCTTTTATGCCAGATTTCCATTGACGATGTGACCTCGGAAATTCCGGCCTTGTAGAGATTCAAAATAATTGCAATAACGAATAGATTTTTTAAATCTTCTAACAAATAATAGTAATGCCTAGTTACTGTCCCAAAAACTCATTATTTAAAATTTTCATGATTACTCATTAAAAAAAAATAAATTAGCATTAGAAGATAGGTTCATAAAGTCACTTTCACTTTTTTCATTTGATTCATGATACATTTATTGATATGATATTATATTAATACATTAATTTACTAGAAAATGATTCCTTAATTTAAAGTTCGGTAATTAAAATTGAAAAAGTATTTTAATATTTATTTATAATAAATTACGTATTACAATGACTAAAAATATGTATTCAGACAATATAATTGTAGTTTTTAGATCGGTCCATAGTTACTTAAAGCGGAAGGTTTTTCATAAAGATTACAGGATATATTATTAGAAATACCCTCCACTGTTTGGTTTTGTCATACATGAGATAGCGGAAGCTGCTTTAATACTTGATGATGAACATGATGAGATGAATTTGTCATGGCATTTTGATGCAAAAGAGAATTTTCTACTTCCAAAACCGAGGTGTGTTGTAATGAACGACTTTTCAATGATTTAGATGCATAATTTTCTATAGTGCATGTATTGATAATTCCAGTATTGCTTGGTATCATTTCTGATTTTTTATTAAATAAATTCCGCCATAACTGTTGCCATGAGTCAAGAGTTTTACCACTCCATATCCATACTCCAGAAGTGATACCTACGGCTAACGCCATAAAATACTTCAACATTAAAACAGAATATATTGGTTTATTCCGTGAAGCACATGGACAAGCCAATGATTGCAGCCAATCGTTTCTAAAAGTTATTTCATAAAAATGGCACGCAAGAACAGCACTAGCTGGAACTGTATATAATACTGAAAAAATTCCAATCCGAATCATCAATTTTTCTAATTTATCAGCTTTGACACCAGGTTGACGTTTTATAACTGAGCGGATTCTAAAAAGACTTACAAATCCTGTAAAAAGGAAAGATGTTCCTACAACAAGATATAGTAATAATGGGGCCAAAATAAATGATTGTATATGATCTGGAGCGACTGTGCACACTCCAGCGATAGAATCACCAGCAACACCGTTTTTTATCAGAACCCAAACCGTTTGAATTGTGGGAACAATCCAAGCCGTTAAATGAAAAAATTGGGAATATGATGAAATAGCTTCATTACCCCATTTCAAACCTGCTGCGAGAAACCAAGTTAATGATAAAATCACCCACCAAACAGAAGAGGCCATCCCAAAAAAGTAAATGAGTAAAAATACTGTAACACAAAGTTCTGGACCTTCAATACCTTTTTTTAGCATTGATCCGTTGCAGACAATTTTTTCGTATGAAAATATCAATCTCGATAGATAACCAAGTGAAACGAAAAAATAACAGGCCGACAAAAATACAATCGGTTTTTCAGGATATTTAAAACGTTGAGGATCGATTAAAAATGTTATGATAGTAGCTAAAGTGCTAATAGCGCAGAATCCGCTCCATAAAAGTAACCATATAGTGGCAAAATTTCTTTCTTCAGAAGTTAAAAGTGCTTCCTGACAAGGTAAAGCACAGTGTGAAAGACCTTGAACATTTATGTATTGTTCATAAACACCTAAAGATTTATGGAAGAATTCAGCAGTTTTTATACTGTTGTTGATTTTTAGAGAAGAGACGGATATAAGCGGTGGACGACATTGACATGAACAGTTTTTTGAAACATCTCTTGACGACTCATGACATTTTTGGTTTTTTCCAGGTTTACATTTTGACGATGACACATTTTTTGTTGATTTTGTAGGTTTTGAAACTATTGCAGGTGTTAGACTAGGCATAAAAACTTCTGTTGATGCAAATGATGTATGGTTATTTTGCTCCATACACAAATTATCTGGATCACCATGACTAGGAAGTTTTTCACAAGTCATTCGTTCAGGCCAGGCAAACCCGTATTGTTGCATTAAAGGAGCACAACCTGTACGCGCTCTTTCACAAACGCTTCTACAAACTGGCAAAGGTTTTGTATATTCTGGTAAGCAAATAGGAGTATACATTGAGCACAAAAAAAATTTTAAATCAGCAGAACATCTTATTTCAACTAACGGCCAAAATTGATGAACTTCAAGCCCTGCTTCTTCTTGTGAATCGTGATTCAATTCATTAGGCATTGCTGTAAAGTTATATCCTATGCCTCTACACATTGGAATCGTTATTTCCTCACAGCGTTCATTATTTATGAAAGATTTGCTTACTTTTACATTGTATTGATCAAAATGATCAATAATAGGATTAGTTTGAATGTTTGATGCTAATGTAATATGAGATGGTCCAGGCGATATTAAACTGGATGGCGTTTGAATAACATTATCAAATTCAGATAATTCACTGGAACCATGAGCCATTGTTATTAAAGTTATGCATCGAAGTAGCAAGCTCAATTTAGTCATAATTTTTTCAATTGATGAAATTCTCATTAGTTTTACATCCATATTTTATGGTATATGTATAATGACGAACCTGAAAAATGTTATCATTATTATTATTATTGTTATTATTATTATTATTATTATTATTATTATTATTATTATTGTTATTATTATTATTAAACGATTACATAGGCACACAAAACAGTAAAAATGTTCAGAACTACAGACCAGACCCGCTGGACTTTATGTTTTTTGGATCGCTGAATCCGAATCCGGCGTCGGTTTTTCCCCATCAGATCGATTTAAGGTCATTTGAAGGTCATTTAAAGGACAAATCATGTGAAAAAGGTTTAAAAATCTGAAACTATCCCTACATAGGTTTTCGAGGATGCTGAATTCAAATCTTTAATCAGATGACCTCTACAACCTCACTTTCAAGTTCATTTGAAGGTCAAACTTAGAGAATTCAATACATAAATTCGTAAAAAATCACATTATTTTTTTAAGGTCACTGACTCTGAATCAAAGTTCATTTGGACTATACCTGGTCATTTCAAGGTCAAGTGAATGAAGACAGTGCAACAATTCATGAAGTCTTGCTAAGTTTGCATGCTTTTTTACCTTTCTCTTTTGTATCGCACCTTTTTTTCTTCAAACGATCGGCATAAAGGTTGCTGTCTGCGTTTATTTCCTCTATGTTAGCTCTCTCTCTTCCAAATCCAGCAGTAATCAGCCATCATCGCAACACCGGCCCATCTACCTTGATATCGCTGCTCCATATCTTTTATGTCTTGATGGAATCGTTCTTCTTGCTCGTCGCTAAAATCACCACAGTTTTTCGGGAACAAAAATAATAGACGAATAGCTCTGATGGGGAATGTGACATTTATGAATAATGGTCTGAAGATGAAGAGAAAGAAGATTTAAGGAATGAGTTTTTAGAAAAATCTAAAGAAAAATCTACAAGAGTAAAAAAGTTTACGCAAGCTGAATCGAATGATTTAGTAAGGGACTTGGGGTTACCTAAAGATGGAGCAGAGTGTTTAGCTTCCACTTTAGAACGCAGAAATATGCTGGAAAATGGTACAACTGCATCTTATTACAGAACCAGAAATGAAAGTCGTAAGAAATATTTTGAAGAAAAAAATTTTTATGATGAGAAATAAGTTCATTGTAATAATGTTGAAGGTCTAATGGGAGAAATTAAATGTTATATTTATAAAACCGATGAATGGAGACTTTTTATTGATTCCTTGAAAAGGAGCTTAAAAGCTGAATTGCTGCATAATTCTAATAAGTTTGCATCAATCCCTATAGCTCATAGTACAACCATAAAAGATACATATGAAAGTATGAACATGCTGTTAGAGAGCTTAAAGTACAAAGAAAATAAATGGCTAATATGTGGGGACTTGAAAATTTTAGGCATGCTGATGGGACAGCAATCTGGATTTACAAAGTACCCATGTTTCAAGTGCTTATGGGACAGCAATGATCGTAAAAACCATTACACCGAACACAAGTGGTCTGACAGACATTCTTTAGAAGCTGGACATGATAATGTTATTAACAGTCCGTTAGCAGACCCTAAAAAAGTTTTACTATCTCCTTTACATATAAAATTGGGCATTATGAAACAATTTGTAAAAGCTTTGAGTGAGAGCGATGAATGCTACAAATATTTAGAATCTAAATTTTCCTATAAAATGCCAAATTAAAAGAGTGAATATTCGATGGACCAGAACTAACGAAATTGCTGCAAGATGACAATTTTCCAACTATGATGACTGAGATTCAGAAAACTGCATGGGTTAGCTTCAAAAATGTAGAAAATTTTCTAGGTAATCACAGAAGCGATGATTACAAAATTTTAATATCAACGGAGATAAAATTTCCATGATATGAAATGTAATATGTCTTACAAATTGCATTTCTTGCATATCGCAGAGTTGCCGCTGCGAGGGTCTCTGCTACCGACGAGTAAGTGCGTCTGCACTACAGATAGGCATGTTGGCCGTAAAGTGGGAGTTCGACGAAGGCACGCGTCCGAGTGTGGGCGAGTTCGTGCAGGTCGAGTTTGGCCGAAACTATTGATTGGCTTGTATGCTGAGAGGTCGTGGGATTTCCCGACGAACGCTTGTTGGACAAGTTGTCTCAGTTTAGGCGAGTCGATAGATCGACGAGCGAGTTAGTCGTGCGTATAACAGTCGCAGCTGCGACGTCAATCCCCCCTCCTACTGCGGAGCAATGCAGTGGCCAGCGGTCTGATCAGCCGCCGGCTCCGCTCCCTTCTCTACCTACCTTCCAGCTCAGCAGAGACTCCGGTATAAAAGGAGCGAATTTCCGGAGCCACGTTGCATTACGCTTCGCAGCCTCTGCCTAGCAACATTCGCTCTCAGCTTTGTGTGCAATTTTTGACTCTTGGACTTAGTCTAACGTACGGAGGATATCCCGGCGTTATTCTGTTAGCAGAGAGCCGAAATTCGAACTTAGCCGCAGACGCATTAAATGTACTTAAGCTTTAGCGCATTAATGATACTTAGTCGCTGACGCATTAACGATACTTAGTCGCAGACGCATAGCCATTTTCGAATAAATTGTCCTTTGCCATATTCGCGCTAATCGAACATAGCCAGAGAGGCTGAACTTGAACTCAGCCTTCTACACTGTCAATAACTGCAGCTTTTGAACGAGGATACCACAGTCGATCGTCGCCACTGGGCCACACTCGGGAGAATATCCTGGTGCCGAACTCCGACGTACGAGTGCCGGTAACCCCTCTGCCCTCTCCTCAGTCGACCTCGCGTTCAGGTGTCAACTTGGGTGGATGTCCTTTTGACACCTGCCACGAGCGAGACCGCTGGGAGGAAAGAGTCGCGCTTCCGAGTCTCACGACTTACGAGTCAACGACTCGAGCTGCAAGCTCCGCTTGCTTCTCGAACGAGCAGAGCACGTACAGCGACGAGTATCGGCAAGGCTGCGGTACTTCGTCGGCGTGACCTCTCCCGACTTAAGTCCTCCTTGAAAAGGTTGAGTCAACGTCGGATCTCACCAACAACCAAGTTTGCTGTTTCATCGTGGCTCCTCCTTCACCCTGACACCAAGACCGACGCGTACATTTCCTTCGCGATTCATCGCGTTCATCAGGAATCGAACTCGCCGACTCCCTGCCTTATCGACTCCCAGCAGACACGGCTGACTCCGTTCCGTGTACCGCCGACACCGCGCTTCTGCGCGCTCTATTGCAGTACGCACGGCCGGGTCGTAACAACTGTATGCAGAGTTTCAAGTTCAATTTCGGCACAACAGTCGTTACGCACACATCGCATTCGTTTCTTTATAATAATTTTAATCAATATACCTTATTTTGATTAATAAAGTTTTCTTTTGTTTATATTTTGTAAACCAACAAAGTTGACTCTGTTTATTTTAAAATCTCCTTCACTATTTGTATCAATTTTAATGAATGAATTAATTTTCTTTTATTCATACCGTGATTTAATTAAGTTTATTGATTTTTGATTATGAAACGATTTTTTGCAGTTTAAATGTAGTTTCATTCATTGCATTATTTCAAATAAAATATTTTGGTTTCTTACGAGGCCATAAAAATGATTGTCATTCATCCAATGTTGGAAATAAATTACAAATGATCCTCAAATTCTGGTATTACCTATAATGTTATTTGAATAATATTCACATACGTCCATATGTTATATGATTATTGGAAAAAAATTATTTCATTTACAGGAATGTTGATGTGCATTGGGTTATTTAATAGCATATTATGTAACAAGTGCGTGAAAAAAAAACTCATCCAAGAGTTGTTTTCGCCCGAGCGCAGTGAGCACTAGCTGTATACCATATTTTTAAACATTTCGTGTGTAAAACGTGGTTTTTTGTGTAACTGAAAGGTTAGAAAACCCATGTTTTACGCACGGAGCGTTAAAAATATTATTCACAAAGGTGTGTATAATATACCCAGGTGGAAATGGTATGTTAGATCTGACTGCAGATCTGATATTAGATCTGGTATAAATTCTGGTGAACGCACATCAGATCTCATGCCAGATCTTATATCAGAATTTGCATACGATAATCGATATCAGAACTTACATCAGATCTGATATCAGATCTAATGTCAGATCTGAAACGACTGTATCGCTCCTAATTGTTTAAACAATAAATCTATTAATAATTAAAATTTAATAATAAATTTAGTTGTATTTTAATAACTAAATTGATAATATCTTTAAGAATAATTCCTCCAATGTTTGAGTTTTTGATTAAGTGAATTTAAATTAATTCGATAACCTTTATTGTTTAAGATTAGTTATTACATTTTAATAATTTAAGGGGACCAACCTGTGTTAAAAGCTTAAATTCAGCTTCAGCTAAAAATAGCTATATGAATCGAAATAGTGGAAATTTTTCTTTTGTGATTGTAAAATATGTTCATTCTACACCAGATTGACCAAAAACAACTTCTACCCAAGCTCTGAAATACCAATTATATCACTTTTTTCATAAGACGAAATATTGTGTTATAAATCACTTGCCGCACGATCTTGAAAAGAGTTTTTCATCAATATTGATCTATGGGGTCTCAAAATCTTCAGAAGAGTACTCTCGTCCACCTAAGCGGAGCAGAATTTTGAAAAATTGCGTACAACTTTATACACACGTCAAAATGTGCCAATTTTTGAGAAAATTAGTATTTTATCAACACTAGAAGCCATATTAAAGGTCTTGGAAGGAAAACAAACTTTTTTTTTCAAATTCTGCTCCGCTTAAGTGGATGAGGGTACTTTTCTGAAGATTTTGAGACCCCATAGATCAATATTGATGAAAAGCTCACGTCAGAATCGCGTGGCAAGTGAATCCTATTATAATATTTAGTATTATGAAAAAATAAGCGTAATTGGCATTTCAGAGCTTGGATAGAATTTTTTTTGGTCAATCAGCTGTCTAATAAACATATTTTACGATTACAAAAAAAAAATTTCCACTATTTCGATTCCTATAGCTATTTTTTGAATCTAAGTTTTTAACACAGGTCGGTCCCCTTAAAGGCGTCACAGTCACTTCAGATTTGACATTAGATCTGACATCAGATCTGATGTAAGTTCTGATGTCGATTATCGTATGCCGATTCTGATATAAGATCTGGCATAAGATCTAATGGGCATTCACCAAAACTTATATCAGATCTGACATTAGATCTGATATCAGATCTGATATACTATTTTTACCTGGGTAGGGTTATTTTGGATAGAATTATTTTATTTACGCAAACAATACAGCTTACTTGCTATTTGGATATTTGAATAATATTTAAATACGTCCGTGTCATAGGTTTTTTTTTATAAAATCATTACATTTATACGCGGATGTGTAGAAGTAGAGTCTGAGATTGCATAGTGTGAATAATAGCAAGGACCTTGGACAATTGACGGCATACGTGGTTCGAGTCTACGTGTCGTGTATTTCAGGCCTGTACGTGGCCATCTTGCGAGTCGATTATTTCCGCCTTAGACGCTCGTGCGAGAGCAAGCGAGATCGTGCGTATTACATTGGTCGTTTGAGACCAAGTAACGCGGCTGCTAGCGCAAGTAGCTTACGGCGCGTAAACTGTATTTCGGAGAAACGAGCCGATTGCGCGCAGTGCGATTACGCGGCCTGAATTTCCGAGCGTACAATACGATTGTAGCGATGAGAAATGATGCGAAGTAGTGAAGTAAAGTGCGATTGAAGTAATATTGAATGAATGAGAGTGAAAAGAGTTAAAGTTAATAAAGGAAAGATATTTGTGTGCTAAATTACATTCTCGCGTAGTTTTTTCGCCACCCTCCCGGTGGCGGTTCGACCCTTTCTGAGGTAAGACTAAAGGATAGGCTACCTGGAGCCTCTGTGAAGAATTAATAGGACTGCAGGGCGAGCATTCCATAAGACCCAAACCCTCGCACATCTCAATTTATATTAGTTCGATTCTACATATGGCATGAGTTGTTTGGATTAAATAGATCATGACCTATTATCTTATAAATGTCTATGTACATCGAAGTGATAAAATGATAATAGGACTATCACCATCTCATGTATTCTTTGGTTATTTAGCTTAAATAGCTTGACCAATAATCAAATCGTCGCCTTTGTGTGAAAAAAAGCTCATCTTTGTTCCGGTTCGAGACAAGCGTATCTCAGATTCCAGCTAGAAACGGCCTCAAAGCTCCCCGTAAGAAGGGCCCATTTCATGCCGAATTTAACAAGGACCGATCTCAATAGGGCTCATCTAGCCCAGTTGAAAAAAATTGCATGGATATCCGCGTTGATAATCACACCGATTCCACGTGCATTATACATAGATACCTCGAGGATCAGGCATTGATACCACGTGGATCGGACATGGATACTACGTGGATTAAATAAATTTTCTACGTAGATAAGTCGCATGGATTGACATAATACCTACGCATATTTTCGATCCACCCACGACGATTTTTGCTAAAATCCTTGTAGACTTTTGAACCTTCGCGATGATTTTTAAACAATCAACGTGGATTTCCACGAAATCCCTCGTGGATTGACCAGAAATCTACGAAGATTTTTGATCAACCCACGAAGATTTTTGCTAAAATCCTCATAGATTTTTGAACCCCGCAATGATTTTTAAACAATCTACGAGGATTTCCACGAAACCCCTCGTGGATTGACTAGAAATCTACGCAGATTTTTTATCAACCCACGACAATTTTCGCTGAAATCCTCGTGGATGTAGAAAGATCCTCGAAGATTTCTCGAAAAATCCTCGTGGATTAATCAATTATCAACGTGGAGAAGTTAAAATCCACAACGATTCACCGACAAAACCTTGCGGATTCTTGCAGCGAGCTCGCGAAATAAGTCCAAGATCCTCGAAGAGTTGAAAAACCACCAGCTTATAATTTTTCTCATCCATGTATGATCCACGTGGTATCTATGTATGATCCACGTGAAATCGTTGTCAGATCTGCCTGGTATCCATGTCTAATCCTTGTGGATAGCTAATCCACGTGGATAATCAACGCGGATATCCATGCAATTTTTTTCAACTGGGAGGACTGTAGACGGCGTCAACGTATATCTCAACATTATAATATTGTTTAAAATTCAAGTGAATCGTTTAAAAAATTTTTTTTCTTCCTTTTACTCCTTCTTCTTAGAAGGGCCTGCAAGAGGCTTAGAGCCCGTGCGCAGGAAGAGATTACTAATACCCCCCTCCCTACTGTCTCTCATTTGCCCAGACTCAAGGACTTGTGGGGCAAACTTACCATTTAAATGTACCTTTCAAATGGGGAGGGGGGAGGGGTATAGTAGTAATCTCTTCCTGAGCACGGGATCTAAGCCTCCTGCAGGCCCTTCTGAGGAGTAATAGACAGAGAAAAAAAACTAAGCAAATAACTGAAAAATCATATAATTCATAAAAGCAATGTTATCGGACAGCATTTGCAATCAACTTTGCCACTGGTGATACTCACAGCTAGTAAATATTTGAAATATTGTTTTACAATTATTTAAAATCAATTAACTCACTTGATATCATCTTAAATATGCCCACGGTAAAGCACACACGACTTTTTGCCCCACCACCTATTATCGTAATAATAAAAATAATTGAATTGTTCAGTTGATAACTTTTTAAGAGACCATTTTAAATCTTCGGTAATACACCCGTGGTAATACGTACATCCGCGCTAATACACGCACGGTAATAGGTGCAAACCCACGGAGTTGCACTCACTTGGCTTTATTGTATGAATTGACTTTTCGTATAAATGGTACATTCAAAAAGTGATTATTAATGCATTATACTACATAGAGAAATGTTTATTCTTTCATTTAAAAACAAGAGAGGCTATATCGCTTGCCGCCAGAGACTTGGCCACTCTGCCGTCGTCTTTCTCTCAGAAGCGAATGTTAAAAGGAGAGAGGGAGTCTGATCCCTCATAACTGGAAAAAATCTGATTCTTAAACATCAAGTCGGCTTTTGCCAGAAACACTCTATCATTGAACAGATGAATTGAATAACATCAAAAAACAAATCATTCGAATCGCAGCGGCTGTCTAGCAATGGACAACCATCACAAGTGAAACTTCCAACAAGTCATATAATGTAATTTAAAAAAACAAAAATTCAATACGGAGAAAAGTTGAAGAAAATTTCAAAGTAAAAATTCAATCGAAGAAAAGTACTCTGAAGTTTCACTTCTAGTGCAAATTGCATTCTAGACAATCTAACCACCAAAAGTGAAACTTCAGAGTACTTTTCTTCGATTGAATTTTTACTTTGGAATTTTCTTCAACTTTTCTCCATTATGAATTTTTGTTTTGTTTTCATTTTTAATGGGGTTGTTAAATTGTTTATATGAATTTTGACAATGATTTTGAATTCTCACTTAAATATAAATTAGAAATTCACCATTCAAAAATATTTTTATAAACAACCCATAAATATTTCAAGATGAGTAGGTAATCAAAATGTTTAAAGGGCCCAAAAACGATTATTTTGCCCTAAAAACTGACTTTATTTATTATAATTTCAATGCAATGCCACTACATTAATTAAATTTATAGAATTTATAAGACCATTTCTTCATCCAATTCTGATTGGTTTTTAAACTTTTTGGTATTTTTCTTTTAGCTATTTCATGATTGATCTCATGTTCTAAAGCACATTTGAAAAAAAAATATTTACATTCATAAATATCATTGTAAATACATAAATACAGTGCACATTAGGGTATTATTGCTCAGTAATTGACCACTTTCAACCAGTAAACAAGAACATCATAAACAAGATACACCATTCATCTAAGAATTAAATAATGTCTATATAAATGCATTATCGAAAGTTTTTTTTATAACACATTTTCTACAATAGATTATATCTACGCCAATTAGTGGTCTACACTGGTGAATCCATTAATTGTACATCTCAAGAATTAAGTTTTTAAGGTATAAAAAATATAAGTTATATTAGTAAACAATATTCATGTAATTATATAAGTTTGTTATTTATACTTTATTATACTAGTTTTATGTTTATTTAATATGTTGTTTTATAATTAATAATAGCCAATTGTTTAAAACGTTTTTTAAGAAAGAATATTTTTTAGTATAATACATTGAGTTTCTTAATAAAATATAGGTAAGATAATTGGTCAGACATTTATGACTCAAACTATCATAATTCCATCTTATTTGCTTCATGCAAAATAAATTTACATTTGTGGGTAACAAAAATTCAAGATATGAAAATTCAGTTCATAAAGAAAACATGAAAGCTTGTACACCAATCTTGATTTTACATCAAAATAATAACATTACTTTCAACTTTTTATAATTGTGGTTAAATAAATTTATGCAGATTGTTTTTCTAATGTAATGATAATAATGCTAACTGCATTTTTATATTAATAATAAAGATAGATTTCATTTGTTAACTCAGAATGATTGAATTAATCATAAATGATTTTAAATCATAAATAATAAGTAAATAAACATTTCAACTAAGAAACAAAAATGAAGAAATTTCCATTTGATTAGGCCTTACTTACTGTTTGAATTTTGATTAGAATATTGAAGTGTGTCAATATCAAGTTTGAGGTATGAATGTTATCATTGGTAAATGACTAGTGACGATGTTGATATTAATAAATACTGTACATTTAAGTCTAAAATTAATATTTTCAAATAAACTTCATTGTATGTTGTGTTATATTCATACTGTATTTAGAATGTATTAGACTGAAAATCTGGTAGTTCGCGTAGAATTGTAATTGTAGCAAATCGTTTCAGTTGTTTCATGGAACCAAAATTAAACATTTTAATAATTAATTCGTTTTTTGGTCAGTAATTACAAAAGTTCATATGTAGAGCTAGTATCAATAGACTAAGATATATAATGCAAGTTCGACTTAAGTACACTCTAGCGGTGACGGCAATGAACGAATCAATTCATAAATTAAGGTCATTGAACATTATACTGCAAGGAAATCAAACAAATAAGAAACAAATCGCAACAATTAAGAACACGACTCTAACGACTAAAAGTCTTATATGAGAACGTAGGTAAGAGTTTATGTGAAGTCTGAACTTATTGACAATAAAAGATTATTCCTCGTCATAAAGATTTATTGATTATTTTTTCAGTTAAGATTTCACATAAAATTTTACGTAAATTCTTATATAAATTATTACTCAAATTCTCTTATTGAGCTTTTGCTCAAAGCTAATAATTTTCGAAATATTTGAAATAAGTATAAATTTCGAAAAAAGCTAACTTTTAGCTCTCCAATAGATTTATGAATTGTTTAATATTTCATGAAAAAATGCCGAAACTTACTTTATTAAAAAACTAAGCTAATATTGTAAAACCACATAACTATATAATATATAATCTCAATTTAGATTTTTAAAATTGTTTTTCAATGTAAGCTTTTTATAGGTAGGTTCTAAAGCTCAAAGGATAAAAAGAAATTTTATTCAAGAAATATGAACATTTTTTTTTTTTTGAGAAAAAAATTCAATTCATCGTAATTAAGATTTTCATCTCTCCTAACGAAATGTAGAAAAAAGTATAATTTCTTCGAAATCGGCAGTTATCTTAAAATTTTTTAGGCACTTTTTACTTTTTATTTATAGTTTAAAAAGTTGGTACATATTTACTGGATTTCGCAAAATATTAGAAAACAATTTTATCGTTATCAGTCATTCATAAATCATTTATAAAGTTGTGAAAAGGTCCCAATGATCCCCATTCTCTGAAAGATGGTTTTTCAAATCCATGAGTGTTCACAAGTACAGCGTGTTGAGCTTAACCAAGTTTGCCATATTCCTTAATCCTTATTATTTCTGGACCATGTTTGATAAAAGCCTAACTTTATTATCACTGAGCAGCATGCTATATTACAAGCAGACAATTTTATAAACTCCAACTCTAGTGATTTCATAACTTTTATAATAATATTTAAAACATAAATATAAATATAATATAAAATAGTGGTAAACAAGTTCGAATGAAAACTTAATTTATTACGGAAAGTTAATAAAAGTTATAAGCTGCAGTTGTAAACTAAATTATTATTATTTTTTTTCACTGTTACTATTGGATCAAATTTCAAAAATCATTAATAAAATGACCAAATATTTAAAACACATGTGGCAGCGGATGGAACAAATATTTAAACCTGCTACTTTTCAAGGTAAAATTTATTGATCTATACATTTGCATCATTTATACAAGATACACTTTACTTATCTATCGTTTTATTACATGGCTTGTTTTAAACTTTGCTTGTGATAAACTACAGAATTCATAAAAATATTTATTGGTTGTCAAAGATAAACACACTTGAATATTAAAAATTAATTTACTCACTTTTATTCAATAAGTCTAGCATAAACTTGATATATTTAAAGTGTAAGTTGTACTTGATAAAACTTTCATGTTTTTATAAGAATTGAATATAATCTAATAAATAAAAGATAAAATTCTTCTGTGATTGAGTCGTTGAATAAATTCGAAATTGTTTTTCTTGTATCATTTTAAATATTTTTTCCAATATAACTTTTGAGAAAATCATTGTATTGATTTTATTGTATAATGCTCTATTTTATGGCTAATTTGATGTTTCCTTTATCAATTTCATTTTTGATAAGTAAAATAATAGTAATTGCTTCACAATTCCTCAAAAATATTAAGAGACATAGCCAAAATTGCAAACTTCAAGTATCTTGTAAAAATAATGAATTTATTTTCTTTATTAATCCTTCAAATCGATTTACAATTGTAAACATATTACATTATAACACTTGCATACTCCTTAACACAGCTTATTCATGAAGAGACAATATTATTATGAAGTATGTAACTATCTTATTCCCCTTAAAAAGTTGCGTTAATTAATTTATCCTATTATCACCTTCCGACATCTAAAAATAAGTTATATTTTCTAATTTTAAAACGCCTCGAATGAAGACTTTTATTTAAGTTGTAGATTGAAATATTTTGAATTTTTTTATACAAATAGTAAATCTAGCAATTTTAACAATTGTAAAGATAATATAATAACAAAGTGTGTTGTATACCTACTCATGGGCTAAGCTATAGTTGGTGTAATATGTCAAGAAACAAATTAGAATGAAGTATATATTTTTAAATAGGACATTGAAAAATGAAAATTCTAAAAAATTTGAGTCCTCTAGGTCTACTCATCATGAATCTACCAAGGCTTAATGTTGAATTTTCATTTTTTACACTTTATTTTACTTTTTACAGTGGAATGTAAAAAATTTGTTACATCATGATTTTTGATGTAAACATTTGATGAAAATTTTAAAATTTCTGTCAAATATCATTTTTATAATGTTACAAAACGCTTTAAAAAAGAAAAAATAACATGGAAGTCCAATAATACACTTGTCTCCTTTAACTGAGCTATGTTTGAAGTTCTTTTGATAAGCATTTTTCTAAAACTTGGTCATCAGCTACTCATATGACCCTATACAACGGCTATTTAAAGTTGAAAAATAATGAAAAATTATAAAAATAAAAAAAAAAAGGTTTTTTGGTCAGGCACAAATGGATCCGTGTATTATGGGCTGCTGCTCAAGTCACATGTATCATAATATAATCCTAATACATTTCAAGAACTTCGTAAATCACAAACAGATTTAATGTATGAATCAAACTTGATTAAAATGAAGTTCATGATTTAAAGCAAATTTCATGATCTCTGATTTTTTAGGTTGTTCGTGCCCACCCCGACGGAAATTTTTCTCATGAGAAAGTTTTACTAAGTCTAAAAAAGTCTAAAAAAGTCTTAAAAAGTCTTACAAATGTTCAGATTTCGTACACCTGATTGATAATTTTAAAGAGTTAATAAGAGTTTTTAAAAATTCGTAAAACCTTTTGGAGACTCAATTTTTTATCAAAAATGTCAAGTTTTTTTTTCATTTTTTCTATATTGTTCATATAGTTGCTTGTATAGTTTTTTCACCATAACTTTTGGTGAGCGTGGATACCGATCAAAAAAGTCTTTAAAAATATTGAAAACTTTCATCAACACTATATAACGCTTAATAACTCTTCATAACTCTTTATAAAAATTATTGTAATTTGTAAAAATTTTTTTAAATTCAATAAGCGATTGCTTTACCCGTCTGAATATTTCTATTTACATCATTTAAAACTCTTATAAAGTTTTATTATCTCTTAAAAATCATGGTACGAAATCCGAACATTTATAAGAATTTTTAGTACTTATTTAGACTTTTAAAGAGTTTTTAAGAGTTTTTAAGAATTAGAGTGGCACTGAAATTTCCGTAGGAGCAGGTAACAAAAATAGCCTCTGGTCGACTTATCAAGAAAGTTGTAGTTCTTTTAGGCTGTTAAAACTCTAGGTAAATTAAAAAAGTGCAGTGTAAACTTTTACAACTTGTTTTGATTTCTCCGGATTTTTTACTTCGTAAAATCCAGGAAATCTCGTCATAAAAAAAACTGAGAAAATCTCAACACAAGCATTGATGTTTCACATCTGGTGCAATTATGCGTTGAATATAAACTAAAAAGTACGATTTGGAGTGTGAAAATGCATTTGAAATCCTTCAGAGAGTACGTGTGAATTTTTTCAGAATTTTTCAGACCACTTTGAAAATTTTGTAAAATACGACCATTTTCCGGCCTGTCGAAAAAATCCAAAATGTTCCAAAAAAATTCTTAAAAAATTCTTAAAAAATTCTTAAAAAATTCTGAAAAAATTCCGAAAAAATTCACATGTATTCTTTGAATAAACTTAAACACTTTTCATTGCATAACTTTTTTTTATAAAGTCAATAATTTCAGACTAAAAAATGAGGGAATTTTTATATCGCTGCTCGGTATAAATTCGACATTTTAGAAATATAGGGGCTAGATGGAAATCGTGGCAGCGCGTGTTTTGAAGATTCAGAGAAGATGCACGATTTCTGGTATTATGGGAACCCTCCGAAGGCAGGGCAAGGTAGAAAATCGACTTTGAAAAAAAATTTCAAGTCAAAAAATCACTTTTTTTTTCAAGTGCAAAATAAACAATGATAATGTTCATTTATCACCAAAATGACACCGGATTATGAAAGGGCATACCCAAAAACCTCCGGGTATGGATTTTCATGAAAAAATTTTAACTTTATACATGATTATTTTTAAATGGAAAATTCATGCACAAAATTGCACTTTTGCGCGTTAATGGGTTAAGCAGGCTATTATTGCACGGCACGGTTAGCACCCGAGCGAAGCGAGGGTGCTAGTGCCGTGGTAAGAATGGGCTACTTGAGTTATAAGTATCGCATGCTTTTTTATAGCACTGTGCTAAATTCACGTTTAGGCCCCCTTTGGCGAGATATAAGGTGCTCAAAATAGCGTCGCGGTGTGAGGTTAGCGCACGAGCGTAGCGAATGCGTTAGGTGCGCCGCTGGCCCAAACGTGAACTTAAGCCATGCAGTGCTATAAAAAATTGAAAAATCAAAAAATATATTCGTTTCTTCAAGAAAATGGGTGAGTATAATCACTCATGGTAAAAATTGTATGCAACTATCTGGTAGGTTTTTGTCCCACCTTTTTAACGCCGTTTCCAGATTTTCGCACGTTTCGCTGAGATACTGTTGTTTTTGTACGATGTATTTTTTAAGTATAAAATTCAATAATTCTGAGCTAGCTCCCTTAATTAAAAAACCAGTGAAGCAGAATTACTGGATAAAGTACTTTGAAATGGGGTATTGAAAAGGCTCATATGCCTCTTGTCTGAAAAAATTTTTTTTTCCTTTTTCAGCTTAATACTATGAATAGAAATATATAATTATTCAAATCCCCTTTGAGCCCTTAAGGAGGTACCTCCGTGGAAGAATTATAAAATTGATTCGAACCAAATTACATTACCTAGCCCTATTGTACGATAGAAGGGCACTGTAAAAATATATGTCGCAAGTTCATTACATACAAGGAGACCACATGAGATGCGGGTCACTAAATGTCCTGAAAAATTTTTTATGGTCTCCTGGTACCTAATAATGAAGCCCCGTATGCTTAGTTTGATCCAAGGAGTCTTGGGGTCCATTTTAAAAATCATTTTCTAATTTATTAAAAAATCTTTGTGATTATCTAACTCATAACAGGAAGTCTTAAGGACGCTGTAACGAAAATGAAAAAAACTTTAGATCGAAGTGAAATTTTAACCGGTGATAGTTCATGAAATTAAAATATTTTTGGTAAAATAAAGTTTGAAGTTTCCACGCAAACTTGCGAAATAATAAGATTCAAAGTTTTGGCCATTCAACATTAGATCTTATGGGAATGGGTAGTTTTTCGTTGACTGTGGGCTCAAATCACTTTGTAAGTTATTGAAGTTAATATATGTTATAGGCAATTTTATTAGTTTTCCAATGATATAATAAAAAATGTTTCCAGATAAATAAAAAAGTTATGATTCTTTGAAAAATGTTACCACAGCCATACCAAGTCACATGACGTAAACTGTATAGCTCTGCATGTAAATATGAGCACAGCTGTAGCAGACGCTGCTGTCTACAGTGTGCCGTGCAACCCAAGTGCATCTTAGGTCGCTACAGCCTCCTTAAACAAAAAATTGAAAAATGATCAAGTCTTAGAATTAGTCAAAGAATACGTTTGAATTTTTTCAGTATTTTTCAGACCTGTCATTACCTGTTTTCAAAGGTCTCTGAAATTCTTAAGAAAAACGTAAAAACGCGTCAAATTTGGGCCTTTGAAAATAAGTGATTACAGGTCTCAAAAACTCTGAAAAAAATTCAGACGTATTCTTGGACTAATTCTAAAACTTGTTTATTTTTCAATTTTTCGTTTTAAACGTCCTGTTACGAGTTAAAAAATCATAACGATTTTTTAATAAATTAGAAAATGATTTTAAAAATGAACCTTAAGACCCATTGGATCAAACTAAACATACGGGGCTTAATTATTAGGTACCAAGAGACCATAAAAAAATTTTCAGGACATTTAATGACTCGCATCTCATGTGCATACTAGTATGAGTAAAACATTTTTAAATTTTGTCTTTTGCAAGTAACGATAATTTTGTACACTTCATAGGATATTTCATAAGTTATAAGACGGATTTGCGTGTAATTTTTTGAGTCCTTTAATAAACTATCGCAGTGCCTCGTGTTAAATTTTCATAATCTTTCACTACGTTAGTACAGTGCAATAAATTGAAAACTTTTATACTTTTGGTTTGTCAGTATAGAGTGAAGAACAAATTTACTCTCGATAATATACTTTTTATGATAACGGTAAATAATTTAACTTTCGGAAAACGAGAAGTTGCGATTTTCCAATTCCAAGACATGTTAAGGAACTCAAAATAAGAATCTAATTATGTGTTGAATTTAGTTGGAAATTTTTTTAATCGCATAGAGTATCATACAAGTTGTTTGCTTTCTTCATACCCCATCCTACTTTTAAATTCAGTTGAACTTAATTAAACTTGAATTCCAAATTTTCATAATGATATGTTGACTTTTATTCGCTTGACTCATTTCAGATAATTTAGTCTTTGACTTAGCTGGGTACACTAATAAATCAATCACTCAATCTGAATTAAATGGTGATGGATTGCTACTAGCTGTTCCAAAGCACAGGCGGTCTCTCGAAAAACGTTTATCCCACAGATTTGGATGGCCGGAGTATCATTGGAAACCTCTTAAACCTAAAACAAATTTGAAATTATGTAAAACTTGTGGTCATCATTATGAATTCGGAAGTATTTGTGGTAAGTTAAGTCGATTTTTCATAACACTATTTTATGACTTTAAATCAAAACTATTATGAGTGAAATAAGTTATAAGAAGCGTAAAAATTTTTATTTTTTATGTACCTGTAAGAAAAAAACCGGTACTTGTAAGAAAAAATTCGCCACCCATTCATTGTCAAAAAGCTTCCTCATAGAAAAATGTTTTTTTTTTTATGTATGACTACTTATATAAAGTAACTAAAGTTTTATTATTGATGAATTAATTATAAATCTTCGATTAAAGATGATAAAAGAGAGAGAGAGAGAGAGAGTATATTGTATTCTGAGTACCTAACTTACTAATTCTATGAGAAAGCAAAAGTACAACTTTTCATTTTGAGTCCGACTTTCATAATATTCCGCGAATCTCTACGTTCTAGATTTCAATTGTCTAAAAAGTAAGAAAAAGACAAATCTATTGGTACTCGTTCGCGGTCAATACGATTTTTTCCCATGTTTCGGACCTTGAAAAGACTTTGCACCTATTTAATTTAATGTAAAATTTAATGCCCTTTGAGAATCTTCAAATTTAAGATTTGATGCTCCGTTAAAAAGTTATGATTGTTTAAACAAAAAGAGATGTAAAAATTTGTGCGAAAAATGGCTTTTAAGAATTATTTTCGAATTTTCGCAATATAAAAAAATTAAGATACAAATATGATCTAAAGTGATCATAGGTGTAGAATAGGCTGGAAGCGAAAAAGTGATGTATGTACCAAAAAAATAATCTGTGCAAAATTTCAGCTCATTTAAATTGAGATGACCCGTGCTGCCAATCGCTTAAAGATTTTTAATTTGATTTAAATTAATTTCTACTGCTTCTTTACAGCAATATTCAAATGGCTCTATGGCCGTCAATTTTTAAGCAAATGAAATTTGAAACCAGTCAAATTAAAGGTATTTTTAAGACTATTTCAAAGTTTCGATTGCTTCAAAATTAACTGCTCTAGAGCCGTTTGAATATTGCTGAAAATGGAAAAAAATCGCAATTTTTCTGGTTTTATAATAAGTGAGGTTCACTCGGAGAAACACCAATTTTTTTCTTAACCCCGGGGTATGTTTTCGTGTATAATAAGCTAAAAAATTACGTAGATTTTGACCGAAATATTGCACCCTAGCCCCGTATAGCAGCATTTGAAATATTCGTAATTTCTTTGCTTTCATTCGCCTAATGCTCACATGAACTGTAACATTTTCTAAATACTACTAATGATTAAAAGCATCTCAAGACCTATTTTTTAAGTACTGAAACGCGCTTATAGGTACCTCAGAGCCTAATCTATAGCCAAATTAAAAATATAATCATTAATGAAGTTGAAAACTAGAATCGCAATCGCAAAATAGTGTAAAATACCATGAAAGTAAAAAAAAAGTTGTTCGTATACCTCCAATTGGCCTATATTGTAATATATTCATCGATACATCAGAATACAACTTCTGATAAAGTAAGGTAACTGAATCACCATTACAGACAATTTGGTAGCTTGCGAAGAGCCAAAAAACATGGAAAATGATGAAAAAACCATGTTTTTTACCAAACTTTATCAGAAGTAGTATTTGTATTTGTATGAGAACATGTTTCAATACTGGCCAATTGGAGGTATACGAACAACTTTATTTTTTAACTTTCATCGTATTTTACACTACTTTTTCAATTGTAAGGGATTTCGAGGTTATAAATGTCATATTTGAGTACATATTTGAATTCTACATCAAATTTTATATGAAAAAACACGGTTTAGAAATTTTTTCCTATGCACCCTAGAAAAGCAGAGTAATAGCAGAATATCCTCAAAACATGAAAATCCAATTTGAGCCCCTATAGATCAATGAGGGTTGGACCTGGGGGGCTGATATTTTCAGGATTTTTATTTTTCATTGTTTTTTTGAAGAGTACATGGTTATTTTCAACTTTATTTTTTTGGCCTGCAACACCTGTTGTGGAAAATGCCGCATATTAAAATTGATTTGAAAATGTTGAATAGAGTCAAATTCATTGGTAATATAATGCAGACTGACAAGGAGAGCTCTCCAAGTCCGGGTCACCGAATGCCCTGAAAATTTTTTTGTGATCTCCTAGTACATGATGATGAACCCCTATATTGTTAGTTTGATCTAATGGGCCTTTTAACAATACTTTTACGCATGATCAAGATTTGAATATTATTTAACGATAATAAATACCATATAATAGCCTATCATGGTATAAGGCTTAAAACAGTTAATTCCAACTGACTGAAGAGCATTGTTACTTTGTCTTTTTCAAGTTTTTAAACACTTATCCAAAAAATAAACACTGTAGCTCAATTGGTACACTATGCAAGTCTCAAAGAGCGAACGAATTTGAGCTAAAATTAAAATACTTTACTATGAGTATTGATGCAAAAGATTGAAATAAAACTTTTAAATTATTAAACTCACTGTTCCTTCTTTTCATAACTTAACTTAGTTGCTTTTCTGCATTTGTAAATTGAGCGTGTCAACAGTTTAACAGTGCTTAAAAAGTGTGAATTTATTGTGTTGATTTATTGGGGAAAAGAAAAAGAAGCATAACTGATTGTATCATCGCCAAATCACATTATTTATTTATCTTTATCATTGGCGACTTCCAGCATCATTGATGAGGTAATCTGGCACTTAAAACGTAATCGATGAAGTGTCAATAATGGATGAAAAGAAGGAACAGTGAGTTTAATAATTTAAAAGTTTTATTTCAATCTTTTGCATCAATACTTATAGTAAAGTATTTTAATTTTAGCTCAAATTGGTTCACTCTTTGAGACTTGCATAGTATACCAATTGAGCTACAGTGTTTATTTTTTGGATAAGTGTTTAAAAACTTGAAAAAGACAAAGTAACAATGCTCTTCAGTCAGTTGGAATTAACTGTTTTAAGCCTGATACCATGATAGGCTATTATATGGTATTTATTATCGTTAAATAATATTCAAATCTTGATCATGCGTAAAAGTATTGTTAAAAGGCCCATTGGATCAAACTAACTATATAGGGGATCATCATCATGTACTAGGAGATCACAAAAAAATTTTCAGAGCATTCGGTGACCCGGACTTGGAGAGCTCTCCTTGTGAGTTGACACTCGGTACTCACTACTGAAATTTGAAATAAATCGAAAAGTATTTGTGAAAATTAATTTAAAATTTTTTTAATCATAACAATTGATTTTTATAGTGAAAGGTTGCATTACGGATTGTAACAATACTAAAAATAGACGAAAATAGAAGCAGTTAAAATTTGACAAAATTTCAATGAAAATTTTGGTTGCGATAATTTTGTTGCGGAATGTTGATAAATTCACTACTCGAGCCCCTGAACCACCGTGGTGCAGAGCATGAGCAAGGACGCGGCGGTCATTAAGGATTGGGCCAATCGCAATGGACCTTAACTAAACTCGACCTAGACGAAGGCAATACCGTTCGCCAACTCCAAATAGCGTCGCTTCATCGACAAGTTAAATGTTCCCTTCCGCGGCTGATTGTGGAGGAAACAATCATTCTGTTGGTGAACAAGGTCTGTAATTTCGGCGTCGCAACGTCTCATTACATGTTGTGGGCTTTGCACGCTCGTGGCGTGTGCTCATGGGTCCACGATGTCCTCCATGGTCTGCATTATAGGCGGGCATGCTCAGTTGCGCCCTCAGAAGAAAGCTCGTGCTGACTCTGTTGCTACCTTTAATGGATTATAGCTGCTTAGTATGTCGGAATACCTCAACATTGAGTTATACTATCTCTGGCATTTAGCTACACGCTTTGTCTTCGGCCTTGCCTTGCAAGGATGAGCTGCGTTAATGTTGAAGAGAAAAGAAGATTCTTGTTTGCTGTACTGATGTAGCGGACCGTGTCATCGCTGCGTCAGCGTTACCGTGGCAAAATGTTCCATCGATGGATCGTTGTGACGGCGCTGCGAACCCAAAGCAGTTCTCTGCCTCAACGGATGGTTCTTGATTCGATCTCTGAGTTGCAGCAGCGGTCTTTCATCATCGAGGGAGTGAGACAGTGGAACGAGCTGTCGATACCTGTTTATGATACAGATTTGCTTCTACTTTTTCGTCAATGATTGCATGCCTACCTCGTGGGCTTGCGATGGAAGGTATCTGTTTGACGTGCAACACTTTTTTGCACCAAAAATCTGTACATTTTTTTAATCATATGAAAAATGAAAACTTTTTAATAGTGAAGTGATACTTCTATAGGCGCGTTAGGTATGAGGAGTAAGTTGGGAAAAATGAACGTACATACGTACGTACGGGCAAGCAGCGCGGTAATCTTAGCAATATAGACCGTTTATAGACAGGGTACTTCGGTTTGGTTCACGCTGGCAGCTGCTAGCTAGTCGTATCGGTTGCGAAGCTTTAGGCGCGTGTCTACTGCTACGTGCTTGGAGCTTGTGTCTATGTAACGTCTACGCGGCGTCTTGTAACTCTGTCTCTCTCGCGCGCGTAGCTTGGCCAGCAGCAACAAAGTATAGGAATCTTGTATAGCTCGCACTTCACGCACATGTCTGTACTCACGAATTGCGATAAATGATATAAGTGCGTTAGCGTGAAATATGATTCTGCTCAATCGCGTTTGATCGGTAATTGAGGTAGTGTAGGTAGCGGGCTCGGAACTCACTACCGAAACATGTAACTAACCAAAAAATATTTATGAACAAGTAAATTAATTAATTTTTACAATTCAATGACAAGTATTATCTAAAAAATTTGGAAAAGTAAATCGAAAACATTGAGTTAGCTGTCCACAGGCAGCTATCAGAAATGGAACTTTTTTAAAACTAATGATTCAAAAATATCAGATATAAAATTAGAAAAATCTTGAAAAATTTACAAGAATAGTATGAAAAAAGCATTGAAAAAGTCAGAAGTCAGGAGTTTTTTAGAAATAATATAAAAAAAATTAAAGTTCATCCAAGTCACAATGTGATTGAAAAACAATCCTCAACGAACTACCCTAAAAATAGTAAAATTTTATAAAAAATATGGTTTTAAAAAATGAAAATACTGAAATGCCTAAATATAAGTCTTGTTGTAGTAGCATAATGATATAACTCTGGGGTCTCAAAAGGAATTTTATTACTCGGAATTCTACGACTTAAGGGCTCAAAGGGGGCTTGAATGATTATATATTTCTATTTATAGTATTGAGCTGAAAAAGTGAAAAAAATATTTTTTTCAGAAAACAGACATAAGAGCCTTTTTCAATACCCCATTTGAAAGTACTTTGTCCAGTTAAATACTTACAAACACATAAATTAACTTGTATCAGCCTATGACCCTTCAGCGAAGAGCACTGAGAATATCTAAGCTGTTTGTCGTAAGATTGTAAGTGATGGCTTGACACGACTAAGTTCTCGGTCATTTCATTTTCTTCGATGGATCATTATCCATCAACGCAACCTCAAGCTAAGCATAAGATCAACTTTGACTACTTCCACATACAATTTAATAAAATATTTTATTCATTAAGGATTATTTTTGATAAATTTTAATAAAATATTTTATTAAATTGTATGTGGAAGTAGTCAAAGTTGATCTTATGCTTAGCTTGAGGTTGCGTTGATGGATAATGATCCATCGAAGAAAATGAAATGACCGAGAACTTAGTCGTGTCAAGCCATCACTTACAATCTTACGACAAACAGCTTAGATATTCTCAGTGCTCTTCGCTGAAGGGTCATAGGCTGATACAAGTTAATATATGTGTTTGTAAGTATTTAACTGGACAAGGTACTTTCAAATGGGGTATTGAAAAAGGCTCTTGTGTCTGTTTTCTGAAAAAAATGTTTTTTGCACTTTTTCAGCTGAATACTATACATAGAAATATATAATCATTCAAGCCCCCTTTGAGCCCTTAAAAAGTATAACTAATTTTCAGAATTTCGACTTACCTAGGTAATTTAGGCTGCTGTATTCAAGTAAATTGCCGGCTTCTTGAAGTCATTTTTGGTTGAAAAAAGGGTCGGAAAACTCGAGAATTTTTCCATTCCACCAGATGTCGTTTTTACTTATATTTTGATGCATTTTGAAATAATGTGATTTTCAGGTATACATAATATCTTAGAATAAATTTGAATAATATTTTTTCAGGTAATTGTTATGCTAAAACAAAGCAAGAAACTGATATTCTACAGAAGGACATGGATTTTGGTTGCGGTTTTACACAAAACTTATCTGTTATATCTAAAACTGCGATAAGTGGATTAAAAATTTTTTGCAAGGTCAGTATTAGTAGACTTATTCAAACCAATTGAAGGAAAGAATGAAGTTTTGGAAGGCAATGTCAAAAATTACATGTATTTTAACTTCTTCAAAAAAAAATAGTTGCAATGAAAAACTCAAGATTTAAGGAGATATAAAAGTCAACGAAAATATCAAAATTTTAATCCATTTAAAATACATGTAAGCTTGAAACCACTTGGGGTCCACCATAAGATAATTTTTTCTGTATCTGCTTTTTCATTTTTTAATCGATTAGAAAACGCCTAGGTTGGGGGAGAGGCAATACAATCAAATCGGGAAATAACGGACACCCGGACGTGTCATCCTTCGAAATAATAATTAAAACCAATGCCAATCCATTGGTAAAGAGCTTCCTCATAGAATAGTACTTTACGATACAAGTGCCATAAGTATGCTATTAGGACCCTCGCTGCGCTCGAGCCCTAAACTACGCCGTGCCAAAAAGTGTTTCCATGGCACGAGTATCGTACATTATTTTATAGCACTGTGTTAAGTTCACATTTATGCCCCCTTTTCCGAGTCATGAGTCGCACTTTCTGGTACCGCGCAGAGAGGTTAGCGCACGGCGTATGCGAGTGTGATGCGAATGGTGATGGTTATCGAGTTAAAAATTCTTGAACGATAGGTTTCATTTTTTATTTTTGATTTCGGCTGAGAACGTTCAAGAATTTTAACTTAATAATTATTAACTTTACGAGAAAAAGTTATGAAATAAAAAGTGTTTAAAATTGATCAAAGAACACGCCTAATTTTTTTTAGAATTTTTGAGCGATTTTTGGATTTCTAGATAACACCATTTTTTCAAAAATCCTAAAATCGTTACAAAAGTTCTGAAAAAAATCAGGCGTGTTCTTAGATCAATTCTAAACACTTTTTATTCTACAACTTTTTCTCGTAAAAATGATAATGATCGAGTTAAAAATTGTCGAATTCATTTTATGACATACAGGTCTTCGGGAGTCAAATTTATGATCGCCATTTTGGATTTCGTAATTATAACTATTTTACAATAAAGTATACATGCCATTGAACGAATTTAAATGCGTGAGACGCACAAGCGAACCTTATTTCCGTGTTGAAATTTGAGTTAAACGAGATTTTTTTCTCGAAATTTCATGTTTTTTTTTACAAAATTGCTTATAACTTTTTATTCAATATATTTTTGAAAATTCTGACCCCAGATTTGAACAGTACATCAAATTTTACGTAAGAAATGATGTCTGAAAAGTTTTTTAAACAATTTTTAGTCGGTGTAATTCATCGCTATAAATGTTGTCCACAAATGGTCATTTCAGGCGTTAAATGGTTAATTTGATGAATACTTGACAAAATTAATTTGATTTCAATAACATCATAGACGAGAAATTTTTAATGGGGTACAAGTTGAGATTACAAATTTAATACTCGAGGAAAATACTTTATAGTTAGTATTAATTATGAAAAACTAGCTAACTTACTTACTCCCATATGTACTCTTTCTTACTTCCCAAATGGATTTTTTTTTCATCACTCGTATCTAGTTAATATTGCGTATTTTGGGGACTATGAATACACTTCTTCGCGTCACTTTTTGCGATGGATCGATTAACAGAGTCAGAATTATCGTATCTTTCATAGATTTCAAATGAAAATGTTAAGGAAACAAGATAATTTTTCAAGCCCATATTTAAAAATACTTCAAAATTATCAAAATAGTTCAAATTTTTTTACTTTAATGGTAAAACATGTTCATACTACACCTTATTGTCCAAAAAAATGTTTACACAAGCTCTGGAGAACTGACTATTGTGTTATAAATCACTAGCTGCATGATCTTGAAAAGAGTTTATCATCAATATTGGGATGTCGAAATCTTTAAAAAAGTACACACATCCACTTGAGCGGAGCAGAATTCGGAAAAATTGTGTACAACTTTATATACCTGTCTAAATGTGAGAATTTTTAAGAAAATCAATATTTTATTCACACTAAATGCCATACTTGAGAAGGTTTCCTTGCAAAGTTCACAAGAAGTACATTAATCAATATCGATAGATTTTGACCTCCCGAATCCAATGTTATAACGCTTATATGTCCAAGCCAGGCAAAATCTCGAGAAAAACGCGATCAAAGTTTCGAAAATTAACATGGGCAACATAGAAATGCATGAAAATTCGAGCTACATTTACAATTTATGAAAAGAAATCAAAGTTCGCGGGGGAATGATTATATACAAATTGTAGAAAAAGTTTTTATCTTTCAAAAACCGTGTTTCAAAGTAGAGGTAGCCTGCCATTTTTTCAATATTTTTTAAACACAAGACGCGAAAACAAGACTTTTTCAGCTCATTTTAGGGCTAGCAGGCGACAAGCCAGCTAACTTAACCCATTTTACTGTGCGAACTCTCAATTGACTAGCGTGTTACCCAAAATTCTGCTCCACTCAAGTGGATGTGGGTACTTTTCTGAATATTTTGACGCCCCATAGATAAATATTTATGATAAACTCTCTTCAAGATCATGCGGCTAGTGATTTATAACACAATATTCAGTTATAGTTTATAACACAATAGTTAGTTCTCCAGAGTTTGGGTAGGAGTTTTTTTTGGGCAATCAGGTTGTAGTATATGAACATGTTCTACCGACAAAATAAAAAATTTGAACTGTTTTGATAATTTTAAAGTACTTTTAAAAATAGGCTTGAAACACTATCTTGTCCCCTGAAGTCATTTTCGCCAGTCCCCGAATCACAATTCTCTTGTATATGAGGAGCGTGAAGTGTCACTGCTCGTCTGCCATACTTGCCATTTGGAGCGCGACATACGCACCTCGATATGTATTATGTAGCAGCTATTGATGTACATCTCTGCGTTAGACGTAAAGTAGCCTGCAGTCTGAAGCACATTTTTATCTAAAATTTTTAGCGTGATAACATTTTTTTTCAAAGTTTATTTTTCTTTCAATCGCTTCTGTGACCCTATAAGTGTAGGAACGAAGGACAAAGAAATATAAATATATTTAGTAGTGAGGAGCTTTATTTAGTGAGACTAGCTCGTCTCGGAGGTTGCAGCTGAACTGAACTGTCTGATTAATTAGTTTTATCGCCTGGCGACGATAAAACAAAAGGTGAACATTTTAGCAGTTCAATTACTCAAATTATATATGTACGATAGCGGTGAAGTGAGTCGCCACATAAGTATATATGGCTTGTTATAACATTTTTTTCTGTACATATACATCGTTAAACTGACTGCATTTTGATCCCGGAATCCATAGAACTTTTAATAATTGGGATATATGTTATCAAATTTACATAAGGTAAAGTGGGGGGGAAACGCCAGCTCGGGGAAGATGCCATTTTGCTATATTATCGTTGTAAAAAAGAAAATTTAGATAAGTGACCTATTGGAATTTGCGCTATGATTATCCGATTACATCAATACGAAATAGCTAATTTTTCACTGCTATTACCAGTCGATTTTCAAGCGTCAAAGGTAATGGTTTCAAATATTCGTTAAGTTTTCAATGAAATGTTTAAGTGAAAATTGTTAATGATAAGTGTTACCTTGGAGATTATTTTTTTGCAGCTGCATAAACCTAAATCATCTACTTTTTTATTAATGACTTTGTAAAAAAAATAGGTATTTAGGGGAAATGCCAGTACGAAAATCGGGACAAGATGCCACAAAAAAAATTTTTTTCCGTAAAATAAATTTTTTAATATAAAATAGTGTGATTGAGTAACTCATTGACTTTTAAGTGTTTAATATTCATATTTTATTCATTAGTGTGCATTAAAAAAGGGGTTTTTCATTGTATTCAGATAAGTGGCATATTGCCCCAATCGGGGTGGCATCTTCCCCACATGCTGGGGGAAAACGCCACTTTTGAACCAAGTTGCTAAATATGTTATATTTATTAAAATAATAATATAAATATAATTTTGTTTTTTTTAAACGTGTTTTTTACAATCCTCAATGCTTAAGATTTGATTGCATACATTCATTACTTTTTTATTCCAATGTTTTCCTTAGCTATGGCGTATTACCCCGCTTTACTCTAGTACTTTAAGATAAGTGAAATCACCAAAAATCAATAATTCAGCTGAGCCAAGCGAAGTCCTACTATTGTTGAACCAGAACGGCCTTGTAAACACGATGTCTCAATAACCTTTCAAGTGATTGCATCCAAATTTTTATAATACCTTTCTAACGATTGGAAGATGTGCTGTATAAATTTTGGCATTGATACGACTGTTATGGATATACATAACGCAGCCGCGTATATGTATTCGCATACGTTGACCGCCAGTAGCGCCAGGCGTGGTGGCCTCAGGTCCGAACGCACACGCGTCACGCAGATCTTCTTAAGCGAGCAGCAGACGTTCCGATATTACACAGTTATATGCGAATCACCTTTTTTATATTATTATTATTACCTTTTTACGGTTGTCGCTTTAATTTATTACTATAAACTTCCCAATACTAATACACTTCCCAAGGGTGTTTTTTTTTATTTTACCACCTGACATTTATTCCATGGTTCTGGTTGAACTATAATAACACTAATGTTTGAATTGAATGAAATTTTTCGTAATAAACAATTAAAACTGATATTACTGAAAAATTCAAAGGGTAATCGTCAGTATGTTTATTAGTTATCGATTGAAGTATACTCATTTATTTAAATTGATTGATATTCTTATGATTTATTCAACAATTATTTGGAATTATTTTATTCTAAAAAATTTAATTATAAAAATATTCGGTAAGATAAGAAAATTTTGTTTTTTCTATATGCTTTAAATAGTATGCATAAGTTAATTAAATTAATTTATCATTTGATATATAAGTATAGTATTTAATCATAATTGTAACCTATTAAAATAAATTGTTCGCTTAGCTTTAGCAGCAATTGTTGCCACAAGTCTGAAAATTTTCTAATTATGCTGTTTGATAATACGTGAAAACAAGATCACAGGCATTATTGTGTCAATCTCTTGAGCATTACAGGCAAACCCCGTTATTCGGAGCCCCGGTATTCGCGAAATTCCCGTATTCCATGATTTCACAATCGTGGACAAACCCTGCTATTCGCATTAATTGTTTCGTACATTCACGGTTTATATACACGTATGTACGAGTAAATTTGGTTCCATAACAACATTCAGGCTGTTGGCAAATTCATTGTTTTTAGACTTACAATGTTTAGAAATTCTATTTAGATTATATCTATTTATTTTTTATATATTTGTAGCGAACAAGCGAGGCTTGCAGCTAAGTTTAGCGAGGAAGTGTCATCCAGCCTAACGCTTGATAATGAGATTACGAGCAGTCGGTTATCTGATCTCATGACGATCTTGTCGAGACACAATAATAAAAGAGTAATTTGTGAGAATTCCTCTTTCAGAAAGAGTAAATAACATCGATTACTCTTTTTCGAAAAATGCTGAGTGGAGAAGAGCGTAATTCATTCCAATTACTTTTTTTTGAAAAGATTACTTTGTGCATAGGAATTTTTTACGCAGATTACTCTTTTTGAATATTAAAAAAATATTTTATTATAAATACACTAATTTTCGTCTTTTTGTATACAATAAAATGAAAAATAATTGCTTTGGTAAAAATTCAATAGTTTAGGAGTTATAGCCATATAAACAATTAATTTGTTTATAACAAATTACTCGACCATTTGAGCGAGGTGAGAGTTAAAAATTAGGATTCAGCGGGTCAAAATACATAGAAATACACTTTGTTTTTTGTGGGACCTTACAATGCATACAAAACCCCCTCAGCGCCTAGACTATTTTGTCTATTCTCGGTAATAAAACTCGTTAGCTATTGTAATAAATTATTTATGTTTTTTCTTATTTGTACAAATGATTTAACTATCCATACTTTATGCCATCGCTATCCCCCTCTCGTCCCTCGTTTAACAATAAAAGTTTCACTTAACTAAACTATAAAAAACTGGACAATTGACAAGATAAGATTATGTAATGTATTGATTTCACCATTCTTCAATTGATGAATAAAAATTAATCAAATTTTTTTTGCAGGAGCATAAGATAGCAGAATCAAAAAAAAAGGATTCAAAATGGTTCAACCAAAATTTACTGGAGTCTTCAACGAAAAAATAAATTATGACTAGGCAATTTCGAATTTTATGAACTTTTCAAATATAACAAGTTCTAAAATGTATAAATTTTTCAAACAGATTATATTAAAATTCTAAGTATTACAAATGACATGGTAATAGTTATTGCTACCAACATAGCTTTTTATACCCATTGCATTTTGTCATCAAATAAGTTTAACCTATATCACTTTGCATAGAATACTCGAATGTAGAAATCCCACACGTATAGAAGATAGTAAGAATTGTAATATATTTCTGTCCGATTCTCTGTCAACTGAACCAGTCAACATTTTTTTTCTACATCTAATATAATAAACACATTGTTTGGTATGCCAGGAATGTACAAAAAAAGTTATAGAGCGATTGGGGCCTTCTATCACTACTGAAAATTTAAGTATCATATCAACTGGTCTATGAAAATGACAGATTTAATACTATATTTCTTAGTAAAACTTCAAACAGCTGTATCTTGGGTCGAGAGAACTTGGAGAGTTTCGTTATATCTCAAATTAAAGGTAATTTTATGCTCTTCAAGCTTATATAATTACTTTTGAGGTTTGAGTTTGTCTAGCATGTGTAACATGTAAAGATCTAAGGCTATACTCTGATTTAGGGGCCTTTTTTGCAGATTTTTCGGCACATAATAGCGTCAAGTAGTTGACATGTTGAGGAAGCTTCTTAAATAGTTGTGGAAAGGATAGTCTGAATCATACTTGATTAGATTTTGTGCTTTTTGTTTTTCTTGATTATTTCTATTTTAGCAGCCTCCTGAGTGTTCAGATCGCGTTGAAACCCATTTTTTCTGAAAATTTGGACAATTTGCAACCAAAAAGTTCCGAAGCACTTTTACTTTTGAGTTATTTTACACTGAGCTAGAGCTCTATGAAATATTTGCGATATTTGATAAATTACAGAAAAATGCGAAAAATGCCAAGTTTGGAATTCTGAAAAAGGGTGATAGAAGGCCCTAATCGCTCCATAAATGTTTTTGTACATTCCTGACATGCCAAACAATGTGATCATCATATTATTTGCAGAAAAAAATTTTGACCAGTTGAGTTCACATAGAATCGGACTTCTTTATAATTATTTATTGATGGTTCGGCGATATAATGCTCAGAGTGAAGCATTCAATTGAGTGAGCTTATTTCTGAAAATTTCATCGGTTTTGAATATTTTTAACGTAAAAGTTTCAATAAAATTATCGTGAAAATTTTTCTGCTTATAAAAAGTCTCAAAGAATATAAAAAAAAACATGGTTCTACCGTTGAAATCTCAAAGTCTTACTTATAACCTTTTTTCAAATGAATTTTATCCTTTTTTTAACTTTTTTAAATCGAAATCTAATGGACCTTCTATCCCACAAAGCTGCTGTGAGAAGTTTATATAGGGAATTTACTCAGAGAAATAACCCTGGATCGCCGCCAAACTTGTAGGCCCTACTTATGGACTAGAAGAAAATAACCCATGCATGCTTATGTTATATACCTTTTTGCTATAGGTAATAACTTTAATATTTTTGACTTTAATTGTTACTGTTGCTGTCTAAGGGGAGGAACATGAAATAAGTGTATAATGTTCAAATGAGATTCACACACAAGACTTTATTACAAATATAATAACTTAATACTATTTTAACAAGGCTTACAAGCTATGTCGGCAGATGATCGTTGATCTACATGCTGGGGGTGGCTGTCGGTCTGTTGAGCCAAACGGCTAATAATGCCTGCTGCTAGGCTGCTGCAAGGCTGCTGCAAGGCTGCTGCTAGGCTGCTGCTTGGCTGATGGTCACTGCGGCTCGGCTGGGGCAAGCTCGGATGCACCCTCATTAGCTTTACCGTTCGCGTTAAACAATAACTTGCTTCGACACTCGCGGGCATATAATCACGGTTACAATTGAGCTAGTGAGATGTTAACAATTCTTTACTACCTCCCGCAAAATACAAGTATATTTTATTCGATGTTCAAAATATCTCGGAGTCACTATTATAATATTTCAATGTTCAAAGTATCGCGGAGTCTCTATTATAATATTTCGATCGTTCGCGCACAGAGCTTCGCCCTACTTAACGGTAAAGAATGATCTGCCCAGAGGCCCGATTTTTACGCCGGTTATATACTAATTTATTCATGCATCTTCTCGGCGCGGGCACATCTTGGTGGTTTTTCCCTCAATAGATAAACTACTTGTTTTTTTGTTGCTAGTCAATCCGTGTCCACGGGTCAAGCATGTGCCGTTCTATTTACCCATATTTGGGCAAATCTTCTGGGAGCTCCGGTCACGCTGTGATTCTAGAGTGACATGTAAGTCAAACTCCCGGTGATAAGGGAACCTGCGAGCGCGCGTGCGACTATGTTTTCTTTCTTTGTATCATTTTGAAGTAGGCCATGGGTTTCACTCCCTGTGCGTGTGTCGTGCCTTCTCTGTATTCGGCTCGCACATACGCGGGTGCACATACATACATGTGCGGGCCTGATCTAACGCGTCGGCGCATGTTGGCCGCGCACATCCACACGTACATTAAAGCGACAGCTTTCGCTTTTCTCTGTGTTCGGCTTACACACGCCTTTCCCAATGAAAATATTTAATAAGTTCTTAGGCAAGATTTTAAAAAGATCTTGTATAAGATCTTATGCAAGAACTTACGTATGATAATCGACCTTGTAAGTTCTTGCATAAGATCTTGATAAAATTGTAAGGCATCTGGTAGCAAGTTCTTGTATAAGATCTTGATAAAATAGTAAAACTTCATCATAATCATGAAATTTAAATTATATAAGAACTTGTTATTTCAAGTCTAGTAATGAAATCAAAAACTCTCCTAAGAATTTGCTACCTGAAGTCTTCCAGTTTTATCAAGATTTTATATAAGAACTTGCTACTAGATGTCTTAAAATTTTATCAAGATCTTTTTAAAATCTTGCCTAAGAACTTATAAAATATTTTCATTGGGGTTGAATGGTAAATTCTACGGGCTCTGAGATTTTCTAGTATTTCACTCCCTAAGTGCCAAATGTACTATGTATTTGAATGTGTGATAACCTTTAGCTTCTCAAGTAGACTTTCTTTTCCCATTTTTTTTCCTTCTTACAGTGCCTATCAGAGTGTCTACCAATTTTTTAAATAAATAAATATATATTCCATACTGGAAAATTTAGTTAATTTTAAAGCAATGGGCAACGGCGCACAACCGTCCCATAACCTCTCTTTTCATATCCCCACTAACGTTCTCGCCATTATGTTTAAATATAATTCCAAAAAATATAAATCAAAATATCCTTACTTAAAAAAAATGAAAACAAATAATTCCAATAGTATCATGCCTAAGCCTAATCCTGGTGATTCATCTTCTGAATCTGAATCAGATCCTGATCAACAGTCTCAGTTGATGCAAATAGAAGAATTTCAGACTAACATGAGTCAAATTAATTTTAAGAAAACCCCACCTGCTTCCAGCTGCCGAGACGCAACGCGCACAGTTGGTACGCAATCTTAAAACTCTTGGCATTTTTTTCCTAATTGATATTTCTGGCTGAAATTTTACCAAAAACTTCTTTGTACCTTATATTTTAATGTTATCGCGTTTAAAAATCCAATTTCGAATTTTCGTCACACAACATTTCAGTTCGTAGTTGACCCTCCGCTAAATCGGACTATAAAAGTTTGAAAATTCATATCTCGGGTTCTAATTAACTTTTTTATTCGTATGATAGCTTGTTTTCTTTCAAAAGACCTCAAGATATGCGGTTAAAATTTTATCGAAAAATATTAAAAACTCTGCAAGATGCAGCGAATTGAACATGAAAAAATTAAAAGAAATTTTTTACGCATTTTTCATGATAATTGCGTTTTTCTCAATGACGCTGTCATTTTAGGAAAAAATAAATGTCATTCGGATGCAGCGACCAAAAATATTTTTTTTTTTTTTTTTTTCATAGCTAGAAAAATGCATGACGCACCGTAAGCAGGTTTGAGTTGAAATCAACCCCGAACCTCCCTGTGTGTGGGACTTGCCCTCAACCGATTTGCGTCGGTGAGGGAATACCCACTAAAACTCTATCTGCCCGAGCGATGGAAGTGCTCGGACGCGATTTTATTTTGTGGTGCCGTCTTAGATGGTGGGAGACCACGTTCTCCAAAAGATGTGTGCGAGTTGATGTTAAGGCTACCCTATGCCTTCTCTTCGACCTGCCGAGTTAGTATCTGTATAACCACTGATGTGCGTGGTCCTTTTATTCCACCGAAGCCAATTCATGTGCGAACCGCGGAGAGCTTTAACCGTGATGGAATCCAAATATTTGCTCAATCCGAGTTCGCACAGACTCGCGGCGGAAGCAGCGGACCAGATACCGCGCCAGGAGATTGTGATCGAAGAGAACCAGATGTTATCGGTCTCGACCTCGTACCCACTGGCGACCTGATGGCGAAGGTCAACGGTATCATATTTGGCGACTTTCCGACGATGCGAGTCGTCAAGAGACGATGAAGCGCTGATGACTTGCGCATCGATCACCCTGACAACCTGATCTTTTGCAGCGACGATATCTGTCTTTCGCAAGCCTTCTCTGGTATGAAAGTGCGGCTCCTGCCGGACGCTCCATCCCAACTGCCGGAGGCTGCTGACTGCGGTACGGCAAGTTGCATCGTGTCCTAGTACTCGGCCTCCATGAGTGCGGTAATAGCCCTGAATGACGTGAGCTGCGGTTTTGAGTAGTACCACAGCCCGCTCGACACTCGATAGGCGGGCCACCGACTACGCGTCTTCCGCCTGATGTTCGAACGCGAGTTGGGAGAGCATTGACCCGTACATGATAGAATTGTACGTAGTCTCGTTCGGAAAGGGGCGCGCTGTTACGGTCTACCCACGAGTGGTTCGCACGAACACGAGCACACTCGGAGAGTTCCTTGCCATCATTCGCTTGATGAAGTATCGAAGTCTGCACCGAGCGATGATAAAAGACACCTCTAACGGCGGCACAGGAAGACTCAGCCATATTCCGAAAGCCTTGAATGAACCAAGGCCGGAATAGCTGTTC